ATGTCAGGTCAAAGTTTAAAGCCCATTTGCTGTAAATGATGCTATCAGTAAACTGGTGACTTGTAAATATTTTAGTATTATTTTAATACTTAACTACTACTTGCTGTCAGAATAGAATAATGGAAATTAAATTTAAATCATTCAAGTGCAAAGTTATTGCAGATAAACTTACTCCAATTGATTTACTATTACTATTGTTTGTCCTACAAGTAGCAGCACAACATTCACAGTGTTGGTCGCAAAATAATTTCCTTGTTACACATTGAGATATGAAACTGAGGAGCTAAAAGCGTGCGACTTAATGATTACTAGCTTTTCTAGGAAATAATTCGTAGTCGAGCTGTTGTATCTTCAACATGTTAGAAGGGTTTTCTTTATTTGGGTTGCGATATACGGTAGATACTAAATTTTTTAAAAGTTAAAACAATAAAGAATGAGCGGTACTATTCGATTTTTCAAAATTGTTTTGGTTTTAAACTTCGTTATCCAAACATTAAGCTTGGATCCAATACATGGATGTAGGATTGCAAAATCACCTCATATCACGTTGTCAATCAATTTTTGATTATGCCATTATATGTACCCAGAACTAAACCATATTATTCATAAGATGCTCTACAGAAAACAAGAGGCAGTATCTTTAAACAGAAATACGATTGAATACCTCAACTGTCCTAACAGTTTTTCTTAGTCGAATCTAGAAGATTTTCTTCATCTATCAGAAATGAGCTTTTAATATCAAAGCCATTATTAAACCATTTAAACAATAACTACGCTACTTGTTAAATCAATGTCGTGATTAGTATACTTTTCATTGCTCCAATACCATAAAATCCTTTAAAAATTTACTGATAATTGTACTCGCGTAATTATACAGTCTATTGATAATGCTCGAATTTTTGACTTAGCAAATTTAAAAGAAAATGCTTCATAAATATACTTTAACATTATCAAAGAAATAGATATTAGTAATTACCCAAAATTAATGTTGGAATAATGTAATAAGCAGTGTCTCAATTTTATTAGCTATTTACATCCTAAAATTTTTAATTACATGTTACTATCAAAATCTTATATGGACTATAATGATATTTAATAGTATCGCAGCTATTACTTAAGTTATTTAAAGCATTAGTTTTGTTCAGTAGACACTTCGACCATGATATCAAATTGAAAACTGAAGAAATATGTAATTGATGGCATTTTGATTATCTTTTGGCTTTAATTTTTAATTTTTGATTTTATAATATTTTTTAAAAAGCGTGTATACCGTTGAAATGATAAAATATTGAACCTTTATGCAAATTTAAGTGGCAGTTGTTGAATAATACGTCGATCCTTATAGGCAGAACTCCAATTAAAAATTTTAATGAAATTTCGGTACTTAAAAGTTTCATATTAATTCACGTATCATGAAACTACTTATATAACTAGATAATATCCGCGAAATAACACAAATCTACTCAGCCGTTACCTTTATTAAGATAACATAATATTTTAAGATAGATATCTATATAACCAAAGAAATATAATTGTAACATCCGAACATTGTACTAAATGTTATTATCTTAGCCGTATACCAATTTATACTAAATCATTATCTTCTATGATTAAACTAGATAAAACCATAATTTCGTCGTGATAAAATTGATCACGAATTTCAAAATTTGCAAAACTTCGAAATTTATTACTTCTTTATGCAAAGATATACTGTGTACCTCTCTACTTCAGCCAGATATAATTGTTAGGAAGATATTTATAAGAAATTACTAAGCCATCAAAAGTTACTGGCTTATATTCATTTCGTAGTATTTGCAACTACAATCAGCTCAACAACATTCTATTAATATTTTACAGGTTGCGGTGCTATACTAGGCAACACACATATATGTGGAAATTTAAAACTTGGTATAGTAATAGATACCGTAGTGATACTTTGCAGGCTTAAAAAAAGTTTCAGTAAACTAATTTCTCAGGTAGGCAAGTAACATTATCAAAGATATGCGTAATGTATGAATAATTTTATGTACTATATTGCTTAACACATAAAATTGAAAAAAGGTAAAACTGCGTCGAAACTACTGCTTTAGACTACACCCGAATATTAGTTAGAACGAGGAAGAACGAATTTGCAAAAAGTGTATATAACATAGAGAATATATATGCATGGTTAATCAACCGCCTCTAATGCTCGTGTTAACTAAAATTCATTTCCAAAATTCTCATAGAAGGAAGATAAATATTTTTATCAGATCATGGTAACGATTGCGTCTCAATTGAAACTGATCAACTATTGTATTAGAACATGAACTTAGTATTTCTATTAAAGTGCATGATAGCTTTAATTACAAAAAATAGCTATGCCAGGTGATAATACCACTATGGAAGCAAGCTTATGCAATTGTCATGTGATTATCTTATAGAATTTAGTTCTAGTTATATCTCTTCCAACAATACGGACGTAATAGAATGAGTAATTGCGGTAGGTGTAGATATTCATGCTTGCTCATTTAATTAGAATTCTCCATAGAGGCCAACGTACTATAGCACTGCGATTATTATCTCCAGTTTGTAAGTACACGGAGAGTGCTAATACAAGTATATTGTAATTTATATAAAATGATCATGCATAAAAATTTTTATGAACTTATAAGTTAAATAAATATCGATGCAAAAACTGCAATACCAGCGGTATTATAGCGCTTCATAATATATTTTTATTAGCCTCAACGGGCCTTTTACATTTCTAAAAAATCAACATTCAATAAATCTGAGGGAATAAAAATTATATCGATAGTGCCATATACCACACATGGTCGCCTTCTGGTGTTTTGAAATACAAATAAATTAAAATTGCTTAATCGTACATAAATGATTAAATATACTAAATCGATTAGAAACATTTCTTAAAACAAGAGCCATGAACGATAAACACTTTTTAACGCTGGTATTATAGATTTTGCCTATCTATAATACTGTGTTTTATGCCCAAGTTGTCCGTAATACTGTTAGATATGACTTTGTTATCACACTACATATTAAATAAAGAATTAAAGCTATTTTTTACTACTTAGAAGTGGCCTTTAGCAGCAAAAGAATTGTTTGTGCTAGAATGTAGTTAACGATGGAAAGTTTAGAATCGAATTATAGTAGTTGATTCAGCTTGGACACTTAATTTAATATTTAATGATGATATTTCTTATACCAACATTCAAAAATTACGTATCCTTTCAAGAGCATTGCTTACATTGTTTAGTCTTAACTAGTACTAATATTAATTTTTCAAATGATTTAAATGATCCCAACCAATCAGTACTTTACGATCTAAATTTTGGCCTATTAAAACGATAAATTTTGTATGAATTCGATCATAAATAAAATTTTACATCGTGACGTTTCAGAAATAATTAATTATTATATAAAGGTAAGCAAATTTTGCTAAAATAAATTAATAATCTGTCGATTGGAAAGAATTGAATAAGAGTAAATAGCTAATCATCTTATTACAGTTTCGGAATCGTTATCATTAATCGTGATGTAATATTAGTGTATTAGTTCATAGGCTGGAAAGGACCGAAAAATAACAATCGCAGCAAATAGCATTAAATAGTTTGAAACCATCCATTACTGTCATAAATTACATTAATGATAATTTGACTTTTTTATAAATAAAGATTTTTAGGTGATCATAGTGAATCAGTAGCCATTCCCTTTAATAGTATAGGTTTTTGAGTTTTTCAGTAATCTAAACCAGAATATGCTAGAAATAGGATGGACTTCTAATTCTTAAATAAATTAAAAATTTCCCTCTTAGTATTCGAGTGATGACGATAACGCATCTTTAATAAAGATGTCGTATGAAGATTAGCAATTTTATTATTTCGTATTTGCTGACTGAAAAGTAGGTGCTGTTATTGATAATAATTGATGTCAAGGGTTTCCATCGAGGCCCGCCTAAAGGTGAACTGGTCAAAAATACTGTCTTTAATTTCTTATTAATATTGAATACATCAAAATAATTGCATACTAATAAAATTTTGTAAACGGGGTGTGGATGATAATAGATACAAATAGTGACCATTAAAGTTTGTCAATACCTTCATTATATTTCTAATAGGCTATGAATAATTTCATTTATGTTTAATAGCTATGCTTGAATTAGTTATAATATCCGCAAAAATAACACTGCTACAGGATATTCCATACAGCACAACCTATTAAAGTCTACTGCTACTATTATTTCAATGTTATTCAATCCATTATTTTACTTAATCATCAAATATTAATGATAAAAAGCGAAAAATAGGCTGAAATTTTATTATCTTTATAAGAGTAAAAGTCTTCCATTCTGTAAATAGTGAAAGAGAAGACGAGATCGTGAAAGTTAAGGAAAGGAGAAAGTGGCAACGGCTGATGAGTGAGGAACTTGTTACTCTTACTCCGGATTAATTGCCTTACAGTTAAATGTTATGCTTCAGAACTGAGCCAATCTGTAATAGAGATTTAAATTATTATACTATTACTACTATAATATTGAAGTTCATCAATTTAAAAATGTATTTTTTTATTTCATAACCAATTTCATACCATTTCTTAATAGCTAAACGAATATCAATTTCATATATGACTGTTATACAGACCATCAACATTACTATGCGAGGAATGAATTGGAAATAAGACATAAAAGGACAGTGAAAGGTCAACCTATTTCTCTGTATTTCATCTATATCGTTGTGGCTACGGGAAAATTTTATTGCGATATTAAGATTATCCACGTAAGGTTAAAAAATTAGATTATATACGAATTATTAGTAATAACTAGTCCAATTTTAGATATTTTATCCACATGATCAAAAAATTTAAAGACTGAAACAGCTTAGCGATATAAACTACTAACGATTATTTCCAATTTCGATTTTTCCATTCTATCGCCGGATATTGGATTTTATTTATACACATATAGAAGGAGGTATATAATACTCGTGTAAACGATTATTACGATGAAGGGTTGGAATTGGCAAAATACGCCTAATGGAAGTGTTGATAATTCTACAACTCAGCATAATTATTCACCAATATATACATTTCAAGCTATAGCGTTGTCTGTCGCAGTTATTGCTGGATTTCCAGCTAATATTATCACCTTAATAGCTTGTTGTTACAGAAATCGTCTTAACGTTGTTTCCAATATATTTATAGCTAACTTGTGTATTTATGAATTATGTATGATATTACTTGATTTTCCTCTATCTCTAGTGAATGCTGTTAATGGCCGACAAATTGTAACCAGCTCACTATGTAAATTTCAATGTATAATTGGTACCATGTGTTCAGCCGGAATTATTTTATCATTAGTTTGTGTTACCATTGATCGCTACTTTACAATTGTAAAGCCCATGAAATATGGTATGATTATGACTATTCGTAAAGCTGTTACCATGATTATATGTGTTTGGGTTTATGTTTTCTTGTTAATTCCAGCTTATTATATACCAGAAGTACAACCTACTTGTTTATATTACTACGAAATGTCCAGTTGCTTTACAAATTGGGCTCAATCGCCTATCGTTGGATATTTTATCCTTGCAACATGTTATGGCACGGCGCTAATCGCCATGATATACACGTACTGGAGGATATTCGTGATTGCGCGCCACCATAATAAAGTTGGAGTTGAACAGTTGAAAGAATTAACAAAGAATGGTTACACTAACCGACCTTCCATTACTCAAATGAGAAGAAAAGGATATAAAACTATCAAAGTTGTTATCGTTATCCTAATTACATATATTTGTTGTTGGACGCCTATAACCATATTAGCAGCTACAAATATTCAGAAATTTTCAGATATGCCACCTTGGGGTTTAGCGATTGCGAATTGCTTGGTTGTTATCAATCCTACAATTAATCCAATTGTATATGGTATTATGAGTCAAGAGTATAGGCATAGCTATCAAAGAATATATCGTATAATTCGAAATAGTCAGACAATACGTCGAAGCTTAATTATTCCATCACAAGCTTCATTTGCAACGAATCAAAAGGATGGAAACGGCAATTTGTCTTTATCACATGATGTCATAACGACAAATCACGAAAGTAGAGAACAAGAAACAGTAACTTGAACCTTATAGCATGCTGTGAAATGTCATTAATGCTTTGATCAGGTTATCATTGATTACCAATTCACTATATACAACATAATCCTATGTAACTACAGAATGTAAACTTTGTAAAATGTGGTATACGCGCATAACATAAAAAAAATGCGTATAGAATCCGATCATAAATTATAACGCTGATGAAATTTTGTGTTACCACAGAATTTGCTATTATTTATAACATAATCGTAATTATACGCTTTGATTACATTATCTAAATTTCTTACTAATCTGATATAAATTTCATCGCTAATGCCTATACATTCCACGTGTTAAACACTATAACTATAGTGCACTCGATATCACCTATACATAAAAGGCTATCCTAAGAAATTGTAGACTGGATATACCATATGGCCTTTGTACTATCAATTCAACTATTATCTAGTTCTTTCACTATATAGAATTGCACAATAAGGAATACAATAAATTTACAACAAATTTGTTATTCCTAATGAATATTGGGTTAATATTTGACTGTGTGTGTATATCAGGAGATAAGCTTAACAGTCCTAGAGAAAAATGTTGTACTTATTGTTTAAGGTAACGACATTGCTATGAGTTGTTGCACCTATCGTTGCGGTACGTTTACGTTATTCTATTAGATCATCCCGCTATTGAGGAATCTATTAATCAAAGATATTATCCAGGATTAATGAGTACGAGCTAGTATACACGTAGTATGCACAGTACAGAGTTTGTAGGAGTCAGCTAATAATATCTGACTAAAACAGAGTTATGGAATATGATACACACAGTACTGGATGTCTATAATATTACTTTTCAGACAGAGAACCCTTGACTTAATATATAGTTATTAAGGATTAGATTAGGTTCGTGAGGACTTATATAGGCAAGTTATAATTGTAAAAATCTTGATTAAATATTATTTTGCAAGGCGATAAGTTATACATTATAGCTATTGATATGGCCCATTTATGATAATGGATAATTCTATAATGAAACTAGCATACTGGTTGAACCACCAAAGCGATAAAATCAGGTGTCATGAAGTGACCTTTATTAACTAATTCTTATTTTGTTTTCGTCTGCTAATATGCTTTGATATTTTTTGATACTACCGTTATATATGATATTATACATAGCTTTTTATACCTATGAATCGATAATTAAATATACATATAATTCGTATATACGTAGATGCACTATACTGTACGGTAATCTGACAGATTTTTTAATTTAAGCTTCTAGTTCAGCTTTATTTGAAAGAAACTAGTGGTTACCGTCCCTCTGACGATTGGGAGATCGTCAGTATTTAAAGTCGTATTGTAGGTAGGTATCGGAAGGACAAACCTGACTGTACATTCGCAGTGTTTAGTTTTCTTGTAGTAGCAGTTTTAATTTTCTCAAGTTACAACTGTCTATTTGTAACACCATAATATTACAAAATCATTAATTAATCTTTAAAAGAGTTCTATATAGTGTCTAATCATTTACCGTTTGCGAAAATACCGATAACCACTACCTATACAGAGGGAAATACGCTCCTATAAGCTGGATTTCTCGAGTAGTATCCTAGTCCACAAATTTTAGTGAACGACTTGACATCATTGTCATATTATGCGACTATCCATCTAAACAGTTACGGAATTTAACTGGATACGTTTAGAATTTTGTAATTGTCATGTGAATCGGATGTAGAGCGTTGTAATTGTGGGCCAAACTACTATCTCCGTGAGATTCAACATCTTAAATAAATGATTTAAGGTATTAAGATAACCAAATAGCGAAAATTGTGGATTGATAGTTGCATCGTAATGTTTTCGGCTAGCTGGATGCACACAATATCGATGATCCTGAGTTTCCTAGAGTTTTACACTGTTATCCACCGCTATTTGCTTTTTAAAATCTACACAAGAGACGTGTAATTGTAATTAAAACTAAGATTGTCACGACCTACCATCCCGCCAAGAACTTAATCCCAGTAATATTGCAAAATAAGTCAAATATTAAAAATACAGGCTTTAATTTTACTTGTGACGGTTTATGATTATACAGCTATCATAGTGACAGCAGGCTTCACCTCATCAATGTCAACTTAATCATTACAATAATTCAATTATTTTAATGGAATAAATAAAAGCTACTAAAGGAAACACATGATTTCAAAAAATATTAACACTAGAATCAAATTTTTAGCTACTTCATGTGCGACTATATTCTGATCAGGAATGACAAAAAATAGGTCAACTTGATAATGATATCGCTACCACAGAGAGTCAAGACCCTATACAGTACAGAATTAATGTGGTGAATCATAACAAGGTATGCTACTGAACGTGCCTAAAATTAGTCAAATAATAAACATACGCTGACAGCACGGATGTAAGCCAAGTTTCATGATGATCGATCAAACTAGTTCCAGTTGAAAACGTAAGGATTACAAATTTTATAATAACTGACGTTCTCTCAATACAATAAACTATAGCTAGCAGACATACAATAATAGGAATTACTGTAGTATTCTGCCTGATGGTTGAGGCAACGATTTAAACGGCCATATCCATCTTAATAGTTGGATGAAATTGGTAGTCTTGCAGCTCGAAATCTTCATATTTAAAATCGTCTATATCTGAAATCTTCCTTTTAAAATTAAGTTTGGGAAACTTTTTCGGTTCTCGCATCAACTACACGATTAGGAATGATAGTTGATAATTAAAGTAAAGCGTGCTAATGTTGATATAGAGATACAAAGCTATTTTATCAATATTATTCAATGGCAATAGCACATTACTTCATAATTACCTGTTCCTGTAAAGCATCAAAATGATTTAGATAAACATGAGCGTCACCAATAGTATGAACAAAATCTTCAGCCTAAGAACGAAAAGTTTATGTTAACCTAATACACCAATGCAATATCGTAAGAAAATAAAATGGCAACTTTGAAATCCAGAGAAATTCCTGACCATACCTCCAAATCGCAAATATGTGCAATCATATGCGTTAGCAATGAGTAACTAGCAATATTGAATGGAACTCCTAAACCCTGTAAAATACAACGTGTAAATTACTACGTATTCAGTTTGCAATATACACTTTATTAGTGTTTACAGCATAGAGAAGCCATGCGATTATGACGAAAAAATCAGCAACGCCAGATAGTTTATTAGGTCCAGAGTAGAGAATAATCATAAAAATTAGGATAAATATCTAATAGGCTAATGATAAAATTTTATCAATTACAACTGTACGCAATACTGTTTATTTCAATATAATGAATTAATTTTGATCATTTATCAAATTTTAAGACGTAATTACATCTGAAGTACTTTAGTGATGCGGATCATGGAAACTTTCAAGCCATCCAAAGTCACAGTTATAGCAGTAATATCGCGAGGCTATCTTATTACATGATGTAAAATCATCGATACACCTACCATATCTCCAGATCTTTGATACAGTTGACATGATAATCGACCATCACATACATAAAATTGCACAAAGGCATGACAAGGTGGCAAAGCCATTTCTGGCAAATCTAATATTTCGCAAAGAAATAGACATTTTGAAGGTTAGTTTGCTCTTTAAAATAAATTTAAAGCTCACTATATTCCTGAATTGAATTACTGTCCTACCGGGAGGATTCCAAGCAGACAAGATGATACGCCTGTCATTGGGACTGGTTTTAATTTTATGTATTACTTCAGCAAGTTGATCTACACCTTGTCCAGTGTAGTCGGCATGCATATTGGTGTACTTTGCGCCGAAATGTCGCCACTGAAAACCATAGATAGGTCCTAAATCACCAACTTCCCTTTCATGCAATCCTCTTGAATCTAGAAACTAAATATATTCATGATCATAGATAGGATTAATTCACCAATCTATAATAACTGTATGGCGCTTAATGTATGTTAGGATTGCTATCATGATTCCAATCCGACATAACTACAACATCTCCATTTAACTTGTACAGCTACCTACCTCTCTCGATCCATTTGCGTTCCAGAATTTAATACCTTTTTCATTGAGTTGGTTAGCATTGGTTGACCCTTTGACAAACCATAATAGCTCCTCGGCTATACCCCTCCAAAATGTTCGTTTTGTTGTCAGTAGTGGCATTTGGTTATCACGTAAGCTAAATCGCATTTGAGCTCCAAAGATTGATTTGGTCCCCGTGCCTGTATGATTCAGGACCATATTACTCCATTTATCAAGAGCACACTTGTATAGTTGCCTATATTCCTATTTTTGTTACCTGTTCTATCCCCTTTGAAGTTACCCTCATTCATGATTCGTTGGATTAATCTTAAGTATTGATATTCTTCATGTTCACCTTGCAAGAATGGTTGGCATTTCCCGACTTGAGACTTCTCCTTCTGAGGTTGGTCGGTAGTTGTTGGAGAAACCGATGCTAACATCCTGATACTACACTGTCCATAAATAGCAAATATGAAAAATCAACTTAAGTCATGACTAGCCGGAAAGCAATCCCTGACTACCTACCCGATGAAATAAACTTGATTGCTTAGTTTGAAAAAATAGAATCAAATTTGGCAGCAATGGAAGCAATAGCGTCCGCCGGTTCATGTACTGCATCAACGAGTGAATATGCGCATACTGTCTCTATCGTTTGCTCACACTCTACGGTACTGTACTACGTATTAATGCACGAGTTTACCTCCACTTGCTTGATCAGTATGGGTGCTGCCACAACTTGTAAACATATTTAAATTTGGCGCAAACTTTTGGCGCGCTTTTATCCAAGACTGTAGTCCAAAGTCCGGATGTCCGCAGCCGCTATCTCATTTCTAGTGGTCTAAAACTTTGAACTTTACAGTTATACTGGGCAACAACATTTTCAACTGTGTGGAACATTCATACCCATACACCCTTCTATGGGCCAAATTTTGATTGGTGTTTGTATGGCAAGAAGTGAGAAATGGATTGTGGCTGTGGTCAACTCAAAATCAATGGACACCGATGTGGACCACAGTGAAAAACTAAGTTATGTCGTAGACACAGTAACATACTCTTGCTCTAGGCCTAGATCTGGATAAGGTATCATTTATTGGTTTAAAATGATCACAAAATCGGCGTACAGTCATAGTAATAATGGTCAAGGCATTTATTTGTCAATGCTGAAATCAGGCTAAATGTCAATTATGGAGGAATGCACTACTATATTTTGTGGGCTAGACCTGGATGTGGTTTTTCGTTAGCTATAGACATACCTCGATGAATACAGTAGTGCGTTATATATATATATATATATATAACCCGCTTTCTTCGATACGTTTGGATGGTTAAAACTATAAGTAAAACGCTCAAAAAATAGTAATCGTTATTATTAAAACCGCCCATTTGCGATCAGTTTTGTACGAATTGATGCGAAAATGGCCAACTTCGGGTTTTGGCCGTAACCTATATATATATATAAAACCCGCTTTCTTCGATACGTTTGGATGGTTAAAACTATAAGTAAAACGCTCAAAAAATAGTAATCGTTATTATTAAAACCGCCCATTTGCGATCAATTTTGTACGAATTGATGCGAAAATCGTCATACCGAATGGATGGACTATCACGAACCATTATAATAACACTACAAATCCGAGCTTTTAGTAATGCTCGGATTTGCACTATTACTACAGTACAGTATGCTACTCCATTTCAATCGATACACTTGCTTCCATCAGCATAAAACGTATAATTTTTTACCGGACAAAATGGGACGCGAGAGAAATGAAAATAATGCAATGGAATGGAGCTGGATCAGGCTAAGGCACTAAGCTCAGCAGGTTTTGCAGATCTCTGCTGTACGTGCAGTGTACGAATATTGCATTGTCACTGATGTTAAATACAATGGCAAGTCGGCTTTTCTATGCTTCATCAACAACCATAAACTACTAAAGTACTCAATTTCTGAAATTGTGTAGGTCATGCAACAATACTGAGTCAGGAACTCTTCAAGAGAAAATTTATTTTCTCAACCAGTGCTCCATACAATCCCATTCTTGATACTAGACTTATGACGTTTTTGTATTTTGAAAGAAATCGTGGATTGAGAGTGTGGGAAATATCGAAAAAGTCCATGGCAGTTACGTACAGTAGTATCAAATTTTTTTTAAACTACTACACACAGTAGAGATTACAAACTTCCAGGTTTGCCAATGATTAGGCTGTTGCAATTTGGCGTTAATGTTTACTCCGTAAATGAATGAAAAACGTAGACAAGGTTGGGGCTCAAAACCAGACTGCAACAGGCTAGTACCGTATAGAGAATTCTCTGCACCTAGATGTCTTTGAACTATGCACCGGAATCATTTAATATTGACTAAAGCTAATCTTATTAATTAAATGGCTGTGTTGATATTCGAATGGCTAGGGTGTTAAAATAATAAGATAGTATACCTCCCCAATATGTTGTAGTGCAACTAGTCTTAACTTGCAGCGTGCATACTTTACAGGTATTTTGTCTAAATTGCTCTAGTCATTACAATATTGGCCTAGTCAATTAAGTAATAAATAGCATGACTTTGGCTAATTTTGAATGATCTATTATGCATCATGTAGTATGCATCCCGTTCACAATTGTGCCTAATCGTATCTACTGCATGACAGTGCATGTTTTTAAATATTTAGAATAGTACATTAGTAGACAAAGTTAACGGAACTACTAGTACTCTGTAGTATCTATAGTGTTAACGAACAATTGATGTGCAGAATTTACAAAAATCAACCCTGTAAAAATAGTCCTGCTCTATAGATCAGCTTTCCAATTTCACATGTACTATGGTGCACAAACGACAAATATTGTATCACTTAGCATTGTATATTATACCAATAATATAATAGTCTAATTAATAGAATTCAAGTAATTTATACCTATGCACACTTATCTACAGCATGACACAATATCATGCATTAAAATTTCTAACAGCAAACAGAAACTCTTTTACAACACTATGAAATTACATCACCAGTTTAGTACAGTATTTCCATTCGTGCATGAATTACAATAGAACAAAAAGAAAAAGAATTTCAATAGTTTTAATAATTTCCAGTAAACCTTTTAATCTACAAAAGCGATGACAAAACGCATACGGACATTGATGTTGTGTGGAATTTTATAGGATACCACTTAGGCAATTGACCACAATATAAATTAAACAATATCAGAAATTGCCTCAAACTGCGCTCTGTATTTTATGCGGAGTCTATTCATGAATAGGTGTGATATCCGCTGAACTGAATATTTATTATATAGCACTTGGCAAGTTTGATGTGTTATTTTCAAACCTTCGTGCAATTCGTCAGCAAAAGTATTCATCACTACTGCATATCGTCAAACACCCGAAAAGGTATAGTATTTATTGGCCAATTAGTAAAGAAAGCGATGACGCACATTCTGTTCCAGTGCAAGAATAACTTTGGAATCCCCAAGTATATATTATTTAGGATATCTGCTTTTGAGAGTATAATTGCCTCTTATTAATATCTGCATGATTCATAAGATCTAACCGAGCTAGCTCATTGTCCAAATTTGACCCATAATTTACACTAGCTAACTTTGCGGTAATTGTATTATTTTACTTATGCTGATCTACGCGTATTTTCACATATAGGCATTAGTGTTATCATATTACTGCAGGGTTATCGATATTAGCAGCTCAAGATATTGATTACTACTTATAATTAGTTATATAGTACATAACAGTGCATATACGTATATATACAGGCTCTATATCAGGTTGATTTCACTTTGAAATATTAAGCCACGATAATGAAGAAAGCCTTGAAAAAGACTAAGAGAGCAGTTAGTAGGAAACTGCTTAAGAAATCTGACAAGCATACCCTGGAAGCAGCTACGGATGCACAAGATGATGAACGAGCAAGAGCCCTTGAAGCGAGTGATGCTAGTATCGTTAATGATGAACTTAAGGTCAACTTGAACAAAATTCAAGACGAGAAAACTAGACAATCGATGGTGCCCGAATTTGCCGAGGTGATATGTGAATTTCGCGAATCGTATAACACATACAATCCGTTTGAAAGCTATAGCCCAATCAAGATATTTCAAACAGTTGAAGATGAAGCAGAAAATGATATAGTTGGTCAAGAGGGGATAACTGACTTCAGCAATGATATGATCGAGAGTTTAAATAATAGATCTGTCTTGAACACAATGGAAGGAGACGCTTTTGCAGGTAGGTAAAACGATATACTTTTTATTATCATAAAAAAAATCTAAAAATTGATTCTTGTACATTTATTTTCGTTAGCTCAAATTCCAGAAATTACAGAGGAGACAAGTGAACACCTAAAAGATGAAGATCCTGACGGTCATCAACTACCGATTTGTGAAACAGCTGATGTCATGTTTGAACATGAAGAGGTTGCAAGCGTAGCCCCTGATTCCTTTAAAAACGAGCAAGGATTAAGACAGGAAGACCAATGTCACTTAGATAAAAATCATAAGCGAGAGAAGTCTAGTGATGAGCTTCTGGAATGTAGTCAAGAAGTAATCAAGGAAAATCCTCTAAATAATACTACATCGCCAATTTATGAACCTCATGAAAATCCAAAGAGAACTTTTACCTCGGTTTGGTGGAGAATTTTTTTAAGGTGCTGCTACTAAAAGCACAAAATCGTTAACAGCGAATGAATATATCAAATAAACGAACTCTGTAGAAGTTATCGGTTTTCATCACCACTTTTTTTTGTTACTTATAGGTTTAGCTACCTCAATATAACTTAAATCACAGTGTATCACCTTCGAAATTTAAAGTTGGAATTTACTTCAGTGAATAAACTTTGGTCATTGCTAAAACACAGTTTAGTCTCTAATTTAAATTATGCTAAGCCAAGAAACATAGAAATAAGATATGGAACTGTTCTTAATCGAAATCGTTGATATTTAGCTGATTTACACATGAAATAATTGAAAATTTTTCCGTATCATTCTATTTGCAGCTGTTGTAAACTTGACATATCACCTGAAGAAGGGCTTTATTGAACTTATCTGTTTAATATTTATACGGAGTATTCTGCCATTACAACAGACTACGTAATAGAATATTAATTATTTGCTTAATTATACTTAGCTGATATAACTTCAAAACTTTTAAGCTAAATGTTCGACATCCAAATTCAAAGACGGCAATAAATTTCTGTAGACAATGATGAAATTTCTATAAAGTACAGTTATTGATTATATTTAGATACGCTTAAAATTTAAAATGCTAGCGATAGTTGCCTTTTAACATATCCTTTATGTAAATATCGCTGTAGTATTGCTATGTACTTGTAAATCTGCAATCTTTGGAACGATCAGTAAGTGAACCCTAATATTTAATATTCTGCTTTATCTTGATGTAATTACTGCAAGAGATCGACTATGATAAACGAATGGACTGTAACTTGCAATGATAGTTCTATTCAAATCAATATCCACGTAAGTTTATGTGTATACTGTGGATCATATTCTTAGTCGATATAAATGCTAATGCCAATTGGTCTTGCTCTCTTTTGAGGTTCGGTTGCGATGCCTCTCTTAAATAGACATTATATCACTATAGTAAAAGTAATATAATCGCCGAAAATATAGAAAAAAAGGGTGTGTAACTTACACGGAGTCATTTACGAACTTCGATATGAAATTTATTTATAGTGGATAAGCTAAACCGCCATTAAGCTATTTATTGCTAATTGTAATTATAACCAGTAGCTTTTGCAACTATTTCACTCGCGAGTCAACGTGATCTGCAATTTTGTGGACTTTGAACAAGTTAGATTGGTCAAGTCAAAATCCATAAATGGGTAGATATCATTGCCTAATACATGTGTTACCGTGTTAGTCCATTTGTGCTATGCTACCGCCTATATAATATATCACCAATAATTTAGTCAATAAATAATCATGCACTGATGATACAACAGTTGTTATAGGTAATTACCTAGGTCGACTACATCATTAATCCATATAGATTAGTAAAAAACATATGTATCGTCTGCTTTTAATTCTAGATTTGATAATAGCGAATAAATCGTTTGACCTATAAATCTACAGAACCAGCATGCAAAGACTTTAAGTAAAAGCTGTAACATAAATCATCATAGGTTTAAATCCTACTGTGTTTGCATTTTAGAGAAAATATCGTCAGCCACTCCCCAATGATATTAAATTCACGAATAAAAATCCAATTTTAAACGCAATTTAATCTGACAATGCAGAGCATTTTTATTCAAATACTTATTTCTAAATTAAACCATCAAAAAGATACATGACGGATTATTGTTTAAAATATACGCAGGATAAAAGACTTCAATCTAACCAGTAAATCTAACTGGTTACAACACAAGATAGTAACGGATAGATTGTTAATGCATTCAGATTGTGCTAACTATTAACCAATTCAAACTATTTCAAAGTCACAATATTACTAAAACATCATACGAGTTTTACTGACAATTCTGATGATAACTTGAAATTTAGCTTATAGAACTTGTTTAGCTACAATCCGCTTGAACTTGAGCTTGTCCCCAAATTGACCTAGATCCCCCTTCAATTTAGAAGCTGATGCTTCGATGAAACCTTTGACACTCTCTACGCTATCAGCGGTCGCCACAATGACGAAATGTGTGCTATCCCCAGTATCACCCACATCTTGATAAAGGTTTAGAGTTTTGAAGCCAGGTGAGCTGGAAATATCTCCTGCATTTGTTTTGAACCAATCTACAGCCACGCTAGATACGCTGTTATCGACCGTAACATCTACGTGATAAAGAGCCATTTTATTGTAGTGTGTTAAGATGTTGAATGTCAAGACGATTGCAGAATTGGATACCAGGAATGGACACAGATTCACCTAGGGCTAGCCGAGAGAATGTAACAAATTGAGGGCAGAACTGACCTTTAAATCTTACAGCGACAAATCAATGCATATGCGCAATAATTTCAACTTGCTGGGAGTCTTATTTGTTTATACTATTTCATATGACTTTATTTACATTACTAATTAGATACTGTGCTAGTATACTTTGACCAACGACCCTGAACATCAAGATGTATATGTACAGTAATAATAAATAAGCCATGAACACTGATCTAGATGGCACGTAAAATCATTTTGAAGAAATCATTGGCATTGTCATTTTATTAGCATTAGAGGACAACAATTATGCTATTCAAATCGCTTGCCAAAAACTAATATTAGCGAAGTCTTTGTATGCAATATTGCGAAAGGGTTACGTACCGCGGTATCCAATTTAATTCAAATATTGATAAGAGGAATAGTCTAGATTTAGTTTTGATCACGGGTTAGAAGTCTGCCCCCTCTATCCCGTTCATAGTTTAGTATAAATAAAATGTACTTTGCTCACTGTAAAAGAAATACCATGTGGAAGCAACCTACTTCCATCAGATTGACGGTTCAATTGTAACGCTATTTATTATTATACAATAAAGCAAAAACTGCAAATCTGCCATTAAAATGAAGTACCTATGTCAGCTTTAATGCTTGCGTTGCTTTGCAATGTTAGATAAGTCTAATGTTGATGTCTAGCTAAAAAATCTGCAACATATCGAAAAAATTCATATGCTGTAGACTTATTTTGCAATGTCATGGGTTAATGGATTAATTATTTTTCTATTCTCAGGGTAGCAATCATCGTATCTACTGTTGATTTTATCTTTTTTTCATCAAATAGCATCTATCATTAGCATATCGATGTTATTCTTAATTGTTTACATTATCGATATTTTCTTAAACTTTTTCTGGAGTTTCAAGGTGAAGAAGATATATTTCTTTGCGAACCATCTATAAACATTAAAAACTGCTAACATCGCCCGCTCACAAAAGAGCTGCCAAAGTATATGCTAATATGACATTATATATAGCATCTTTGTAGCATTACCATTAATGTACAAGCTAATAGATCTCTTAATTCTTATAAGTCACTCCTATAAAATACCTGACTTAATATATTTGCATATAATTAAATAAAGTCCCGTAATTAAGTAACACCACAAAGTGCTATCCGCGTATACGAAGTGAGCTTTGTGATCCTTAACTTCATTACTGTGTTACTACTATATGGCATCAAATAATAGTCGTTTACGTTCAACTATATCTAGTCCTTCCTGATTAGACTATCAGGCTTCTGGTCATAGTTTAAGATTATACAATAAACAGGTTCCGTTCATAAGACTAACAGCCTATTCTGCAGCTTTTATCAAAGGTAAAATTCTTCAAGCGATTCAGCGCCTAAAGAATTGAGATACCATTGCATGCATTAAAAAATTTTATGCTAGTCGTTTAATCCTGATTTTTGATCTCAAATATTTCAATTCTTGATTCAGGATGTGCATATTTTAAGCAATATTGTATTGTGTTCGTAGCAATTTGCTAACAATATATAGTACATAATTATCTTTAGTGTTAAGTTTCGCAATATAAATTTAAAAGTGCGATCGATAAGCATTTCTGCTCAAAAAACTGACATTTCCACTGAAATGACCTCAGGTAATTGCAGTGGCACAGTATGTGGCTAATAGATGAAATGGTGCAGTTGTACTGCTTCTAGTATGAGACTAGCAATAGCATGAGACTATAGTATTACACGCTCATTACATCCACGTACCCATACGTAGCGAGAATAAAAATTATTAACAGATTCTCGGTGTTTTAAAATTGAAGAAATATTGCTAGAAGAGTTTCTAAATTTCATTTGTTCCTATGTAAAATTTAAAAGCCACTGAAAGAGGGCAAATATAAAAATTTAATTAATACAAAAAATCGTGTGCTAATCAGCTGAGTTGATTACATTATTGTTATGTCTGAAGATTATACACGTTCTAGGCATTTTTTGTATCACTTTATGTGCATTTATGAAAAGATTACGTGGTATTAGTTAAAATAATCAGACTACAATTGTTAACGATTATCAATTTTTGATAATTACGAAAGATTAATCGGAGTTAGAAACCCCATCGACAAAATAATAAATATCATTATGGTTTGATAGTATAACTACATATGATTGCAGGTAACTATTACTGGAACTGGTGCAAATTTTAAATAAAAGCTATGCTGGTATTAACTAATTATTTTATTAATCATGCCCAGTAATACCATAGTAAGACTGACAATGAAACAATTGCGAAGTATTTATTAATCAGGGTTAGAATCCTGGAGACTGTATAGTAAATATTATCATTTACGAGACAGTTGTTCGTGGTTTAAGACATCAAACAGAGGACATAATGTAAACCTTTCAGAAATACTTAGTCGACCGTCTGTACGATTATTTATATGAAGCAAATTAGTATAAAATAATAATTTTATTGCAGATGCATACTGCATAGTGTGGCATTGACATCTTCCCAAAAGTGATAATTGCTGAGAATGTTCCCTCGAGAGATTCAGAGAATTTTAATTCTGAATTTACCGCTATGTTAAATACAAATACTAGAGTGAAGTTTATTTGCATATTCAGGACTCTATTACAAAGTTATGAAGCTTAAGAAAGTCTGCATTGAATAATGCATTAACTTCTAATCTTTTAAATTCGATTCTTTTAATATTATCTCAACTATAAGTAGTTATTTTGCTGTACGGCATTTTAATTACATTAATCTTTGTTAAAAAGATGATTTAGCTGTTATCATATGCACTTTTATAAAATTTCTTCGTTTAAATTAAGTGCTACTCATTCACGAACTAGTGGTATATTGAAAGCTAGGCGTTAAGCATTCATGTGTATCTGGATTAAACAATCAAAAACATATCAGAAATAATCTGAGTTTGTTTCCTAGAAATGAAATACCGGACTAAATATAATCAAGAAAGGTAATCAGTTTGATGGCAAAGAAAAAGTAACACTTATCACCTTAATACTACTAAAAAATGTTGCATTCGGTCTCCTTTTTAGACATTCGTATCTTATGTTACTAGATCTTGTGCAGGTGATTACCTGCACATTAGTGTATGTTTTCAATGAGTTAAATCAGTAATTCTAGATCACATACATAAAATTCTAGCTGCTACTCGTAAAATTCGAATTATAACATTCATCAGCTTAAAATTTGACCAAAAGCACTATTGTTCGATTTATTATGATGCTGTAACGACGAGGATCTTATTTGAGTAAGATATTATTAGCAAAAACATACAGACAGTTTAAGTAAATTATTCTAATTAGTTAAAATTTATTTACGCTTTAAAAATCTTGTAAAATTTACTATAAATGTTTCAGACAATAAAGCAACCAAATGGGAATATATACACCGACGCTCCAAAATTCATGATGGCAAATTTACCATCTATAGATTTGGATTAAATCATAAGTATCTACATTTCCAAAGACAAACATTGAGAACATGTTTCTTCTACAAAATCGTAAAATTCTATATCTAATTATAGCTTATTAAGCGACATACTTATATTAATATTAATATTTCATTCGATTATTGATATCAAACGTATCTAACTATTGTAACTCCGAGAAATGGTTCTATTGATCAATTTTCACAGCGAATAATTTATGGTAGTTTTTGATGCATATCAAATAAATTATCATAAATTGCACAGCATTTAGTACCGATACTGTTAGGAGTAAAACGATTACAATAGGGTAAATTTATTTTATTTATTTCTACTCCATCAGTATAAAGTTATTTTGCATATAGCCTTTTAAAAGATTCTATGCAATCCACAATAACATGATCCAGTTTAATACTAAACGTACCCGCAAATAAGAAACCAGCATGTTTCTCATCATAAATCCATTTTAAATCACCAGAGCCATAGGTGCAGATGTTGTTAATGTTCCAACTTCCATGACAGGCAATATTATCTGAGCGCTTTTTTACTAAGCGAATATTATAATCATAAGTCTTGCTAGATTCTTTGTGACCATAGCCTCCAGGTATATCAGATATCCTTTGTAAAGTCGCCCAATAATAAATCTCCGGCTTACGAACATTCTTTAAGTAATTTTGTAGTTCACTAGCTATTGAGTTTTGAATAACAAAATTGCAAAATGACGACGTAGCTATAAAAATGTCATCGCCTACGTAGAGTTTTCCACCAGTGGCTTGTTTCAGCTTCTCAACATTAACAGCTGGAACATTACTTGGCGTTTTTGAATTCGATTCAGTAGCAGGCGTTTTTTTACTGATTATTTCTTTACTTGCTCTTGAATTGATAGCATTGTATCCATTTAAAGACTTTAAATACTGTACTAACTTCAGATTAGTTACCAATGGATAGTCGTTATCTTGGATATTAATGTAATATTTCCATTTGTAATTTCGCAATTTTTTTATACACTGAAGATCTGAATCTATCTTCTTATGCTCGTCATGAACCACATCGGGCAATTTAACAACATGGACATTTTTTAAACAGTTTGCTATATTAACCATAGCCTGGTGAAATGGCTTTGATAATTGACTGGATAATTTCAAGCAGTAGTAATTATACGGTCGATATATCCTGTGTAAGAATTGTTCAGTCTGCTCTCCTCCTTCATTAATATATACTCCGAAGGATATAGGATATTCTTCCTCTTCGCGCTGATTTTTTGTCGCTTCGTGAGCGTAGGAATCATAAAGTTTGTTGTCACATACTTCAGTTAGCTCTCGTAAGACTAGATCATTCAAATATGTACGGTTACTTGCTAGTGATAGAGTTTTTTTAATAAATTGCACTTCTTCTGGAATTCCATGACGTATTGCTTGACATTTAGGCTTTCTTTGGCCAAATCGATCGAAAGTTTTGCTGTAATACCATTTATTTGGAACAACAGAATATAATGGTGGGGGGAAAGAGAAAGTTTTCTTTTTTTTAGTCGGTTTAGGTTGAGTTTTAGTGGCGCGATCGTCGCGCTTCAATTTTTTTGTAGACGATATCGAAAGCGTATCATTAAGAGAAGGCTTTTTTTTCTCGGTAGTCATAGAATTAATAAAGTTATTTATAGTCCAGGGAGTTTGTTTCGGATGGGTTAGCCAAGAAAATATAACTAAAGCGATAGTTCCGATAATTATTAAGATAAAAAAATTGCGAGTTTTCATATTTATAATGTATAGATAACGACACCAATATCCAACTATCTGTACGCAGAAATAAATTCTCAATTGCTGCTTTACAATCCTATATAGCGTACTTTTATTTGTCGCAGATTTAGAATGTAAGTATCAATAAATGCTATTATTTCAGAGTCAATAGAATCCAGATGTTGATAGCTGAAAAATAAGTTACTTTATCTCGACTTGCAACAGATTTCAAGTGCTGTTCAGCCCTATAATTTAATTGATATTATAATGAATCGAAAAAATTAACTCAGAAATTTTGTAAAGGATTCGTTACTATAAGTTGTGCTTTACCGATAGATATAGCATATTACATCAATCTTATATTTCAATGATTCAAGCGATAAACTTTTAGACTCACTTTAAAATATCAAAAATACTTTTTATATTAGTTCCTGAAATGTCAGCCGATCTACATAATGCGGAATCTACAAAACAATAATTAATTCAATTCTGTAAAAATATGTTACTCTACAGACTATACATTATTAGGTCGTGCCTACTAGCCGTATACGACGGTCGATCAGGTAGTATATCGTAATTTCCAATCAATATTTTAAATTAAAGTGATTTTTATTATTGGATTAAAGTTAATCCAGTTTTAACATACTGTATCTTCATGGCCATACCTTGAATAAGTCAATCCTACAAGTATTTGATTGCATATGCTGCGATAGATGCAGCTGTTGCCAAAATATTATATTTTCGTATGCTTTGTTCTAAACTTAGCCTTAGATTGGTAGCGTAATTTCATCCTTGGTAAAAAATTAGTGTATAGAAGTACCGTATGTTTATCAATTTTGGGCATGTTTAAAATTAAGCGAGCATGATTTCAGCAGAGAACAACATCCTCATTGTCATTTTAGAATAGGTCGACGAGACATTATTCAGGCGTAATCTACTGATCATACCTTGTCTTCTGATTCACTATACTAACAATATAATTTTTGAGTAAAAAGTACGAAAAATTTATTTGTGGTAATCATTTCCAATTTGCATGCAGTTTCGTATTTTAAAATAGAATTTATTTTGTCTGATCTAGTTTAGTCTGTCAACTTGACTGAAGTACTCCATCGAATCCTACCCTATCTTATCTGTCTTCTATCATGTCCATAACCAATATACAGTGCTGTATGAAGCTAATATCTGTCAAAATTCGAGTTTCACGTCGTCCATCTAGGATAAATTTCGATTATTGTACTTTTACAAGGCGAAGGACAGGTTATGAATACTGTAGTACAGGCAGGATATGTTAGCTGAATCAATAGCCGCGTATCTACACCAAATGTGATGATTGCAGTTTGATAAAGTACGAGAAAAGTACTACACATTAAAAAGTACGGTAAGAATGGCTGGTATACAGTACTATAATGCATACTAGAGGCTAACATCTATACTTACTCTATCAAGTTCTAGATTGAATTTGTTCACTATAAATTCATTTAGTTAGGTACAGACTTTATGCCACAGTAAAGTACATTCGTTCTTATCCTAAACTGCTGCTGACGTCTTCACGGCAGTCTACTAGTATAATATAATTGAAGGACTGGCAGAATCCACTCCATACGCTATATTCCGCGTCATGGACCGTGCTGGTATTGATAGCTATAGCAAGTTCTCTGTGGCAGTGATTCCGTGGTATCTCCTTCCACTGTTAAATCATTTATTGTGACAGAAATTTGTCAACTTAATTCATCGAGTTTAACATTTGATTCTTGAACTTTTTTCAACTTTGCGACAGTTATATTGCCAGACATGATCATGGCTAAACTAATTTTAACAATAGATTGTCATGTCTCTCTCTCGAAGGGTCTCTAGGCTACACGATCGTGAAATGTGGTGAAATCGGCTACTGCAATAATTATAATTACATTCAGTCGTGATGTGTTAACCTTAATAAAGTGAAATCGGCTACTGTAATTATTACAATTACATTCAGTCGTGATGTGTTAACCTTAATGTGGTGAAATCCGCTACTGTAGTTATTATAATTACATTCAGTCGTGATGGTTTAACCTTAATAAAGTGAAATCGGCTACTGTAATTATTATAACTACATTCAGTCGTGATGTGTTAACCTTAATAAAGTAAAGGTTAATTACCCATACACACCAAGAGTGGGTAGTATGAATCTGCACGTGCGCTGCTACAGTACATAACTGTCCGCTCAGCTTCCTGTACTGTACAGTGTACAGTATGAATTCAGAAAGTCAAAGTCGAACAAGTACTGTACACTGTACACTGTAGAGTACTGTTATAACGATCTCTGTGCTGTACCGTACAGTGTACAGTGTACAGTATACAGCGCTGTACTGTACATTCTGTACTGTATCTAGAGGTACAGTACAGCACCAAAACTGAATCTTGAATTGGAGGCTTGAAGATCTCCAGAAATTTTCGCTCTTCTAATGCTATCTGCTATCCGCCATTTCAATCAATTGATTGTTTAAAAGTAAATTGCACGTTAGTATGGCATCCAGTAGCGCCACTACGGAGGCTGATGCTAGTAATAAGAAGCCATCAGGTGCGTAAAATTTATTTTGTTATATCAACGCTTGTGCAATTGAACTATTTCATTCATGTTCAATTTTATTGTCATAAATACCAATGATGGAATTATTGATTGCTATACTCTTGTTTAGGAAAGAACAAATATCGCAAAGATAAACGTAAGATCTTAACTTTTATAGAATAGACATCAGGGCTAATAAATTACTTTAATGAACAGCATATAGCTTATAACTTGTGATATAAGATTGATCCATGAAATAATACCTCTCTCTGACTTCATGCATGCTGCTACTGTAGCATGCTCATCGATTGATCTCTATGCAACATTTGACAAACTTAACAATACTCCTAGCTCGGAAATAAATCATTGTGCTGTCTACACGAGTAGGCATACCTAGTTTTTATGCTAAAATTAGATATCCTTATTATTAATGATGGACAGTGCTATAAATAAACTTGTATTGCAGCTCTATACATCAAAAAGATACTGTACAATCTTGATTGTATTACTGTATTTGCAACACTGGCAATAAATATTATATCAGACATGTCGATTCTTAAAATCGATTATACGTGTAAAACTAGATGCATCTCGGGAAAAATTTAGTGACCTAATTTAGAGTTTACTGATAGGATATAATTTGCTCGTTGACTACACATTATATGAAAAAATTCGTTACTATCACAACAGCGGATAGACAATTTGTCTTGAAATGACTTAATAATGACGCAAAATCTGATGTAGTAAACGTGTTATATCAATGGATTCTGCAGCGTATTTAGCATTAGTTTGTTATTATCACCCCTTTTAGCTTGGGATCATGAAGGAATTGATCACTGGAAGATTGATACGTTTGACGAAAAAGATAATCCACAAGGGTTACTAGAAGAGAGTTCATTTGCTACCTTGTTTCCTAAATATCGCGAAAAATATTTAAGAGAAGCTTGGCCACTTGTAGAAGAAGTCCTAAAGCAACACGTACGAGCTACTTGATTCAACAATTTATTCTCTTCTTACTTGATTAAGCCTTCTTTTGTATGACGTATCTTGGTGCCTATTACTGTTACAGAATATCAAATGTAAACTAGATGTAATTGAGGGTAGTATGACAGTCAGTACTACAAGGAAAACATGGGATCCTTACGTAATTATAAAAGCTCGAGATTTAATCAAATTGCTAGCTAGAAGCGTACCTGTCGAACAGGTTAATCAAATCATTACCTTAATACTTTAATGTTAGAATCAAAATTCTTTATATTGAATCTACTTCGTTGACAACATAATTTACTGCCTTAGGCGAAAAGAATTTTAGAAGACGGAATGGCTTGTGAAATTATTAAAATTGGTAGTCTAGTGAGAAATCGGCAGAGATTTATCAAGAGACGTCAACGTTTGATTGGTCCTAATGGAGCAACATTAAAGGTATTAAAATCATTTACTGACGATCTTTGATTATCCAATCGTAAATTAGCTGTAAATATTTGCATCCTTAATATTTTGTTTCGTATAATGCAAGCGTAAGCATTACCGTATACGTTCAGATTGATTGTACGTACATACATCGGTCTTCGTTGTTAGGCACTAGAATTACTCACTGGTTGCTATCTGATGATACAAGGTAATACAGTTGCCTGTCTTGGAACATACAAAGGGTTGAAGCAGGTACATAATCTTTTGGCAAAGCTAATAAATTCAAACTCAATTTTCAAATCTAATAAAAACATTCTAATATTTTTAACTTCATTAGGCGAAAAAAGTGATCATTGACACCATGAATAATGTTCATCCTATTTATAATATAAAGGTTTAAAGACAATGGATAGAATCGTCTGTTATTATTCTTATCGCGACTTTTGATAGTATGTTCGATCTGTTTCCGATTATGCTAGGCTATGATGATTAAGAGAGAGTTAGCCAATAACCCTGATATGGCTAATGAATCATGGGACCGTTTCCTACCGAAGTTTAAGAAAGTGAATATTAAAAAGAAAAAAGTTAAAATTGAGAAGAAGGAGTATACTCCATTCCCGCCGCCACAGACCGAACGAAAGGTTATCACATCTCCACTTATTTTGATTTCATATTGCAGTCAGCTTTGTTTATTTATTAAATTGCGGAATATGATGCTATTTTAGATTGATAAAGAAATGGCTAGTGGAGAATATTTCTTAAAGAAGAAAGAGCGCCATTTCATGAAGCGAAAGGAACGACAGGTTATATAATAGATGTCACTGTCTGTGGGTTATTAACATGATCGCTATTCCTCATACAAAGTAACTGTTTATAGGTTAAACAGGCTGAAGCCAAAGAGAAAAGAAAGGCTAAACGCGAAAAACTCTTTACTCCTCCTTCTGAGCCGAAAAAACACAAAAAGGAAAAAAGTAAGATCGATTTGGGTCAGAATAACTTCGCTATTAATTTGGTTCTTGTGTAAGCGTAAAATATCGCTGCTTAGTCTTTGAGGTCCGTAAATAAATTTAATCTATGAATTATACTAGATGTGAAAAAGGCTGATTCTGTGGATGTAGGTGCACTGAAGGAGAAGATCAAAAAAGCACAGGTATGTGCATTATAAGCACGATAGCCATTTACAAGGCAGTAAATTTGCCTATGGCACTTCTTTTAATGATTACTCTGTCAAATCCCTAAAATTAATGTAATCTATTTGCTAATGATACTATAGGGTAAAAAGAAAATAAAGAGATCTTAAGATTTTACCAAATGTAAATTACCTTTGGAAGCTAGTAATTACAGATATTATGTTGCTAGATAAGTAAACAATACTGTAAACAGTAAAAACCGAGAATTGTCTACATAGGCAATGTCACCAAATTGTCTTTAGCAATTGCTGTATTCTTTTATTGCTGTTTACATTACGTTTAATATATGATAAAGCAAAGAAAGTTTATGTATACTAGGTACACTTGAAAATTGCAAATTTTCATAGCATTGATATTGTTTTTGTCGTATATATATCGTCTACAATGGTGCACACGTTACGACACATTGTATATAAATGATATAACAATAAACAAGCTTATAACGTTCTAGCGGAAGGTACGATTCCATTATGTCCTGGATTGTGTATTTAACTTTCTCACTAGATCCCAATCAATGTCTGCACCAGAGACTCCAACATGACGCCTAAGGACAAATGTTGCAATTTTATCGATAGTCGTCTTTTCGATACCCAAATCTTCCAGGCCAGGTAATTCAGGAGTGACTCGATCTGATAGATTTTGCTATTAAACGAAATATATCAGCTATTAATTTATGATAAACTAATTAAAACAATCAATGATAAAGACATTATCAGAACTGTAATTGAAATCAAAGAAATATCACAACATGCTGACCCGTATGAGCTTGTCTCGTGTTAACCATGGAATGTAGCCAACAGTTTCCATTACACTTAGAAAAGCACTACCGTAAAGAAGTATATTATTTTAATATACTGTGCAAACAATGATCGCAACAGTATCAAGCAAATTGAAGCGATGTAAAAACAAGCCAACATACTTGAACATCCATTGAGGTAGGGTAATGGTTTGGAATCGCCTTGCACTATACCTGAAAATAGTTCCCACCAAATCGTATAATAGATATTCATGAGGCCTACAACAGAGCATGTAATCAGTCAATATTCTTTATAGTCATGATCAATCATGATTAGCTATTAATATCATAGCAATATTGGTTAGCATACCCGTACAACTCATAAATTCTTCCAGCGGTTGTATCGTCTACGGTCATTTTGGCAATAGCTTTAGCAAAGTCAGCAACCTTAAAATTATTCATTTATTAGTAAGGTTTAAGATAGAAACTACATCTATCAAGAGCATTACGAGAGATTATCAATGTATGCTAGTGCACATACTATTGCTTACATATAAAGGTATTTTAGTAGCTTTTAGACCTCCATCTAGCAATGGCACTCCAAACGGCAGCATTCTTAACTCTTTCAAAATTGATAATATTCGAAATGATATTCTTTAGAGCGTTATTTAAAAACTTAAACTTGAGATCATTTTCTAGAAGCAACTTACCGGCATAGTAATTAAAAAATCTATCCTCCTGGCCATATATATCAGAGGGCCTAACTATAGTAGCATCAGGAAACTCTTCCAATACAGCTTCCTCACCGGCAGCCTAAGATAAGACAATGATAAACTGATAAGATTTTTACACAGTAGTAGTTGCTTACCAATGGATCGTTATTAACGTATATAAACATATTAATTTTTAACCTTTGATCTGAGCCAATGTGATTTAGAGTTCTTATCAACATTTAAAGCTGAAACATGTATTAAACGCTCAACACCATGATCTCGACATGCACGGGCAATCGCACGAGCTCCTTCCACATTTGCGTCCTCATATGTATAATTCCTGTCATAAACACATAGTTTTCTATTAAGTGTATCTAGACACGACAGGGCAGAAATGACTGATTAATTAAAACGAATTCGGAGTTATTAATTCTACCTTGTTTCCCAGTCTTGTCCAATTAGGTTAATCACGACATTAGAATGCTTCACTAATTCAGAAACTGCATCGGTGTCTCTCAAACTGAAAGGCTACGTGATATACAGTGAAATTAGAATACATTAAGATCACTTGGATAGGCACTATAATACGTTTTAAAGCATACACACTTGTTAGTTAAGCTATTCTACCAAGCACACAGCTTAGGTCTAATGAAATATTGTATGATATGCTATTATGCTTTGTCTTATGATATACTAATTAAAGGAATAGCAACATCTTCACTGCTAATATTGTAAGAGATGCTGTGTACACTTTCAAGTATTATACACGAAGTAAAAAGGTATCAGTTGCTTGTCGCAAAGGTTTCCATAATGTGACCTAATGAGTTTGCTATTATGCTTATCTTACCCGAAACATAATTTGGCCCAAATCACCCATCAGTCTTATATGCCTAATATCGTGTTCATCACAACGGTAAGGAACCATAATTTGAGTTCCAACTCGTCCTAAACATGAGAGAAAAAACTAGTGTTAAACTTTGTTGAAGATAGTAAATGTTGCCATATTCTTAAGTACTACCATGAAGTTGAATATAGGTATTTGTTGAATGATCAACAAATAGTGACTAAAAAGTTGTATTTTTCTCTGATTGTTATAAATACAGTACTGTAGAGTTGCTAATCAAATTCTTAACTATAAATTCTATTGGAACAACCCTGTGGTAATATATTCAATAAAACTTCATCTAATGAACAAAATGTCTAGTATAAGTCAATTATTAATGACAATAAGTCCAAGTTGTGTTGTTGCAGAGAGAAGGCGTGAAATTGTAATTAATGTTACCTAATCTGTTAATAACATATCGTCCTGTAAATCCAGTGCCACCAAATACAGTAGCTAGAATACCAGAGTAGGAAGAGCGGCCACCACGACCACTCTTGACCAACTGATGTAGTTTTCTCTACGATTATAAAAGCCAATCACTGTGGGTTAGTCATGTGTATCAGATGCATAAGAAGATTTATAGGACGTATACTGACATTATCGATTTATGCACAATTGCACAGTGGTAGAATCATGGGAAGAAACACGAACTCGACGTTGCTAACAGGTAGTTTATGGCTACAAATGCACTTGTCGAACTTAATATCTCAAGTCAATGTAAAGACAGCAACGTAGCCATATTTACACGTCCATACCTATCTACGGTATAGTAACGGCATAATGTACTACTTTCTCTATGTCAATATAGTATTCTACAAACTTTGCCATCGAGCAACAGCAATACACTTCTCAATTTAGTAAGGACGTGATCACTATAACCTCGTTATGGAATAGCATAACCTGGTTGTTAAGCTAACAGGAAGAATTAGGCAAAATGAAATGAAGAAGCAAGCAAGTGCTGGCTATCTCAGCTACATCCATGTCTATACAGAAGATAAAAATGATGTAGAAACTGCTCGGTAGCTCTTTAAATAAAAGTACAGATAGGCAAACAACATTGTTGGCCAGGTCGACATGAAAAGAGTTTACATTAAGTAAAAACAACTTACATCGTTGATAGAGGAACCGCATATTACCGTTCTTACCGACGATACTATAGAATATAAGTCAACATTAAGAATAGAATAACAACATAGAATAGCATAGCATGGATAGAAATTGAAATTAGTATTATTGCTATTAGTTTTACCCGTTAATGTTTGAGGTAATCGTCTTCGGGATAAGTTTAACATCATGGCGGATCAACGTTTTGGCACGACTGGAAGTACGCCAGTACTGCAGCTGTTCAACCTGATTGTCGCAGTCAGTATGTTAGTATTATATCGCAAACAATGGCGAGAAATCAAGGCTACAGTAGGCAGACTTGGTCGAGTTACTCTTGGCAGACCAACGCAACGCACATACGGTAAAAACGCTTCACCACAAAATCCCAAATTCACTCAACGTCTAGAAATGTGCACAAATCATACTGCAAAGTATACGATACCGTATAGTATACGCTGATAGAATTCATACTACTAAATAATACTGCAGCTGCGCAGTTCAGTCTGGCCTTATTTCCTGGATTTTCGCTGCCATGGACTAGTGACATTGTTTTTGCTCGTGATTGAAGCTTAGTGTAATGTGAAAAGTATACATTGTATCAGTACCGTAAGCCAGTAATGTACAGTACACAGCCAACCTTGCAGATAATGATGTCACCTATGGCGGTGATTTATTACTGGATTTATCGGACGGACAGTACCTCTATGGGCGTATAGTTACTGCACAAATGACTAGCAAAACTAATGTCCACAAGATGAGTCTATAGTAATAGGTTTACAGTAAGAAAAAGGGCCTTCATACAGGTGACATTATTTGTTCGCATGAAGTCCACAATGAGCACTTCAATCTACAGACTACAGTACATCAAAGGTGGACTGTAGCAGACGGAGCGGACGCTGCTACCTTACCTACTGCGCAGTTCAGTCTTGCCTTATTTCCAGGATTTTCGCTGCCATGGACTAGTGACATTGCTTTTGCTCGTGATTGATGCTTAGTGCCATGTGAAAAGTATACATTGTATCTGTACCGTAAGCCAGTAATGTACAGTACACTGCCAACTTTACGGACGATGATGTCACCTACGGCGATTGATTACTGGATTTATCGGACGGAAAGTATCTCTATGGGAGTATCATGCACAAATGACTAGCAAAACTAATGTCCACATAATGAGTCTAAAGCAATAAGTTAACAATAAGGAAAAGGGCCTTCATGCAGGTGACATTTTTTGTTCGCATGACGTACACAATAAGCACTACAGTCTACAGTACTTTTAGAGAAACATAGCACTGTCGAAATGTACTGTACAGTATCGTACTCTTTAGCAAAGGTGGATGCTAGCAGACGGAGAGGACGCTGCTACCTTAGGGCCTACGCCCATCCGACAACAAAGTCTCCCACTGCAGCTACTCTCGACTGGACATAACAAGATGGAAGGCGAAGGCGAAAGCAGTTTAATTGTCCATAGTTTAGCAGATATCTATCCTGGCAGTTCACAAGCTGCCAATGAGAGGTAAAAACTATACAGTAGCAGTACACGAAACCATGATGTTTCGTAACTATTTACGGTAAAGTAGATTCCTATTTGATGTCATGGCTATACTAGACTGATTAATGTATTTACGAGCATAAACTTAAACTTAATTATATGTGCCTCGTTTATTTATGAATGACTGGTGATAGTCATATTGAACATCAATGCGAGTACGGTCTAGTGATTAGTAAGCTAGTAAATTCTAGCTAAAAATGATTTGTTTACAGAATTACAGTACAATTAATATAGAATGACAGTCTTGATCAAGATACTACTACCATTGATAATACAGAAGTAATACGATATTATGCTGCAATCTCGATCAGTTTTGTCGCAACTTAAGCTGTAATCTTTTTTCAAACTGATGCTTTAATAAATGCCGTCTTTCATCATAAGCGTGTAATTAAGATCAGTATCGGACTTTGAGTCATTTTGCTACAATGGTGGATTGAGTATTAATGATTGAATGAAATGGAAATTATCATGGCATAAAGATCTACATTTTTATAAATTTATAGGTATAGGATGATGAACAAGATGTTTACGGAAAAATTGAACGTAAAGCCTCAGTATTTTGCTCGTGCTCCAGGACGTGTGAACATCATCGGTAAGAATAACAAATGATACTGACGTCAATCAAGAATGCATAGAATACGGACACAACAGACCTTAGACGATATCGAGATTTCTTTATACCTCTATGCCTAGCTAGCAAGCAGATAGTAGAATACAGTACATGCCCCCATACACATAACTTCAATTCGATATTTCATCATGATATCCAACTGTCTGTGATAAACTACTGTGAATTGATCACCAATGAATTCACTCACTCACGTTTTCAGCAACTGAGACAGGACTAACTTCAATGATGGTTACAATTATTCTCTAGGTGAACATATTGACTATTGTGGTTACGGCGTATTTCCTATGGCTTTGGAACAAGATATCGTCATAGCAGTGGCCGTCAATCAAGATCAAAAATTAAGAATCTTCAACACCAATGAACAATTTAAGTAAGATATAAAAAACGGATTTAGTAAATTATTTGTTCCAGAGCTAAAATTTTATCCTTCTTGCTTTTAAAGTTCAATTATAACTTAAATTACATCACAGATCATTCGAATGCGATTGTAATGATGTCAAAATTGACGGCATAAATTGGTATCATTACTTTCTTTGCGGCTACAAAGTATGTATAAATACAATGGCCAGTTGACATTGTCGGTTTCACAGCTGTGAAACCGACCCATTGTCCGATGATATTCTTGATGCAGTATTGTTTTTGTAAATTTACTACATAGGGTATCTGTGAAGCACTAAACTTATCAACAACTGTTGGTATGGATGTATTAGTAGATGGCACTATACCAAAGGTAACTAAAATACTCCATCTGATATCATATACCATCATTTCAAAACAACGTCGGAAATATTTCTTTTTGCGAATAGAGTGCAGGACTATCAAGTTCATCTGCTTTGGTATGCTGCGCTGGTTTAGCTACATTACGTGCAAATAATGGATCGCTAAGCCGTGTAAGAAATATTTTAATCAGATAGCGTACAAATTTATCGACTAAACATAAGTGATCGTTTATATCATTGATGTTATGTATACTAGGTTGAATTAGCTGAAGTCTGTGCTGCCTGTGAAAGATATATTGGCACGCAAGGCGGAGGGTTAGTAAGAAACGTAAAATTTTCGTTGATAAAGTTCTGAAATCTTCTGTTGCGTATAACAGACAATGTACACGATATCAAGTTAAATATATTTATAATATTTACCGTATACACGTGTATTATAGGATGGATCAATCAATCTCATTCCTAGCTGAAGGAGGAAAGGTATCGATGTTTAACCAGTTAACTCTTGAATGCTTAAATGATATCTTGTAAAACTCAAACTGATTTTTATCACAGGCAAAATTGATCGAATTTAATCCACTTCGAGCAACAAATGTAAATCTACCCGCTGACAGTGCGTTTGTCATTTCGAATTGCATGGTAAGCGATCCTGAATTTGCGTTCAAAAATTACATCGATGAAAATAGCAATTAGCAATCATAAATGATATGAATCATATCGTTGAATTCGGAGAATAGGTGGAAATGAAAAAATCGGAAACAGCTTCTACTCATTTTAATGTTCGTGTTGCTGAATGTGTGATATCGGCCAAGGTAGAGTTCACTTTCCCTCCAATTTAATTCCATGTGCAATTCTAATAATTACACTCTAATAAAGATTCTAGCGCAATGTAATAATTTGAAGTGGAAAGATATAAAAACATTGGGAGAACTCCAAAAGACGTTAGATAAAGATCTAAATCAAATGCTACAATTGATAGAGAAGAATTTACATAAAGATCCTTATACTCGTCAGGAAATTTGCTCTATTCTTAAAATTGAAGTGAGTCAAGTGTGGCTTTTCTTTTTTAGTTATTTCATGTGTCATTAAATGTATTTAACATATAGTATTGGGTTTTCAAGATTTTCGTTGTATTTATGGATCTTAGGATTCTGATTTTGAGAAACATGTTGTTTCATCAGCTGCAAAAGATGCTGCGTTATTTAAATTATATGATCGATCCCTGCATGTGTATTCGGAAGCTAATCGAGTGTTAACATCGAAAAAAATTTGTGACGAAGCGAGTTCTGAAGCCAGCGAAGTAAATCTTTTTCATTTTAAAAATAAACCATCTGGAATAGGTTATTGTTAGATGCCACATGATTGATACGGTTGTTGTTAAACACTTATTTTAGCTTCTTGGACGATTAATGTCTGAAAGTCATTCTAGCTGTAGCAGCAAGTACGAGTGTAGTTGTCCGGAATTAGATAAACTGGTGGAAGCATGCATGTCAGTACTAATCATTTCATTACTTAGATTCCGCTCTATCCGAGTTTTAGACTAACTGTATTATTCATCTGCAAAGGTCCTGCGGGTCTTTAGGAAGTCGATTAACTGGAGCAGGCTGGGGTGGATGTGCAGTTTCAATTGTACGCAAAACCGATGCGAAAAACTTTGTTCGTAGTCTTTTTGAAGAATACTACGCATGCAAAGGTTACAAATGGGAAGATGCTGATCAAATTCTATTTAGCACAGAGCCAGGAACTGGTGCTGCGTTGTACTTACCAAATTAGATTTATAAAATTGGGATGTGTTCAATTGTGAATGAAAAAAGTACACTCCTAAAAATCTAGTTTAATTGATTTTTAATAATCATAATCTATATTGACTAACATTTATGGATAGCTAGTACAATGAAAAGTTAGTAACGTAAAATTAAATCAACTAGTGAAATCTAGAATACAATCTGCCGAAAGGTATGTTTTGACTACATCTCAAAAATATAGGTGAGAGTCCATTAGTCCAAAACTCAGTTATTATCGTTCAAAGATCACGAAAGATATTAGATTTTTATTGCTCCCATAAATCAATAACTTCTAGCATTCAATTGTAACATTCAATCGTACCGGAAATCACTGTGTAACACTTATTTGTTTTATATTACAATTAGTATTGTAACGATTCTTTTATTTTTTCATATATGACTGATGAGAAATTTTATTTTGACTTTATTAAAGATATGAACTTGCGATAAAACTAAGTCAAAATGTTCACTTTGGTACACCGAGATTAAAGATTATCTCGATCTACCCTGTTATTCGTTGTCATAATTTTTTTTTTTTAGGCGCAGTAAGACTTCAATAAAGACCAATAAACGATATTTTTCCTTGTTTAGGATTGTTGTAAGATGTAGATTTTAACAAATACTTTTTAAATAGTACATTTGTAAGCTGTATGATCAGAAACTACATTTAATACTACAAGAACGATTATGATTACATATCATAGTCTATAATCACATATATATATTTAACTAAAGCGATTATGAGTGACTTAAGTAGTTTTTTTTGCAACAACTGATCTACTGAAGCTATGATTAGATTATGAAAAGCACAAAAATAACAATTATTGGATATTAACAGTAGGATTTAGGCATAATTTGTAGGTTACAATTATTGCTTTCAATAATTTATTCTAGCTATTGCACAGTTTACAACGGAAACAGATGAGGAAACAATCCGATCAATACAGCACCTGCAACTTCTAATATCGATAAATGTTTAGATAAGTTGGAGGCTCAATTTTGTATATCGACAATTTCACCCCTCTTTCGTGGATATCTTAATATATACAGCTAATTTTCATTGTTCCACTCGACTGCATTAAGGTGTACAAATCTATAAGTAACTATCAATTTTGATCGAAAATAATCTGGCTCTAACAGTATATCAATCCATCATATAATGCTCAATATCCAATTTGATTGATTACATTGTGAATATCAAGTACATATCGACTAGAAAATGATACCGTTGTATTTTTTGTTGCCAAAGGATACACTACTGTACCTAAGTTGGGAACAAGCGAGCTACAATATCGTCTTTTCAGAAAATAAATTTAACTTTCGCCTGTGCACAAATCTGGTGAATGTTCTCATACGACATGATTAGTTACTAAGATACAGTATTAAAAGTATTAAGATATTGCTCTCATATTTTACTATATTGGTTATTACGCAGACTTTAGATCAAAGTAACCTATTTAATTATTTTGATGAGGAAATGAGATTATAAATTGCGTATAGGTAATACTAATCATCAAGATTCCTCCAAAACAATGTAATACTAAGTTTCGTGGCAGAAACGATATACTGTAAACCTTCTCCTTACGCATAAACGATAAAATAACGAACTCTCTTTATTGTGAAAGGTGACTCGCTTTTAAACCTCCAATCTATATTCGCGAGCAGTTGTAGAGTATATATCAAAATTTATGACACTTTATGCTCGATTTTAAAATACATTGGAACATGCATATAACATGAGACAGTCATGATTAGAACACAATTTGACCTTAAGCTCTCCTTTAAATTACGTATCTAAATAATTCACTCGTTCTTACCGGAAAATGAATTAGTAATACAATCTATAGCCTAACCATGTAACGATCAAATACAATGCCTCAATACTTAACGGTGGCCTTTAACACCATGATACTAATTGATTAAAATTAATAAGATGAAAGATATTGAAATATAAAGAGATAATTAGATTTAATCATAAGCAGATGAAGTTAAAGTACCAGAAATATATCCCTCAATAATACCAGACTAAGAAGATATGCAATAAAATCATGATTAGATCCATCTGTCCAATATCAAGGCAACTTTTATGCGAATTTTAATTTGATAACCAGGAATGCATTACAATAGCCTGATACTATATCCTAAAAAAAGGATGTTTAGCATAATTTTGGACTGATGATAAGAGAAGCAGAAATACTTCTATTCTTATGATTTCACTTCCTAGTCTAATAGATCTACATCATAATTCAATGATAGTTTTCATTATTTAATTAAGTACAATTATTATTTTATATCAATTACAGCTAACAATTTACTTTAATCACCCTTTTGTAGATATCTGTAAATATTCTTGAAGAAATTGAATACTATAGACACCATAATAAAGGAGAATAAAATTATAGCCATTGAAAGTAGAAACAGTAGATAATGAATTCCTACATTAATCATCATAAATTATTGATATTTCTTTACATTTACGAGAACGTCATTCTATCGTGCATTGGCATAACAGGTCATAAATTAATCATAATTGCATTAAGTATGATTAGAAACGAAAGAGCGTAAATAACATTCAATGCTCTTTTACATCAAAGTCCTAGATAGCGTCGTCATTATTATCTAACAATTGATGATCTATTGCCATATGATTTATTCACTAATATCATTCAGTTAACTTGGTTAGACCATTTTCTTTTTTTCCCTGCAATGAAAGCCTACTGAGCGGTTATGAAGTTATAGCTAGCAACTTAGCCCTCTGTCTTCGCGAAATTCCTTAATATTCTTCATATTATCCAGCTACCATACTTTTTAACTAACTTTATCTACTTGCAAATCATTTACTGAATATAATAGAGATCATTTACTACTTATAGAACTATTACATGCTAAAAAAAATTAAATCATTGGTTAACCAGCTAGCAAGCTAAAGATCTATCACTCTTCATCATTTTAACAATGAAATGGACACTAAACCTTTTCATCTTGACGGGTGAATTGATACTATATATGGTAGCATCCGAAAAGGTACAAGAAAAAAGAAACCTTTACCTTGGTGGATTTTTTGCAGTCAATTTAACTAAAGAAAACTGGAATGGCGCTGGCATTATTCCTAGCGTTCAAATGGCAATTGAAGATATAAATAATCGAAATGATATCTTGAATGATTACAACTTAATTCTACTATGGAATGACACACAGGTAAGTTTAACGATTCGTCATTGCTTTATGATATATATGCGTATTTATCACATAATAGTCGAATACGACATATCTTTATCGATACATACGATTACAGGTTATTACTTCATCACTTTCAGTTTGATTGTATAATATTCTTTGCGAAGTTTTAAGAAATATGTAAAATTTATAAAGAGAAGTATTATGAAGTAAACGTAATACGGCACTGTTGTCATCCTCCTAGCTGCGATAAACTCAATAATTCTCGAATAATTCTATCTTGAATATAATTTTTCGTAGACTGTATTATGTAAAAAGATCATAAATTTGAAGTACACAAAAATGGGATAAGAAATAGTAGTGATAAAAATTCTACATTTGGATATGTCTTAGAAATTTTAATTGAAATATTAATACATGTTTTTGCAAAATTATTCACTTTTTCCCGTAACACGGTCTACATTTTCTGATTTTTAAACTGAAATTTCTATATCGACTAGTACAGCATTTATTCCATAACATTTCCGCGGTAAGAGTAAGTTAATAATAATATAATTAGCGCTTACAACCAAGTCCATAGTAAAGAATAATTATCATATCAGTAAATCACATTTCGAAGTGGAGTTAGAAAGTCTATTGCAGTTTATCAATAGCATTGAACTAATTATATCTCATGTGTTTTTATCATAACTAAAAATAGAAATATGTTACTATCATTTCTAAACAAGCAGTAGGGCATAAAAATTTTAGATTTAAGAAAGTAACTTATATGTCGTATTTCATTATTATAACTTTATCTATCATCAATGCAAAGTCTACCTACTGAATGTTCGAATATATGAACGAAATTGTCTAATTTCTTAATTCGTACAACGTACAGTATAGCTGCTACTTCCTATGCTTCCGAGTTTCTCAGAGTTCATAAGTTCGTTAACTACTGTATAAGCCGTTTCTAAGTGATCTTGATGAGTTCATACAATTTTAGGTATACGCGTAAATGTACAAAGAACTGGTTCTAGTCGTACCGTAATTATAGCAAACAAAATTATCTTATTTGTATACAATATGTAAGGTAATTGCAAATTAGTATAAGTATTGGTAGCTAATTTATGAATTACGGACACATACAATAAATTGAATTTTAAGTATACATTTGCAATCTGACATTGTAATTAATATTCGAACGGTGAATAAAATCAGTATACATAAACTCCTACGCTAAACAGTCAACTCAATGTTTTAAAAATGCTTTTAGATTTTATTGATACGTTTTGAAAAAAATTGACTTATCCACTGATATTTAATATTTACGGTCATTCTTAAGTTCTATATAATAACATACCATAAATATAATTCGTTCTGTATATATTTCATAAAAAGCATTATTACCCATCATTTTCGAAAATATGCGCACCTTAATCTGACTGTACAAGACGCTTTCTGGTAGTTTAGTCAGCTCTAAATTCATACATGAAATATTGTAAGTCACTGCCAAACCATATTATGAAATGGCCGGACTGTTAATTTTTCACTCTTTAATTAAGATTATAGAACAAAAAATGGATATATTTAATAGTTTTGGTAATTTATTTTGCCCCCGAAATTTGCAATTGATATTAAATTCATTGCAAATAAAACTTCTGATAATATGCTAAGAACTATCTTAATTGATATCGTTAGTCATCTTCTAATTTAAATTATGTAAAATAGATTGCTAAAGTATTTGACAATTTACTTTATCGATAATCTTGCTCTTTACGAAATATTCCATATTTCCTAAGTTATTTTTTCAATGTAAATAGCCTTTAGCTTTTATTCAGTAATTTTCTGACTTTTTAATTTTAAAGGATAAGAAATAAATTATGTTATGATTAGATAATAGCCAAATTAGGACTCAGTTTACGCAAAAATACATACGGTAGATCTTAAGCTAGTTTATCTTTTGGAAAGTAAACATCCAAAGCCAATATAACCCATAATAGATGAGAGATACACGTCAAGAGCGCTTAGCTAGAAGGTTTACTTACCCTAGCTTTACAAACTGTCAACACTTAGCTTGTTAAGAATCTATATGTTCTATATAGTTGGCCGATTTTTTAACAATCTCGTAAATAGTAAATGACATCATTCTATCACAATTTATTACCATACTTATTAAATGTAACCATAAAAATGAGATAAATAGCCTCTATAAGAATTAGGATTAGCTTTGCTGATCTAATGTACCAACATAAGGTAGTACATAGCCAATTCTAAGACCTTAACAGTATTGCCTGATTCTACTCCAATGTCAACAAGTACACAATGATATCTTGAACCTTGAACTTTTTATCTACTTTACTATATTATAATAAAAAATTATATCCTAAACAAATTAACGGTAATAAAATTAGTTAAAGCCGCACGTCTTATTGATATGATAGCCAATTTCTTGAAATATAACACATTTGATTTGATGTTGCAATACGAAGTTTAAACTATTTTCGCTCTGCAAGACTAATAAACCTTACATCTGACTGAATTAGAGATATTAAGTTAAGATTCTAAATAGATTAGGTAATTTAAAATCTCATTGTTATTTTCTCTTTCATTTTAACAGGGATCTCCGGGATTGGCTAACAAAATACTTTTCGATATGGTTTCTAGTAAACCAACTAAAATTGCATTACTAGGACCTGGCTATTCGGTTACAGCACGATCAGTAGCATTAGTATCCTATTTCTATGGTTTGAATGTAGTAAGTAAAGTAAAATATTCAAATTAAATTTTGCTATGCACTAATTACTGACTGTTTATAGTCCTATAATAAGAAATTTTTAAATGAAACGATAGAGGTTTGATATGTACTTATTTTATTTAAAATCTAAACAAGCTTCTTCCGTTATTGATGATAATGATAGTTTAGCAATAGCTGCTATAGCGATAGCTATTACCTGAAGATTGCTGTAGATATTGCGATGTAAACTTTCAGCCCACTCAATCCTCAAAAAAGTGTAATTCTTGTTTAATATCATCGCTAAACTAAATTCGGAATGACAGGTGTTAAGCTAAAATATCAATCATTACCTATATCTTTACGGTATCACTTTCCAACTCAGTAACTAACTATCCTCTAACTCATTTGACAAGCCAAATAATTCTTTATTCGAAAATGGTAAATGTAATTTTTACTTAATATTCTATTTTAACTCGGCAATAATACCAAACGAGTTAATCTAGTGTATTATCAATTATTTATTGCTACGCTTAATAAAACAAAAATTGTAATTTCCTATCAACTCATTTCATATTGTTTCTTCTGACAGGTATCGTATTCTGCCCAAGCCAATCTTCTAGCTGATCGTAGCACTTTTAAGTATTTTTATCGGACTTGCGCATCGGATTATGATTATAACATGCCAAGAATATCGACGTGCAAATATTTCAATTGGACAAAAGTGGCTATTATCTATGAAAATGATCAATTATTTGTCACGGTAATTATTTCAACTGAATTATAAACAATCTTAACGGAATTGGTTAATTCTAGGCAAGCGCTACGTTAACAATACTCTATGATAGCTTAATGTTAAGAAAATCTTATAGTATGACTTTCAAATTGGACTAGGTTAAGAAGTGCTTTACAGAAATGTAGTTGTATTTCTTCTTAACTATTCGTATTATTCGGTGTCAAGATTCGCATATTATTCGTAACTAATTTCGAGCTGACACATTGCTCCTTAAGAATCAGTAACATAACTGAATTGGTTGTGGTTATTTGTTCTTAATTACGATTTCTAATTGGTGAATTTACGGCCCTAACACAAATTGTAGTGTAATATGGCTTTCATGTTATGGGGAATCAATTACGTAACACACCTATTTTATGAAGTCTGCCTTTTATCACGTAATTAATATAGTATTCTGAGCCATATATAGATATTAGAACTATTTTTAGGATACAACAGCTTTCATAACATAAATAATGCTGTTAAGTACGATATCGATTAGTAGTAGCTTCTAGCTTAGAAGAAATATAAATGGTAAGATAATATTAGTAGATACAAAGCAAAATTTCATGTAATATGTGCCTATAGCATTACAAATATTACGAAATTCCATCTGATAAACGCAGGCTATCAACGCCCATCAGATAATTCAAGTTCTCATTATCAATTCTAATCATTTATTTACGTAATATAGGGCATAAACCAATTTAAAGCAATTTTAGAAGAGCACAAAATCGAAGTTATTACAGTTGAAAATTTTGAACAAGGAGGCGATATGACAGATCAAATGAGATCATTGAAGGTATACCAGCAATATTTTATCTTTTTAACTCACTAGATGTAGAATTACGATCGATTATACTTAGTAAAGCTTCAATAAAAATCTTACAAAATAATATGATTAATTAGTAATATCATAGTTAATAAAAAACAAGTGCATTAATCATTTTAATAGAAAAACTTTTTTATATTATAGAATAAAGGAGCCCGAATTATCTTCGGGTTCTTCTACGAAGACAACGCTCGTCGAGCTATGTGCACAGTAAGTCCTACAATTCCTGCAATTATGCGATATCTAATAGATTCTATTTACATCTTATTGATAGTAGATTACTATACTTATGTTCTTATAGCTTAAGTATTCGTTCTTTAATAGCATTGAGAAGGGTCAAGATATACTATAGTAAAATTGGTGTATCCTAATACTTATTTACACATTGTAAATCTAGCTATCATCAAGAGCAACACCATAAATGTTCTGTAAAAATCCTAGGATTTCCAATATTAAAATGTACTACTTCATCAAATGATAACAGCATCTCATATCAGATAGTTGTAATTACCAAAGCGATGTAAGCTATTGAAGTTCAGTCAAAAATTTTAATTTTTATATTAAATACCATCAGTTTATTAAACATTATCCTACATTCGACAACTCTTGTTCGTTGTTTTAGTTGTTGATAGAAACTGCTATTGCTTATTCAGATTTTCATAATTACTATCAAATACTGTAACATATCAGACAATCACAGCCCATTTATTTCGTTGAAGCTGGAACTTTCTTTTATTTCGTGTTGATAAGTGGGCGATTCTATTACTCATCCAAAGTTTAATCATATAACCGGCCTGAAACTATGTTGTTCTCTTATTTAACATAGTAAGATATTCCTTACTTTCATAGTCGGTTCGCATGTTACATATGCTATAAGCCTGAAAAATTTTTGCGAATATGAATATTCATCAGACATTAGCCTGGCTTCAATTAGCTAGACAGGCGATTCTTTGTCGCTAAGGTTAATCCGTAATCATAACTGCAACTATTGATTAACACAATGGACTTCTAAAGTTAACATAAAGTCCTCACCCAATTACATTCCCATTAGCAAAACGAGAGTTGTTATCTTCTTCTGCATTTTATACGTACATATGTAGTTAACATCAGGCTATTTAAGCTATAGCTAAACCTGAGGTAGCTATAGCAAAATAGAACTATTATAGCTTTTACATTATAAAATATCTATCTGCAATAACAGCCTGTAATAATAGAAGCTTGTATTGCATCTGGTCTTTTGCATTTCTTGAATCTTTACCTTTTTCTCAGGCATATCATTTCGGGTTAACAGACAAGTTACATCAGTGGTTCCTTCCATCGTGGTATCCTAGTTCTTGGTGGGCTAAAGGCGATAATAATATTAACTGTACCATAGCGCAAATGCATCAAGCAGTTCAATATTATCTTGCCGTTAACGATAATTCCATCAATTCTGATAAAGAAGGAATATCAGGAATGGTAATAATGCTTTCAGTAATCGCACACAGAATATATACGCGTACTTACCCTACGTGCATAGCGATATGTCTAACAATGTAATATAATTCTTTTTAGGGTTGATTTAATAAGATATCGCATGGATTTTTTATTAGTTATTAATATATCGCGTACTTTTATTTCCACTAGACTCCATTCGAATTCGACCAGCGCTATCGTAATCATAGCTCTATCATCAATAACGTTTATCATCGCAATAACTTTGCAGCCTCAGGTTATGATGCTGTCTGGGCCATCGCTTTAGCATTAAATCGATCTCAAGAGCAATTTAAATCTATGAATCGAACATTAGATCAATTCCATTATAATAATGCAGAAATGGGAAGAATTATAGCCAATCAACTTGATCAGGTCAAATTTGAAGGTATTTCGGTAAGTAAAGAGAAATTGTGCTAACTTAATTTATATTAATCTTACCTTATAAAGACAAGATTTAATGTACTATATTGCTTAATCAACGTAAAATAATTTGCGGGATAATGTATTATTGTTCATGAATATGAACTTATGCAATATGTATATTCTGAATTATTACAAGTATAAACGAAGGTATAAAATAATACAGGGACAAGAATTTTTACCTCTGTACTCATCAAAAATTATACGGAACTGTTAACTTGAGTTGCTTATCTTGTTTTTCGTATGTTTATTTTATAGAATTATATTAAATTTGACACCAAGGGTAATTTAAAAATCGATAAAGTTGATATCTTTCAACAACAAGGTAATATTCCTATTCTGATATCAGATTATACGCCAGCATTGGGCATACTTGTGTATTTTAATATAAAAAAATGAGTCTAATTACTTCTATTAATTCAACTGACCTGGAACATATCTGAAATTATCAGTGTTACTGTACAGATTCTCAAACTGATTTTCTGTAAATTATGTAATAGTCTGACTAATCAAAAGTCTGTTTTCAATATTATTTTCTAAATCAATCATTTATTAGACGGAAAAATTGTTCGAATCGGATTAGCTTACCCATCAAATCGCTCGAGTAATTTCAAAATTGGCCGCAAAGTATTATGGAAAGGTACACTTCTCCATAAGATTGCTACTACAGCATTTACAGACGGTACCCATTTCATAGCTTAGAAGTATTAAATGACTTCTAGTTGATTTAAAGCTGCCTTCAACCCGGAGTATAAATAAGCTATCATTACTGATTTCTTCATTTTCATCATTATCCAGTATTGACTTATGTAAAGTAGTTACAAAAATTTAAGAGTATTTACTAGTTGCCCTATTCTAAGATCACTTACGTTGGTTTAGTCAATAATTACAAATCAATCAGTATACCTTATTCCTTTTTCTCGCTGATAACATACGTTGATTCGTGTATGGTAGCCGTAGTGGCAAGTGTTTGCTAACTTATAGCGCAACCTTATTCCCCTTCTTAAAATCAGGATTACATCTGCAGTATAATACGGCCTGATTGCTTTTGACTCTATCTTTTATCTATTATCATTCTCTAGTCAATATTAATGAATAGATTATAATGTCAAGCGACATACACATATCTTATTATCATTATAAGTAAATAACGACTAAACTAGTTTAATTCCATAACTTACTCGCTGCTATTCCCCGGTCAAAAACAAAAATAAATAAATGGTATTGGCAATATGTAGACGTACATCTTATTATAAAAAGACAATAATAATCTGATTCGTAATATTTCATAATTATATGCCGTTATTTTCCGATTGCTATTAATAGATAAATTATATGATCAAGCTGAATACGCTTACCACTATCTTACAAACAAACCCTGACTAAATCCATTCCCATTTTAGAATTACAGACAAATTGTAGCTTGATTTATTTTATTCCGTAGTCTAAATTCTTCTGTCTTTCCATCTGTTGTTTTTGACCGATTTGGATTGTATGTTGAATTAAATTACATATTATGACTTGAATTTATATCATAGCACTATAATGAGGTAATAGCATAAGTAATAGAGCTTTGAAAACATTGATTAAATGAGAATAGTAAAAAATTCGTATGATAAAATTTAATTAGTATAAAGGATAATTTCTAAATTTTATTTTGTTAGGCAATAAGATTCCCTATGATGGACCTATTCGGCGAACGATAACCTTAACCATTACACCGTCTCTTTTCATAACCATGGCTATCATATCCTCAATGGGCATTGCATTATCATTAATTATGCTGGGATTGAATATAAAATATAGAAATCATAAGTAATTAAGCACTTTGTGAATGATTCAATGCCAAACTACAATTTCATGGATCGTAATACATGTTATATTGCCAGTGTTTATACGTTAATACTGAAGCAGTAGAATATGTCTATTGTAGAGTAATAAAAGTGAAATTCCAATTTGTTTTTCTGCTGGATTTAAAAATACGAAAGTTGATACAAATTATGTCGCGAGACATCTGTGGTTATATTTGCTTATACCATATAAAAATTATATTTCTTTATTACAGAATACATAATGCTGACCGAAACTTAATTTTAATCTCTCAATATGCTATATGATTTAACCTAGACTGGCTAAAATATCAAATCCGCTCTTAAATACGTTTATCCTTTGTGGATTTATTCTTCTGTACTGCTCGATCATAGTTTTAGGCCTGGATGGTCGACTTCTTGATGATAAAATAGTCGATGTGTTTTGCAAGGTATAGTGCATAATGGTTTATCGTAAAAGTAGGAATAAAGATTCAGTATTTATATGCAATTCTCCGTAATTAATGATCCTGACTTTAAACGAATACTTATCGAAAATATTACTATAATCACTGCCGTTTTTCGCAATCCTTTTCAAATTAAAACGATAACGATACTAAAGATAAATTTTCCTTTGAAAGATTACTCCTTGGTTGTTAGTATACGGTTTCTTACTCAGCTTTGGCACTCTTTTTTGCAAGATATACCGAGTTTATAGAGCATTTGCTCTTCTTAAGCCATGCAAAACGGTAACTAATGTTGGATACATACGTGTAAAATAGAAATTGATAACTTATAGACTTATACAAGTTTTCTTGTTGCCTTTACTTGCTTACTAGGGATTGAAAGACCCTCGTTTTAGATTGCTTATGATTGTATTATTTGCATTCAATACTATTATTTTGACATTATGGACTCTAATCGATTCGCCAACCCTGAAGAAAGTACTTTATGCCACAACAGTAAGAAAATATATCTGAGCCATTTAAATGCTGTACTTTTTCCTCTTAACATTGATAGCTCAGTAATATTCTAAACTTTGCACAATTTCTAGTCAGATATTAACAATTACTTACAAATAAGGCTAATCAATTAACTACATATAAATCGAAAGAGTGTCTACATCTATACTTACAAGATCTCAATAATACAGAATTATTAGTCTCCTACCGTTTTAACGTGAGTTAATCTTGTCAATCTGGAAAGCATAACGGAAATTCGAGATATAAAATGAGTTTGATCGGTAGCAAATTTGGCCATATATCCTATGCATTAAACAGTCCTTCATACTGGATAGTAAGAGGATATAAATTTAGTTTTACCTTAATTCATTATAAGATAATCTAGTTACCTTTTAGAAATAATTTATATAACATGTTCTAGATATTAGATAACAGTGAGAGATAAAGCAGCAAATATTATATTAACTCCTTACAAGTGCCAAATAATAAGAGAAATGACCGTCAATACATTCAGTTACACATTCAAGTACAATTTATATTTATGTTTTTGCACACTTCAGATTGGTTGCGTATCCAATTTCTAACAAATTTACAATAGTTACCACTTTTATTGTATTTGCTTACATTGTGAGAATAATTATTAAGAAGTTAGTAATTTTTAATTACAAATTATTTCGATTTCAAATGTAATACTGGTTTCGAAATATATTAAAACATCGCAGTATCATGGTACCATATAACTATAAATTCTCGTCTAAACTCTACAAACAAATATCCTTTAGCAAATCTACTTTCATCGATTTATCTAACTGATCAAGCTAGTTATCTTTAGCATAATACCTAAATTTATATCTACATTTCAGGTACCATCCGTCTTTTTAATAGTACTTCTACCTGATTAATTAAAGAATCTACATTTCATATAAGTTGCAACTTAAGACTAATTTTAAAATAATTTGATTTTTTGTAATTTTAACCAGATTATCAGCCCAGATTATCCTGATACCATTATAACACCAGCTAAAGATTTGTGTGTTTCGAAATACACGAACTTATGGGTTGCTATTTTAACTAGCAGCAATGGTTTGCTAATAATTCTGGCTGCTTTTCTGGCATATGAAACACGTCAAGTCAAAGTACAAGGCCTTAATGATAGCAAGTACATTGCCATATGCATGTATAATCTTGTTTTATTGAGTGGCATTGCTGTTCCCGTGGCTTTTGCCCTCCAACTTCATCAAGATTACCCCTACCTTGCGATTGCAAGTTTAATAATTTACTGCACATCATTATCGCTATGCTTATTTTTTATCATTCGTGTAAGTAAGATTTTACTTATATCTTCTAGCTAAAAATATTTAAAATATACTGCTATAATTATCTCTGTGTTACTCAACTGTGGGTATCTTTAAATCTTTCAGTTTAGAATTATCTGTAAATATCCGGTGGAAGAGAGACCTATTAAGGTCTTAAAAAAGGATACATCGCTTATTTTATCGACACAATGTGAATGCCAGTGCTCGTATACACAAAGTGAAGGCAAGCTCATAACTGCTCTAACCGTAAAGCTGCAAGAGGTACAGTAATATCAGATGTGAATCCTTAACCATTTTTAGACTAATGAGTATTATATTACTGTAGTCTAATAGAAGCATAGCTAATTATAGTAGCAGCAACTTGATGACTTTATTGCCAGTGTACTTAACTTTCTGTTTATATGACTTCTTCTATGCAGAAAAACGCCGAACTAGCAGCTTTGAAAAAAAATTTGCAATATTAAAAACTTTGGGAAAATTTTTTTAATCAGAATTCAACTTGCAAATAATGTTATCATACCGCCATAGGAATTTGCAAGCAATAGAGATAAACCTAAAATAACAATAATCTTATTCTACCGCTATAGGAATTTGCAAGCAATAGAGATAAACTTAAAATAACAATAACTAAATATCAGTTGTGGAATATAATGATTGACAAGCAGTAAATATACGAATTTTAAAGCTGGATGGAACTCTTATTCTCAAAGTAGAATTTTTATTTATTTACATTAACTTTTTCCAAATCTAACTGATTATACATATTCTGCTGTATAAGTTCGTGTTTACCTCATTTACAATTAGCTTGAAATTTGCCTTCAATTTAAGGTTCAATAATTTAAGCGAATTAATATATTACTTCCTTTATTATAAAAGGTCTTTAAGTGTTAGTAGTCATTAAAATTCGCATATGCATATCATCCATCTATAAAGAATTATTTAATAGTTACTAATTAAGCTATAATTTACTGTTAGAATTAAAGTGCATTTCACATAATGGATATGCCCCTATAAATAATTCTATGTTTTTCAATAATTATTAGCCGACCTAATGTAGTGCAAGACCTAGAAGTAGTGATTACAAAATATCGACTTTTACTTATTAAAGAGAACAATAATCCGTGTATTCAGATATATCCTATATTGTAAGCATTGATAGACTAAGAAAATGCGAATTCATAGTCTTATCATACGTAATAGATAGCTTATAATAAGCTCAATAAATTGTATAGTCTATATCGATGATGTACAAATAGAATGCTTAAAAACGATATCTCTATTGCAACGGATTCCTATCCTGCCTATTACAGCATGTAATAATGTGTTACCCTCCTAGCCACCGATTTAGATGCATTTATACATCAAACAAGAAAAAATTCGAATTTGAGTGAACTGATTGCTTTAATAGTTTTATAGCTTCATCTAGTGCTTCATGAAGCATATAGGCATATAAAACTCTTCAATCTTACGTTTACATCAGTTGATTGCAAGCGTTTTATAATCTATTGTGGCCTAAATTTATTTTTTCAAGATCTGTAGAATCGTGCCGTAAAATTAATTACCTAATATTTCTCAGAAACAGGATTTATATCCAGGTTACTGTAGCAATGTTGAAGTATATAAAAAGTTCTATAGTACTTCTCACACTTATTCACCTTATTTTAAAACAATGTGATGAAAAAAAATAGTAAATTTTTAACTCTTAAAACTAACAATTTCATAGTATAGCGTCAGATAATCTCAGCTTTAATACCGTATTAGGCTCCTATTATCAAATCATCAAAACAGCAATAGTAACTCAAACTTAATAAGTTCCAGAATAGGGAGCCAAAAAATGTCCATCTTCGGCTAAACCATACATTCCTAGCTCAGTTGTAAACACACGGTAAGTTTGTATTACAATTCAAAATAGGAAATTCAGTCGCCGAGATAGATTGTCATACAAACGAAGTACAAAACCGCGTTATTAGGTCAACTACAGTATATAATTGTACACAATTTACTGAAAATAATCTAATTCGTTTTTGATGATCAAACAGAATCTAATTTACTTCACGTGATCGACTCAAAAAGTCAATGTCTAAAGACACTTCGTAAAAAGCTGAAAACTAAATTCATGACATTCAAGTCATCCTTAACCTTACAAAACAAATTTTAAGAGCTTAACTACATCGCACATAATTTCATGATTGATACATCTAGATCGTTTTTCTTACAGAATTAAAACACTGTATGCGATACATGTAAGTTTAATAATATGACGGCAATACTAGCGCAGTTTATTACTTTTTGATAAAGTTGATTCGCATAATAACATTGCAAGATTCTTTAATCTTCTTAATTTCAAACATAAGTACTGTAGACTCTTTAGGCATCATTACTACTCTTAGATTGAAGTTTCGATTTATTTCTATGGTAACATTGATCACAAACGCGTTGTAATCCTCGGTAGCCCAAATGGGACAAGTGCATTTTATGCCGGGTGCACATCCTGCAAAAAACTTGTCCACATGACCTATGCATTTTCAAATTGGTCAAATCATTTATTTCATTACGTCGTTTTCAGAAAGTATATCAGTATTTGTATCAAAAGTGTTTACTAAACTTACCTGCAATGATGCTGCAGACCATTTTGTAGACGTACGAGTAGTAATAAATGTACAAATATGAAAAAGGTTGTGTTAGTAATTAGTTTTATATTTAACTTACATAAAGCTCTATCGATAGTTGCAAATGTTATAAGAAGATAATCAGTGCGTTTTTGATACCTTTCTCCTTATAGCAGTAAATCTTTGTTTACAGTCATAGCATTCAGTCGCTCGAACATCGGGAACCCATACAATACTATTAGATATATCTTCTTCGTCATCATTTACTACAGGTTCCTATCATTGGAGTAGTTAATGAATAGGCAAAGAACTAATCTTAATATTACTAGCTTGTAAAGATGATATTAAAGGAAACAGTTAACTACAACACTAGCGAATAACATATGAATTGTGTTAATAATATATACGTATACAGTACTTCTGGTTCTTCATTTTCAAGGACTTCTGATGAATTACGAAATGACGGTGATGCTTCACTGTAGCGTAAATAATAGTCGTCCCATAAATGTATCCTTTTCAAGCTGCAGCACGGTAGTATCACCTTACAGTAAATATTGGTAAGAGATTTTCCTTACAAACTTAGCTACATTTTTAATTATCATACGAGTGTATCGCATTTCTCACACCTCCGTTGTTCCAAGATATTTCACATTCAAAAAATTCTCTTGATCTGCTATGATATGTGCCCATAATGAAGGGGTATTTTCTTGTAGATTAGCCTCTTTTCTCTCTCTTTCACAGTTAAACATAAAATTTCCAAACCTACGGAATTTATAGGTAAGCAATGTTAGCATCAGTCTTAACTGTCTAATAAGGTACAATTTAAACTACTGTAGTCCATAATATTCAGCACTTTCAAATTAGCAATCTAAAGCAATGTTTCTACAACTATACCAATAGCATATAGGATATTATTTACCATCCGCTTCCAAAATAATCAGCAATTCGTAACAAGAAATCCGAGTTGAATTCGAATGCTCTCGGAAACTGCTGCAACATCTTTATTATAAGATTATAACAAAAAAATTTTAGCCAAAATTTTTAAACTAGAATTTAGATGAACTTTACAGTAATTGCTCAAAGATTCAAGCTTTACCTGCCAAGCACAGTCAAGAAATTGTAAAAACACAGGTGATCGCTGGTTGGTTAGAACAGGATTGTTAATTCTATCTCCAAATTTATGACCAAATGACAGCCATTCCTTTTCTATTAATACCTTAATAACCATAAGCCATACGTTACCGAGATTACAAGGCAACACATAAATGTGGAATTCTGTATATACCCTATACACTGTCAAGTGAAATGCTAAGACTTACTATAAATCCATCAATGGTTCTATAATAGCTATCTAACATTAATTGGGCCAAAGAAGTTAACTGAGCGGTTCTATCCCATCCATCGCTACAATGAACTAAAGCACATATATGTCTTTGACTAATCCGCTGTGCAATCATAGTCGCACCCTATATTGTAAAGAAAGAATTTTAATCTAAATCTCACGTTTTAATCAATTGCCAATCCGTTAGTAGCAGAGAAAGCATATTATTGGTGAAATGTTACCACATCAAGCAATATGTATAAACAAAGAAAGAGAACATTTATCAAAACATAGCAATATCTTTGGTACATCATAATACAGTACTGGAATAAGCTAAACACTGTACTATAATTAAGGTAATACGACACAGGATCTTCTCTGGCATGAGCCACATAGAGAAACAGAATAGTAGAGATTACTAGCAGACAATCGCTTATTAAGGTATTAAGTATTAATTATCGGCCGATATATCAGTACATTACAGAACTGATTCTTAATTGCGAGAACAATTACCTTTAATATACTCTTTAGATATTGTAGCCATTGGGTTGATTCTAGTTGTGATAACCATTTCTTATCCGTTGTAGATTCACATATGGCAAGTAACTTATCAAAGCTTTCGCGCATAGCATGGATGTTAGCGATGTTCAAGTAAATTAAGCGACATCCAATATAGCGATTGGTAATATCTTCAGTCCCTTTGCCCTATATCAAATAAAAGGCCCTTAAAAATTACTATTTACAATTTGATTTTGAGTTAATTATACTGTAGATGTTTAACTATCGTTCTAACCTTCAACTTATTACCACTAGCTGCCATTGCAGATCGTGCATCGAATATTACCAGTTCTTTCGAATTCGGATTACAAAGACGTGCTTCTTCAACTAACAGTTCATCGTCTACTGAATACTAACAAAGATGAATGAAAATGACCAGCAAATCTAAAGATCTCACATCCGAACTGAAATTACGGCGCTGTTATCGCCCATTTCTTTTACTCTACACTTATATCTGCATTATCCACGTCGCAACATAAACTGCTATCGAGACTATTTACCTTTCCCATTGGGCCTACACTTGGTTGAGCAGATCTCATAATAAAGCTGCCATGACTTGCGTCATACCAGCTTAAACAAGGTATCCGACCCTAAATTAAATAAAACACATAATATGCTAGATAAATCTAAATTATATATAAAGAAAACAATAAAATCGTTGAAATCTACATTTAATCTTCAGCCTATCATATATAAAATTATCAGAAGTATTTAGTACCACTTACTCTAGATCGAAACTGAGCACATCTTTTTATAACTTCATCCTAACGGCATTGTAAAATTTGTAAACATGGTGTAAATTTATGTAGTGAATATGCGTTCGAGGAAGAATCTCATAATACTTTTTTATAAGTTCAAGTCAACTAGATACATCTGATAAATATTTCATTAGATTACTTGTCTAATATTAATGACAAGCTAAGCTACGTAATGTAAATATTCTATATTTAATAAACATCAAGTATAATTATGCACGATATCAGTCAGTAAATAGTGAAGTTGTCATATAAGATCTGCGCCCCGTAATGTTATTTTGCCCTATCTACGCGAACTAGAAAGATAAATTTATTTAAGAATCTGAGAATGGTGTTGGTGCACCTAAGTTATTACAAGAAAAGCGACTTTATCTATATAAAATTTACGATATCTTTAGCGAAAAATCGAAATAACCCTCAAATGAAGGTATGTAATTGTTGCCTTGGAAGCTCTATCAATTGATGTCTACAATTACTATATATAAGACAATATTTTCTTCTTATTCGCAAAACTGATCAGCAAGAAGCCTTATTCGTAGTAATCGTTAGGAAAATGTTATCTAAGATATTATAAGTTAGCTGCGTAATGAAAAATTAGATTACTATGTGAGATTTATATACTGTGTGAAGTGATCGAAGGTACGCTAGATACCGTCATAATACATATTAATAGGCAATACATACCCCAACTGTTATTGGAACATAAATATGGGAAGGGTAAGTATCGCATAAGGAATAGTTGTAATTTAAAGCGCTTAACCACCATTTATTGCTAAGAAGTAGCTAAATAATGGGTAAATTAATAAAGGATTAACGGTTAGCTGCGTCCACCATTTCTATTGCTATGTCGAAATCACTATTCCAGACTTACTTTCTGCCGTTCAACTTCCTTCATGGTGTCATAACAGTTCCAATGGCTTAAAGTTAACTCTTTCTTTTTTAATTCATAATAACTGAAACATCATCATTATGAGAACATTCAGTTATTTATTTATATATACCGTGTTGGCTAACTATACTGATAGCAAGAAAAATGCACCCAATTCCAATTACTAACGATAGCAGCCTAATGAGAATTGTTGTACTCACCTTAGAAAGGATAGTGTAGGCGGCATGAAAATTGAATTGCTAATATGATAACACAATCGTTCATAAAGTACACAAAAGTAAAAGTGTTGAGCGCTAGTAAAGAGATTGCAAAAAGAAATTCGATATTGAATTAGGATTTTAATACCAATTTATGTATGCGGTAAAGAAAATACAATATAATTGAATTATTCTAACACTAAATACAGAAACTATAAATATAGAAAAAATATTAACAAACTTCGAAAATGTCCTTGAAGTAAATTCGTTGACTTTAGCATTAGCATACGCTAAGGCATCATTTGCTCGGTTGCGAATAATATCCATAAAGCCTGCCACTGAACGAGACTGCTTAACTGGTGCAGCTGTAGGGGCGTTACCTTTATTCGACCTAATTTGAACGAAATCTGAATTAAGATCCATCTTAACATTGAACTGGTCTGTTTCATGCTTTTTTGGATCAATAGTATTAGTTAATGGTGCGTTATCTTGGCAATCTCCATCATCACTTTCCTTAGATGTAAGGTCTTTACGGTCTCCATCAAGGTCCGATTCATCATTTGCGTTACTATGAATAACTTGGCAGGCCTCAGTGATAGAACTATCTTCAACAATTACCTCAGGTGCTGTTTTAGCTTGGCTATTAACCGGAACTTCTTTTTCATTTTCATTAACATCATTACTGATAATCGGTAAAGACTTACTGTTTTCCGATACCTCAAATGCAATGCCATCACTAGCATCATCACCTTGATCAATAGAATCTTGATGGTAATCATCAATTTTGTCGCCATCAATCGATTCCTCCTCATCACTTCCAGCTCTTGATTCATCACCATACCTAAGCTCATCATTTTCGCTAATGTCAAAATAAATACTGCTACTAGATCCCGATTTTGATAGGTTGGAAACGGCTAGATGATTTCGTTTCTTTTTCGATTTGCCACTTAAAAATGAAAATCTCACAGCCCGAAAATCAGCGCAACGGATATATAACGATTTAGCTTCTGAGTGAGCGATACTACCAGATAATGATCTCTCATAGACCTAGATAATTGACATAGGAATATCGATATTAAATAGTTTATAAATTGGTAAAATAATTTTATTATCTAAATATCTAAGCATACAGGTATCTAAAAGCTTATAACTGACCTTTTCGTCGTCTCCTTTTTCAACGGAAGTAATCATGTTAATTGGAATAAACATCGACAAATCCTTATAGGAATATATAACATTAATCAGCAGCTAATTTTCACTATACGCTATTTCCTCATTTGTTTTGCATAAATATCAGTGGGGTGCAGAAAATTATTGTAATTTATAGGCTATTCGTACAATACTTACTGTCCCTTCAGAAGATTTTTGAGATGCCGCTGCCGCTTGCCAAATAAAAATTAGCCTAAAATTATACGTACTATATTAAATAAATTGTTTCAATACAAGGGTAATATTACTAGATATGCCCTTCAAATTACCTTACAACTGAATGAAGCTTAGAAATTCGTAATATTAAATGCAATCTCTTACCAAATTGATTTAAAAATATTACCTAAAATTAGTCAAAAATAATTGACCAATTCCGCGTTGTTTAGCAACTTCAATTACAACGTTATTGAACATCATTTCTATCTGTTCAGCATCTCCTACAGTTGTAAAAGTACTAATTTACTTCGATTGAAAAATTTATAAGCAGGCGAAATATTCCATGAAAATAAAATTTAAGTCAATACCTGGAAAGTCAATAATGTTATCTCCACATAGAAACGGTAACTCGAACTGAGGAATTCTTTTGCAGATATTGTGTAATTCTTCATTTAGATACCAGTCTTCAACAGGCTATTCAGATAGGTATTCAAAGTAAATTTGATTAATACGGTAATATAAAATCATCAATCCCTTAATTATAACTGAGAATATTGCAATCTAGACGAACCTTCACATCAGTAATTGACAATTCCAGATGAATTTCGCCGCTTACAATATCTTTCGGATTTATTCGGCCCAAAGTAAACCATGCATTCAATGGCTTACTTGTTATAAATGCTAATGGAATCATTACTCGCCCCATAAAGTCATCATAATTTAAGCGATCCTGAGTACATTATTAAACAAGTAGATAAAAAAATAAGCTAATGCAACATATTTGATATCAAAGCAACAACCATACGTATCGAAACTAGTCGTACAGAAAATAAATTATTTTTAAAGATCGATCAATAGCAGATTTATTGAAATTTTTTACATAGTCGTCGATGGTTGAAGATATACGTATAAACTACTGTACAATGCTAGCATGAATAACATAATAAAAAATAAAATTTTTTAGCATTACCTTATCCCAAATATCCAGTTGAACATAGTGAACCATAAACGATGAGTTTTTATTACCAGACAGAGCTGTTTGATCTCGATCGATATGTGGTAAATGAACAATTTCAAATTTCATGGCTTGAAGCCATTTAGGATTTAAGGTGTTGCTTTCAGTTTTTGTTCTCTCCTCATTATTACCAACTGTTACGATGCAGTATGGATCTGCTTTCCCATTGGAGTCTTTTGGTTGTAGATTTCGACATTCAATAACTATAATAGAACCAACACGGTAAAATTAACTTCGAAAATTCTCAAAACCTACAGTAGTATCGCTATCCAATTGTATAGACTTCACATCATCATCGTAATATGCAGTATTAACCTACTATAACACTAGTATAAGCATTTTATTTGTAAGCCGATCAATAGTAATCTTATCTATTGTCACCGCTCTTACTTAGAATTTTGATAATTAATTTCAAAAGATATCATATAAAACTTAAAATAATCCTCAATTAAAAGAACATAGATCTTCACACCATTCCGCTAAGTTATAGTGAGAATAATTAGACACTGCTATCTCGTAAATTAATCAGCCACAGCTAAGCGTGCGACACTAACGCTATGACCATCTGTTTGGCCAATATGGCAATAATATATATGAAGTATAAGTTTGTAATCCTGGAGGCTGTTAATATCAATCGTAACTGTAGAGAAGAAAATGTCAAACTGATCTTAGTACAGAATGATAACTGAAGGCCTAATCCTAACTATACATTTGTTGATGTCACTAAATTAGTAGAGTATAAGTTCGTAATGAGTAATGTAGTCATTCTCTAAATTATATGTAAAGATACAACAGAACTATGGCTAGATAATAACTGCTATTCCTGTTAGAAAATAGTAAAAAATGACCATTACGAGTCATCTTAACAATACCAAGCGTTAATATATTAGTATAGCTATATATCCTGGTTATTTTTACCATTCACTGTTAGCATGGACGCATTGCTGCCAGATCTCTTGGTAAATGCCAACAGACCGCTTTGGAGATCAGAACAATCTTCAGTTGCAGATACTTTTCGAGGAGATGGCTTACGTTTAACACCTTTCATATCTAGACCAATGCTACTTATGTTTCTAAAGCATTACAGTAAAAGAATTATTAATTATCAATATCTGGTAGCCATTGTCTAACTGTAGCGGACGGTAGTATTAAATTAATTATCTTCAATCAGTTGATTTCACGAAAATGATTTTTAAGGATTGAAGCATGAATTTTATAGCGACAAATGAGAAATGCTTGAAGTTATACCTACGGGTAAGTACGTAAAAGAGAATGATACCGTAAATAAATCTTGTTAAATGTAAATTAATTTTCATGAATGGGGTATTGTGCGTACAATACAGTATAAAGTACAGACGTATTTTGTACAGTATATTCGGCATTTGCACACTATACATGAATTCTATATCGTACCGTATCATGACTTTCTGCTTACGAACGTTGCTATTAATATCCGGTAGACATTCGACAGATAGGGCATATACCAGATAGACTTAGTTAAGGTTAGAGCTAGTATTAGTGCTAGGGTTAGAGCTAGAGTTAGGGTTCGTGCTACGGTTAGAGCTGGAGTTAGGGTTAAATACGAACTTCAAGAATGCATTTTATTATTTGGCTTTAGAGAAATTTGTAATCAATTACTATAATTTTGTATTGTTTACAATTAAATTTTGTATCCTATACGTATTTAATTACCTAGATTGTTATTTATTATTAAGAAAGCTACTGATTACTGCAATCTGTCACATTCAAGAATCTAAATTACCATAAATACAGTAACTAGTATTAAGGTACTGAGGTTTCACTTATTATATGGGTAGTATAATTGGGGTGGTGCAATTATTCTCTTATATTGTGCCATAGTATATGAATTTAAATGTAATACAGCTTTATATCCACCTAATGGGAAAACTGCTACATGCAGGACCCTATCAGACATCTTCAGTATAATATAGATCAGCATGGCTGTCTAATGAATTCGAAATTAACGTACTGTACAATGTACATTATAGTCTGTAATACAGCTAATATTGTCAAGACAATAATCGGAATGACCGGTTGTATAATATTATATTATGAAACGTTTCACATAAGTAAATGAATGACTTTGATAGCCTAATAATAGGAATGCAGATGATTTCAACTATCTATTTATATATCATTTTACGTATACTTACAGAGCTTTACCCAAAGCAGCGTGAATATTCTTCTTTGAAGCCATTCCGTATGTGACAATCTGTTAACAGAGTCACATGATATTAAATACGAGTACTGTTATATAAAATGCGAATCTCCAGTAATTTAATTATGTTCATCACTACGTCGTAGCACTCAGGTTAAATATCTCAATCATGCTTAAAGTATGAAAATATCAATTCATTGAAACTGTTCTGTAATCTTAGAATTATGACTGTACTGTACATTCGTAAACATGAGAGATATAAATTGTGTAAACTTATCCATTTGATACCGTTGCATCAATAAATTCGCTCTCTCCTGGGGATAATCAAAAGTATTCAAGGTCATAAATAAATTTTATGCAAAGAAAGCGATAAAGTGATTCATAGTAAAGCCTATGATAGAAGTCGTATTTACATATTCATACCGTGATTAATGGAATTAACCAATTAACAGTAAATATTCTAAGTCTGCAGATATTGTAATATAACAATCCACAAATAGTGACCCTGAGAGATTCAACGATCTCCTCTATAATATCCTATGTGCTGTATAGCTCAAGAACATGACTTCCGTTCAAGAATAGTACAGGTATGTGGTAAGTAAAACAAAACATACGTATTGCGCATAATTTGATCTTCGATCAAAGGATGGATCAAAATTATTCATGTAACAACATTTTCGAACCATTTAGACTATTACGTTAATGAAACTTTCTGCAGTCATTTTAACCATTGTTGGATGAAATATATCATTATTAAATGAGACAAGTTAGACAAGTCAAAGATCAAATGCATAACAAGATAACGTTTAGGTCTAGGTGTAGCTCTAATCGTGGATATTAATGTTGTAAAAGAGAAATTAAATGCTACATCATGAATGATTCCCTTGTAGTTCCGGCGATAGCTGGTGAAAATGCATACGTATGCAACGTGCCTGTCAGGCTGCGACTGTACATTTACTTTTTCGAGCATGCACTTGTTGCATAGCTAATTGTATAAATGCAGCTATCGATAGCAAACTGCTGCTTTGTAAACAAACATGGAGCCTACCTGCTCGAAGCCCACGAATTATCTGGTATATGGCTAGAAATGCCTGAGCTAACCATCCAATGGTTATTCAATGAAAGATGAAACTTTCTGACTCAAGCAGGAACTTCTCAAGTCCCTCATTGCATCGTGTCACTTTTACCGTATTACAGTAATAAGAAAGCATCAAAACAACAAATCTTGATGAATAAATAAAGAACTCTCCAAACCTATTGAATTTACCGATTATATTATACTGCACTAATCCTATTGAATTTACCGATTATACTGTATTATACTGTACTTTAGCTCCTAGTACTGTACCGTACTTGGACAGTTAGCGGTCAGTTAGCGGTCAGCCTTATCCCACTGGTTTAAAATGTGTCATTTACTATGCAAATTGCCAAATGCCATGCTGTATGGACTGAGTCTGTGCAGTATCGAGTAGTATAGTGTTTCTTTTTACATTTTAGAGCTTGATAGTTTTGTATGTAGGGAAAGTGCAATCATGACGACGTAAATATTCAAGCCGTACAGCACACACACACGACACCGGATTTAGCTGAATGAACAAGCTAAGAGCGGAGTAAGCAGGATGCTACAGTAGATTTACAGAAACCAAGGTTGATTTCCTGGCACAAATTTGGTCATAATTTTATGTTCATTACTTCTAATACACGCCAGCGGCAATATTACCCTTTAGGTAGCAATATAGAAGGAGTTGTGAGATATAAGTTACTATCATTGTACTCGCGCTATGGCGGAAACCAATGATGCTTTAGTCGCTGTAGGCAAGGAAAATGTTCTTAACTACTGTAAACAAGTTATTGGAGGTATTTGGGAAAAAGCTGATTTAACTAACGTACAATTTGAGACGGTCAGGTAAGCATATACAATTATACAATAAATAAGAGTGACTAAAATGAAAGCATATGCACTGTGTAATATAGATAACAGCCATGCTATTTTGAATTAGTTGTAACCATTAAAGAAACAGTTCATTCCCACCCTATAATTCAGCAGACAATACCATACAGTATAGCAATGAATTAACCGATGTACAATACCAAGTTGCTAAGATAGCGGTTTGTGATAATTTTGAATGCCTTTAAATCTATACAGTATTTGCAAAATTAATTCTGCTAAGCATGTAACTTAAACTTGTATATGCTTCGATAAACTGAGTGATACAGTCGGAACTCAAACTCATTGAATCCTCTAGAAGATTACACTATATGAAGACGCAGAATATTATATTCGTATTCATAGTACCATTATGGTACTGTATTGGATTGTCATTCAAACTTTGTACACCCGGTAAACACAAAAAAACTTCCAATAACTTGACTGTTTGAAAATTAAATCACTTTACTGTAGTGGAGGACTATCAAATTATCTCTACGTGTGCAGACTATCAGAAAATTTGCAATCGACCAATAATAATGAACCTGAAAAGGTACTGATTAGAGTCTATGGAGAAACAGCCGCCAAGGGCCAACTTTTACTGCAAGAGTCAGTAATAGTTTCGTTACTGGGTGAAATAAAACTAGCTCCGAAGATATATGGATTCTTTCCTGGTGGTCGATTTGAAGAATTTCTTAATGTAACGACAAGACTTAAATTTGTAAATTTTTTAACTTAGTAATGTCAGTATGGGATGCATAACACATGCCACAGTGTATTTGCCGCAAACCCATGTATTTTACAATATATTTGTACATTGTGTTAACTTGCTTGAATGGAATCATTTCAGGTTCATTTTTAGTTTACTGTATGACATTATATTATGTATACTCACATAATCTTGTTGCTCATCAATAATACTTACCTGTAATAAAGGGAAGAACGTTAAAGACTAGCGAACTACAACTTCAGAATGTTTCAGAGAAAATGGCGGTCTGTTTCGCAAATTTGCATCAGGCATGCATGCCAATTTCTAAGAAACCAACCTGGTCCTCTGATTTTATAGACCGGTATGACGGAAAATAATTTGTTTACTATAATGACGTACCAGGCAAAGCATGATACCCTAATACCGTTTAAATATCATATTTAAATCGTATTTTACTTGTTCCAAATATAATTTGACATTAAATTGTGTCCATTTTAGTCTATTTGATTCTGCAACTACCATAACATTTAATGACAAAAATAAACAAGCTAGATATGAAGAAATTTTATCCTATGACCTTGCTGCCCGGAGAGACGAAATTCGGTTAGGATTTTATTACTTTATGAATTTGAATGTGTAAAATTATCCTGTTTGTAGACAGCTCGTTCTGATCATATATTGATCATACTCTTACATTTTAGGGATATTCTACAAGCGTGCAATTCGGAGGCATGCTTCTGCCATAATGACCTGCAAGAAAGTGTGTATAGTATAATTATGGTCTCTGATATTAAAGGCTAAAATCTAAGAATGATTTGAATCAAATACATATTTTCTAATAGATAATATCATCGTGTGTGGAGATCCAACATCAGCTGATGCTTCGTTTCATTGCATAGACTTTGAATATGGCGGCTATAACTACAGGTGCTAGTCAACCTACATTTTCCATAATAAATCAAAAAATAATCTTGTTCAATAAAGTGTAAGCTATAAGATTCAAAATTTACTAATTTGAAACTATGTATGACTTAAAACACTACTTTATTCTGAATTAATTCAGTGCTTTCGATCTTGCAAATTACTTTTGCGAATGGTGCTACGATTACAATTGCGATAAGCCTCCTTACTTCACATATTGCTTGGACGACTATCCTTCAGACAAGCAACAGGTAGGAGATTGTGGCTTTATCCCAGCTTCTGTAAACCAATTTCCTATTAAAATTATATCAGATACCCTTACATGGTACTATTGCATTTCTTTAGATACATTTTCTTTCATGCTACCTAAAAAAGCAATATCAGTTAAAGAAAGTTCTAGTAGACGAAAAGACCCTATCTTCGGAGCTAAGAAAATTACAATTGGAAGTTAACAGGTTAACAAGATCTCGATCTTGGTTCTAGAATATTCTTGTATTATTCATTTCAAATACGAAATCTTTCATATAATAATTGAAAAATGCAATTGATCTTACTAGGTTAGCCCTAGCTTCTCATCTTCTTTGGACTATCTGGGCCTGTGTTCAAGCAAAAATGTCAAACATAGAGTTTGGATATTTGGTAAGTGTGACGGTCTTGCGGTCGACCAGACGATTGTAGCTATTTTTGTAATTTTTTACTATTGTCGCTGCTTGAAATAAATTGAATGAATCGTTGCTTGTGTGCGTCATCACTAATAACTTTTACATGATTCTAGCTATAAATGGTGATCAACAAACATCAATATTTATATTATAAATATATTTTATTGTTGGTTGCAAATATATAGGAATATTCTCTTGCCCGTTTAAAGGGTTATATGAGACAGAAAAATAGACCAAATCTGTGGTAACGGAATTACAATAACTTTAATCTATGGGCTCGTTTATTTAGAGGAAGACATTTGAAGTCTCAAGTTCTAATTTCATGGATAGTTCGGCTATAAAATTATGACTATAGGCGATCTTATGATTGAATACTAACTATAAATAACATCAATTGCGCTCTCACAATAGATTTTTAATCAGTGTTTCTAATAATGCTCTAAAATAACATTCATAACTGTTAACGGATTTTAAATTGTTGTAATAACTAATTAATATCTTTTATATGTTACGTATGAATTTAATTTTTTGTTAATGACTTATAGCGATCACCTTTCATAAATAGAAACTAACAAATCTTTTCAGTCATTACTATTTACCATTCTAAAATTTTTTATCTGCTTTTACAACAAAGTGCATCTTTCTGTATATATTTTTAAAGGGACAGATGGTTATTACAAACAATCGGTGGAAATTATTCTTATTTCAAAGGGTTCGAGTGCGATAATAAAGTTTTTATTGAGTTACTGTAATCGTCTTTAAGGTATTGCAAATATACTTTCAAGCTTGCTTCGTCGAGCTTGCTGTTATGAGCCGTTTGTATTAAAAGAGCACCCAATCTAAAGGTAGCTTTTTCCTCGTAGCTTTTTCTATCGATCTTATCACACTGAAATGAAATAAAAAGAAAAATAGCCATGTAATATTTTTGTGTAATTTTTCTGCCACTATTTCTGCGAGACGTGTTATTCTACAATTGCTTACCTTCTCCTTTTTATCTGCTAATACTTTGCATATTTCTCTTGCCCTATTTACTACTTTCGGTGGCAGTGATGATAACTCTGCCAAGTTAATACCTGCTCGAATTAACAATAATAATTATATTATAAATCAATATCTGATCAGAATGTATAAATATCATGCATTTAGTTTGTCTATAATATGATAATAATTTATAACGAAATCAATTATAAATTCTTTGATCAAATTCGATTACACCCAGGATGATATAAACCTATTCCAGAACACGCATCAAATCACAAGCATACAAAAAGAATGTATGTCTAATACGATATTGTACTGTAAATCTGACATCATAGACATGTTCTTTCTAAGTATTTAGCGCAGTATTACATCTTGGTACAGCTGCTGAGTAAAAAGTCTTACCGTAATATTTTTCTACGGTTCTATCGGGGGCTAAAATATGAGTATATTGCAACTTATAAGCATTGAGATTGTCCTTTATATGCTATCAAACAATTCATAGAATTTAAGAATTGTTTTGATCCCTTTAGCATAATATGAATTTAGAAACAAAAGGCACCAATTTAATAGATTCATTTATTTATAAAGGTCACCTGTACTTCTAAATGATAGCTGGAAGGCATCCAAGTTGTTTCATTAGTGGTGCAATAAACATATCTTAAAATTATAAGTCACATTGATCCGAGCACGAACAAATAGATTAAAGCATTACTTATCAACATTTGGATAGAGATCTTCTAATTGACAGATTTCAAGGAAATGTGTTGATGTAACTGTAAATGCCTGTCGCGAAATACTAATAATTAAATTACAGAAGCAAAAAAATAGGCTGATAGCTTCAAACTGCAGGTATTACTGTTTCGAGTTCATAAATCTATAAGAATTACTAACCTTTAATTGAAGGAAATATTCACATATTGCAAAACAAATGCCAATGCCATCCTCTGAAGCAGTTCCTTGACAAGAAATTTTTTAGTACTTTGATGTGATCATTTTATCAGTATGACCGGTGAAACTTAAATCATACCTTTACCAAGTTCATCAATTATAATAAGAGAGTGATTTGTAGCATTCTAGATGTAATTGAATGCATATTTAACAACATGAATACATATGTACGCGTATATAATGAAAGTATTTACAACTTCTATATCCTTTAACCCATGGTGATTGAAGTAATAACTGATAATAAAAATAACATAAAATTTTAAAAGATATAGCGCAAATATGTGATTCACCTGCATGATGTAATTTACTTCCTTCATCTATATAAATATTGAAGATATCAAAATACAGTACATTTTGGAAACATTACACAACTTACATATCATACCGTACTCTCCAAAATCACAATACAAATATTAAGGTACTCATTATCAAGGCTAGTATAAGTTTAGATGATTTAGAATGCATTGCATTCTACCTCTGCTGTAAAGGATGAACAATTCTCCTCCATACTACCGTCAACGGCAATTTTTGTAAAGATTTGATCAACTATGCGAAAAGTTGCACACGTAGCAGGAACATAAGCTCCTATTTGTGCCATAACTTGTAGAAGAGCCATTTGCTTTAGATAGACTGTTTTACCACTCTTCGGTCGTAGAAACATCGTTATTGATTTCAATAGTAACGATGATGTTTACAGAACGTAGAAAAATTGTGTACTGGTAGTATTGTAACAAGTGTCTTACAAATGAAATTACTAAGAAAATTTAGCATATAAAACTTTGCTTACCATATTTGGTCCAGTAATTATAGCGAAATTATTTTCGTGAGACATATACTAGAAAATGAATAACTACCGTTTAAGTAGGATACCAGTCATTAAGCATCTTCGTCATATTCTTACTATGTCATTGGCTACAGGTGGCACTACGGAAATAACATCTAGAATCGGGTGGCGACCATCTTTGATCGCAGTGGTATCGGAAAATGTCGGCCGAACTATTTAGGATCAAATTGTAGCTCTTAGGGAACAGAACTAAGGATTGTTCTTTATTGGAATGGTAAGTTATTACAATGATAAAACAGTTACGCGAGTAAATTTTGGTTTATTCAGTCTTATTCTAACCGTTTCGACCATTTATAGCAGCAGAATAACCAAGGCATAAAAGGAAGTCGAGCATAGCTATATTTTCGCTGAGATTATAAAGACTACTAACGTAGCTTTTCAAATTTGTGTAAAGTTGTGCTACGGAACTAATTTGACAAAAATTCGCATAAAATTTTAAGCACTATTCACAGTAAATGAAGTAATTTACTGTGATCAAAATAATCTTGTACAATGGATCATCAGGTACTATTCGCTGCTTACATGTTAGATAAAATGTAGATATCTTTTAACGTTTCATTGAGTCTTTCTATTAAAAAGAATAAGTAGAGTATATAGATCTGAAAAAGATGTTCATGGTGTACTCATAAAAACGTAAGTAGACAGCACATTTAGGTCTATCTAAGTAAGCAGTTATCCTATCTTCATAAAGTTGAAAAGCATCTGACCGTTCATGTTTATCTAAAGGCAGCAGTTACAGAATTAGTAAAGCAGAAAAATTTTACATTAACATAATTATGAACACTAACATGATTAAAGGATCAAAGCAATGAAGATAACAGTCATAAATCAATATGGATTACGTAAGTACCAATTTTAAAGTTGAAAAAAAGTAAGTCTTCTTTTTCCTTGTAATTTTAATAAATTCACTGGAAATTTCACCAGGCGATAAATCACTCTCTAATTGTAAATGGAAACCTCTGCCTTTATTATACACAATTTCTACGGGAATATTATACTTTTCATGGAGGAAATTTTTTAGTGCTAAAAAAGAAATTTTATTGCATTTTTCTAGTAATTGCTTTTTATCACTAAACAAATCAATGAAGAAACTTACAAGCCAAATCATCAATACTTTCCTCATAAACTTTACGAATTACATTTAAATGTCCTATTATGATATTAAAAATAAAAAAAGCGGTCAATAACGATCGAATAGAAAATATTTAATTTTATTTGATTTCTTGATAAGGCTAAATGATTTACCATTAATTTCTGGCTACAGGTATAAAGAGAGCAGCTATTAATTTAGTATCATAATAAAAGCTCCAAAACGAAAACAAGTATTTAATTCAATATCCAAACTATTTATGATAATAAGATCTTACTCTCACTGCAAAACAAATCTGTGCCCTAAAATTTAAAGTTCCCTTTTCTAATGTTGCGTTCTCGTCTATAACTTTGTTAATTTCGTTGATCATAGTTTGGAAGTGACAATCATCTAAAGACTAAAATTACCCATGGCCTATCAATACTGAAGAATTGTGATACATTGAGTATATTTGGCTTACTACCTGATAAATACTTTGCAACAGCGTAGATTTAACTCCATGTAGTCTAACAATTAAGGATTTAACAGCTTCCAATGAATTTCTTAAACGAATAATGTCTGCAATTCTAGCTTCAGCATTTTTGAAACTCTCAATTTTCGGTATTTGCACGCAAGCTCGCAGCATATTGCTAATATCACAAAACTTGTCTATAGCTATTAAAAATTTAATGATAGCTTTATCAATTTATACTGTACAGCAGTAATAATTAATTAATACAAAGACGGTAAACATCTTAATGCTATGTGTGGTACGGTACCCCACCCATTGGTAAAGATTTCAATCAAACGATACCGTATTACATTTTTAAATTATGGTATAGAATTACCTGATCTCAATGGACCATAAATTTCCTGTATATATGCATGATTTTGATTGTAAGAAATCAGAGTAAAAATTTCGGCAGTAACAAATACCACCCTTAATCGATATCTTTAAATACGCTTATATGTATACCGGTACCTGTTTCATGGCCAATTCTAGAAAGATACCAGGTACAAATATCAGTAAAAATGGCCCGATTGTATGGTTATGATACAAACTAAGATTTGGGAATAATACATATACATTGTACAACCTTCAACACTATCGAGTCTTTCTTCCAATTTTTTCTTATCTATATAAGATAAAAAGAGAAAACTATACTTTAATTTGATTATTAACTCAAACTTTAAAAACCTAATTATTTATGCTTTATATTATAAGCACATGTTTCGAAGGGTTTATCTTACCGCTACACGGTTGGAGAATACTAGATCTTAGGAGTCGAGCTAACAAAGAATAGATAACTGGTGAGATTATATGTGACCATAAGTCTGCATGAAAGCGATTTAATGCACCTTATAGCAGTATTAATATTGATATATTCTTTAAAATTTAATTAAACTAACAATATCAGTTAACTAGATAGATATTCGCCTGTGGCTCGAATGAGATTTACTATTTTGTGGCCTTACTACATGGCTTACCTCCCACCTTCGTTCTTGTATGATCTAAAACCCTAAATAAGCAATCTTTACTTGATCTACTGGTTACATTATAAATAAGCTCCAAATTCCTAACGGAATTAGCGTCAATTGTTGTGACAGCATAACCTCTGGAGTACTCAGTTTTAAGCGATGATGGCGCATAACAAAAATCTTGCTTAAATTCTATATATTTCAGGAGAGCCTTAATATACAAACAATATATATTTTACGAGTTAAGCCTTAATTAGAGTAAAAAATACATTTAATGATCAATAAAACATAATTATCTGCCACAGACTGCCTCTTACAGATACTGCTGACAAACAGAAATTCCTGAAAGAAAAGGAAAATAGTTACAGTGCACGGTAACGATGAACGAACAGCTACAAGAATTGTAAGGAATGATTTCTGTAATATATGATACGGTACTTGGATAAAATTTCTTCTGCATTGGCTGCTTGGTATTCAGGCAAGCAAACATTCATTAATAACCGATAGCCTAAAGGGGAATCATATTATTTTGTACTGGTGAGATTACCACGACTCCAAATTTTTGAAGATAGTATCAGTAGTAGTATGTAACTCTAGCAGGAAATATCATTTCAGTTCACCTTCCTTCCAATTATAATATTTTTGAGGAAATGATAGTATCTCAATATTAGGAAAGCGCTGTCTTAAAACCGCTTGCAATTTCGATTTTTTGAGGTTTTTTTCGTTGATCTCTTTCGGTATCAATATCTGTAATATTCGATGCCAATAGATATGCTCAAATAACATACATCGTTGTATTATTATTTATAGTTTATTTATCACTAGTCATGAAGTCATTCGTAGAGCGGCGCTACCTTTATTAAATCAATTTTGCGTTAGTTGTTACTGTATTACCTGCATTGGATCCAGAATTTGCAGTTCAGTGATGGTTTTTATATATTTTTGACGATCTGTATACTTTTCGAGTAAAAATATAGCAGATTGAAGTATATTTTTGTGAATTAAATAAAGCTCCTAAATGATAGCCTCACAATATGAATTCATGCTATTGAGCTATAAATGTTTCTTACACAAATTAGGCCATTAAATCCATGCGAAACAAGTAGTATTTATTATACCTGCAACAGTACTAATTCAGGATGTTTCAAGTCGATACTAGCGATTCCAATCTCATAACCATTCAAAGTATTCCCTTCTGTAATTGCTGTTATTGAAATTATGCAATCATGGCCATACCGATTGATCTCATGTTAGATAGTGATTTCTTGTAGATCAAGTAGATTATAACAAGCGCAACTGACACTATACCCTAGTGGCCATTAAACGTCAAGCTATTTAGTAAAAGAACTAATAACATCTGCTAACGAAACCTGGTACCTACCGGTAACCACTTGTGTGATAGCTGTTTGTTGATTTACTGTGCTTTGACAGGAATATGACGTCTGCCGTTTAAGGATGGAATTGGCCTTTGGTGTAGTAAATGGCGTTGCCATGGCTGAATGACTAACATTTTCAGGCAAGACTGATAACGGAGTACTATTTATATCCGTGGTTGAAGTTTGATCGTACAAAAATATTACACATGCATTAAATTTAGCTAGGTTTTAAGAGCTCATATTTGTAAATCAGAAGCTTGTATTGAAATCGTAGCTATTTTGGAACGTACTGTTGTATGAAAGATATAAATGAGCTATTTATTACATAGTAAAATACTACTGTTTACTATTGCCACCCGCTTGTATCCTTACATTTTGGAAATTTCCTGATCGATTAGTTTATTAGAGCATTTACTTTTCTTTATAGCGTTTGATTTTGGCATGATTGAAGATTTGGAGCTCAAAAAATCTGTACGAAAATATCTTCTAGCTAATGTTTGAATGAAAGTTCAAGCTGATGTCAATTACGAATGAAGTGAAATGATATATTCTAAATTACAATTGTACAAGAACTAGAAAACATGTGATGCAGTTTATAATTGTTTGATGTTACATTCTGGTTATTATAGCTACTATGTTTTAGCTTTCTATTAAAAAGAATGTAACTACTTCTTTATAGTCTTGTATTCGTTACTATCGTAGAGGTAATGCTAAGCAAGCTACAGAATGCATTTATCCATATTACAAAGCTAGTATTATTTTATACAGAATCAAGTTCAGCATATGTTTGAGTTATCGTACTTACACAAGTATTCATCTCATTTTGGGTCATGCATATATAGTACGCAATAAGTACTTATCAAGAGTAGTTTATGTCATATTTAGACTGATTTATTTATTTTATGCTTAATTTAATTGATAACTGTTTTCATTTGTATATATAACTATCTTATTCTATGAAGATTCAACTCACTATAGACGTCATGAGCGCCCGATATACATATAGTCCAAGCCTACAGTATACCCCTATCATACAGTTACAAATACCGTACTCCCTTATAAATTAATAGGGAATCTCTAACACAGTTGTAGTTTGATACTACGTATACTCGTATTTTCAAATAATTTATACTAGATAAGAGTACTTATCCTATTAGGTGAGAACTTCAATGGCCATAGGCAAAAAAATAAGTATTTTATCAGAATTTAAACCTAAGTATATAGGTAAATCACATGCATTCCTTGGTACTACTCCGGTTTAATAATGATTAAGCGATTACATTATGTATCATTGCATTTTCTTTAAAATTTTATCTGTGGACCCATATTCACTGTAGATTTAATTTACGGTGAAGAAAATTCCAATGCAAAAACAATTTCTAACCGTATACAATCCATTAGATAGCTTGATACTAGTCCACAATTTAATAATTAGAATAACATGCTGTAGCTCCTCTAATTAAATTCAATTCTTCCAATGTACTTACAGTTACCGTGAGCCTCCATTGCTGGCGTATTTATTCCTAGAAAAAAAATGTCAGCTTTGCAATTTCGACAAGAACGTACTGTATACCAATTTTTTTCACAGAAAATGATATAGACAGCATACATATCGGGCTTAAGAAGTTGACAACTTGACTTGAGAATCACTGCAACGTGTGAAGAATAATAGAATAATGGATATCTATTGTCATTTCTTATCATCATTGAGTCAGTCACCCGAGTAAAAACGTACTTTTCGCGTCCTACTAACCAATCACAATCCAATTTTGAGGTATATCTCAAGTAGGTATCGCTGCATGTGTGTCAACCGCATCGAGCGATTCATCTATCTACAATTGTCTACGTAAACAGTCAGTTTTTAGTCTATTGTTGATCATTATTTTAAGGATTAATACGTATGAAGCATCCCATGCGGTCAAAGTACAAATGTCGCTTGCTCTTGCTAAAGTTTATAGCAATACTTTTGAAGGGTAATCTAGGCGATGCCTTGCTCACGATACACTATGTATCTGTGCAATTTCTAATTTATGGATCTATGCCTATAGCATAGAAGACGTACTTATGCTGTCTATGATTGAACTATAACTTAATGATAACCCTTAATAAATAGCAAACAGTTCCCAGAACTAGTGGCATACGTTATAATTATGCCCTTTTATGAGTAAAGCCGAAGATCAAATGAATAGTGTACGACACTGTAATATTTACATTCTATATTAAGAAGAGTTTAACCCATGTAGTTGAGAAGAACACCATGGGTCTAAAATACTCATTTCCTAGTATGTTACGACATATTCTCTTCATTGCGGCATTGATAATAAGGTAGAGAATGGGTAAATTCTAACGAGGGTTCAAAGATTTTATTGAGTTCATACGAATAGTTTTAATAGCCAACATGTGGAGAGTATAGACTTAGTATAATACCGTATACACGTACTTAATGACAATGTTATGAGGTAATCCATTTGGATACGCGTGCAACTATTATGCGCTCATACTTATGTTATCTAGCTGCAAGATTTAAGATACACATGTGCAATGGAATCAACCGATATTTTTTCTAAAGGTTACGAAAACTAAAATTTTATGTTGACAAACACTTGCTTTCATCCTTCATCTGTCGGTTATCTGTCTCTTCCATCTAATATTATATGATAATAGTGTTTTAAAGCGCCGCGAAAAAAATACTGAAAATCTATTGAACTATAATACTGGAAAGGTGTTTCCAGAGCAACACTTCAATAATAAATATGAAGCTGTAGTTAAATAGCCGTTGGCTAGGTAGATTTATTTATCTTGTAAACCATTAATTATTCATTATCTGACAATCCGTATGATCATATCTAATTTTAATGTACCTAGAATTATATTAATTAATCAGATATTTTTCATCACAACCTAAAAGACTTATGTGATAAGAACTGGAAAGATCACCGGCTAGAAATACAAGTAACAGAATAAGACATTTTTACGTTCAGCAAATTTTATCTACTGCTTATGTTACATCTGAATTAATTATTAATATGTTAAATTGAAAAGATTTACCCGAGGTATTATCGTAAAGGAATAAAAGAATTAACAATATGAACCGAGCGAAATGATATCGCCATTCTAGGATTAATTCATACGCAAGACATAAGCACGATTTTACTAATATAGAGTTTAACGCTAGTAGTATTCACAAAGTTACAATTAACTTTTAAAAATTATTTTCTGTAGTAATTATACATTATTTCAAAGTCGTTGCACCTTTGAAGTTAAGATAAAGGTTCAATATAAAATTTATAAGCGTATTAGATTAAGTTTGCTAATTAATGTAGAAGGTATCACCAAGTGTGCTGTAGAATTCAATAAAATGGAATTTACATTAAAAAAATCAAAATGCATTCGTTTCTGTAAATGTTAGAGAATGCATAGTCCATGTGTAATAACGTAAGCTTTGCAAAATGTAAAATAAGCACACAGTACCAAAATATTCACATACTGTTGAAATAATACTATTGTAACCTAAAACTTATATATCAATGATGCCTAGTTGATTACTAGATAAGCAAATATGCTACATCAACACAGTTACATGATTATTATCCCTCCGTATTTCCTTTCTTACTATGTACGTCAAGGTTACGCAAATATTTAAACACACCTTCATGATTGCTAATACCTGTATACTGTTCTGTTAGCTAATTTTGTACCAGCTCAACAAGCCAGTTGTTACTTACGTAGATATAGCACCCATAAGTTTCAAATAATAATCATAGTACCGATTTATATTGATATAATGTAGACCATTTATGTGATTTTTATGCGTATGATCAAGCGCAGGCACGACGCTTAAAGTTAAATATGAAGTCAACAAACTCAGAATCATCGATTCCAGGAGAGCTCTCACAAGTTATACCATGCTGTAAGTAAAGGGTAAAGAATAAAGTTAATACGACATGAGCTATAAAAAGGAATTTGCTCCTTGTGAATTTTAGTACAGCATAAAATAAATGGAAGACGAGCCGCCATGATTGTAAGTACCTTGGTACTTGAAAAAGCGCGAATCGTATAACAGCCGCTTAAAAAGAAAGGAGCTGGCACTTTAATAGTTTGAACGTTATTCTATTAAGTAAACAAAAAGATGGTCCTTAATTTAGTAAAACAATTCTATGCTGATTTCTCTGAGGTTATCAGACATACAGCGCGAAAGAAACGATATTCATGTGCATCATATCTTGGTGGTGTAATAGAAGTTCCACAACAGGTAGTTTCAGATTCGATAATGCCACAAAATAGTAGTTCCATTTTTTTGGCAAAACTAACATGGAAATATCGAAATTATTTAAGTTTTTACTTTTGATTAATAGAAATTGATAAGAATTTTTTAAATTACCTTAAGTTGATAGTAATCGGCACCAACGCAGTTGTCGAATTGATTGGTATAGAATATGAATAATTACTCGGCCTGTAGAAGTGTATTTGAACATATGCGATTAATACAAATAGTAAAAAATAATGGCGAAGCTTCTATGAGTTTACACGCCAAGACAATAGTTACGGTAATGTGTACTCACCCACACGATAGACAGTTAACTTGATTTTGTATAACATAATTGCCTTCAAAGATCTGAGTGCGAGGTAACTCAGTTGGATCAGGTATAGTAACATGTCCATCGTCTTTAAGAGTAGTTAGAAACAACGTTTAACATAAAACGAAATGAAAAATTATACTGTAGAATAATTAAAACAATAAATTGCAATTACTATTTGTCATTGGACGCATATTGTTCGAAGTATCCATCTGCTCAGGGCTGGGTTTAGGGGTGGTCGAGATATTTATTGTAGACGCTGACGCATCAGCACCACTAGGACAGCATTTTATTGTATATATATTCTTTCCAGGATTAGGCGGCTTTACGGTAGGGTTTTTAGGCCAAGTTCCCATATTTTCAGCAGTGGGAACAAGCACTGGCTTTTCTGTAGAAGCTGATACTATTACTGAGTCGGTGGGCTTATCTAAAGTACCAGGTAAATTCCCATCTGGAGTATCACGTTGCAAATGCAATACGTAGAGAGTGACAATTGCTCCAATACTAAATGCACAAAAAGGTACAAAACTTTAATTAGTAAATTTCAAATTTTTATGACGATTTAGGTCTCCTATTACTACTTCTACAAGTCATGAAAACTAACCACAATAACATGACCAGGATAAATATTGCCATAATCATATGAAGGTAAGAATGGGTGAAGAAAAATCCAGAATTTCTAGGTGGTGTCTAATTTTACAGTACATTTTCGTTAAGATTTCATCACCTATCGTCTAATCAAAGCTAATTATAATTAAATTCAAATAACCGATTTGCGACTTCCAACAGATGAACGACTCCATCTGGTAGCAGTTGAAGAACTGCTACCACGTCTTATTCCCTTGGAAGATTTCTTGCCTGTACCTTCTAATTGCGATATTCGATTTTCTAAATTACCCTATAGGATTTGATACTGTTTAGACTTTCAGAAGAATTGTAAAATAAGGATATTATTAAAATCAACTATGCTTTTGAAAACACAAACTCATAAGTATTTCTTACATTATCCATAACCTACCGTCAATTTACATAGTTCTTTTACTGCTCCAACGTTCTCCATATAAATTCGATCCTTTATTATTGAAAATATAGTATATTAATGCATTGTAATCGGAACGCGCAACAATCAAAATCAAAGCATCAATATTAAGTACCTTATTGACAACCATGAGCCCGTCTACTTTTTCTCCATTCGCTAGTAGTACATCCTCCTATGGGTATATTTGAGTATTAATTCAAATCCTTAGAACTATACTAAGTTATCATCTACACGTACTGTTTTAATGACTGCATCTGGTATAACTTCCTTCACTTGTTGAGCCAAGACACCAGTGTGCAACAAAGATGGATCAAGACCAGCTGGAACAGCAAACTGTTCCTTATATTTGAACTGCACTAGCTTCATATTTTCAACGTTTCTTAATTGTTCAGATGAATTTACCTATATTTCATAATATCTTCTATTTTTAGTTGTCTGTATATCGTAATAGCATCATTTATTCCATTTCTAACCTCATGGACTTCATGTTTCACTCTTTCATCAGAGGGATGGGTGATATGGCCAGTTACTTTAACATTTCCGTGAACAACTAGAGCTTCATCAGGGGTTTGAGTATTAATGCCAACATGTCCCTAGATATGATAAATAGGCAAATTAAGTAATATATTCCAATCATTTCAAAATACAAAACCGCAAAGGTGTTCAAGTACCATATGAATAACAGTATCTGGTGACGAGCCCTTAGCCCATAATGAGTCTCCATCACTCTCAAACTGTCCAGGATTCGATGCCTAAAAATAAAATATTGTAATGTAAATAAGTTGATACACACCATTATGAATAATAACTCCTTTCTAATTACCCGTATGATAATCTTTTCAGATTTTTGAGCTACGATTAGACGCTTAGTATTATCTTTCAATTCGGCGTAAAGAGCAACAACAAGACAGAAATATCTAGAGAATCATAAAAGTTTTAATTAGTTAAGGGCGCACTGTTACCTTAATATTAACAGCGAATTAGCCATTACAACATACCTTTGATCTGGATTTGGCTTTCCTTTCTTACGCATATTATTTGCAGTGGTTTCACTATACACGAAGTAAACAGTTAGACTACTATAACAAACTAGCTTGACGTCACCAAACACATAAGTACGTTGTAAGAAATTCCTGTTACTATAAAACTGAAGGTGCCACTAGCACGTACAGACAGTAACTATCTTGGCTACGTCAGTTTTCATCACTAAGAAAGATCAACTTGTTTCAACAATTACCTAAAATGAAGTCTTCCAAGAGTGGTCTTTTGTTGTAATTGAGTACTGAGATCAATTCTAGATAGAAGTATCGGATTTGTATAGTCAGCAAAATTAGCAGTAGAAATATGAACTAAATCTAGAGGCATGGTATACCGGTAATAGTCTAATTTTACTCACTCAATCGATTCATATGGTCGTTTACTACGATCGGATTGTGATTGTTCAATTTTCACCATCGAGTCTGGAGATTCAGCCTGAGATTAAATTTTTGTCTTTAGTTAATATTCCGAGATTAATATCATAAAATGAAGCCACAGGAAATACTTTACTAACCTTTATTCCATATAAATCGACGTACATCTTGCGTATTGCAACCATACTTCCGTTCTAGATTAATCGAAGGTTAGAATACAACAGATGATTAAACAAAGATCTTTAATGAGCTAATGACTACGTTGATGAGATAACAGTAGCTTATAATAAATTTTAGATAAAGTATGCGCGACTTAAGGTGATAACAGTATATCTGCTCCTAAAATTCGAGTTAGGGCATCGAACTTAATGTATTCTGTATTTGCCTAGTAGGCATTCCTGATAAGACACTTACTTCTGATTTAGCATAAACTGGAGTGGACTCTAATGAAGTCGTGATGGTTACCTATATATCAGAAGGATACCACATAAAAAAATCGCATAGTAAGAAGTTTATTTATAATAAAAGAGAAATTTCGCAGTTTCAACAAACCTGGAAGTGGTTCTTCTTCTGGCATACGAATGCACCATCAGGACAAGAGAAATTAAATCCCTTATCGGCATCAACGCGAAATGATATCGGTAATCTATGAATAACATAACAAAGGTATGATTAAATTATGTAATAAATAAAATAGTTTCCACCACGAATTTATAAAATAGTGTTGTTCAGTTAAGAAGAGCGCAATTGACGTAGCAACTTACATTTCGTTATGATGGTAGTCATACAACATAGTCATTTCATCGGTAAGATAAGCTTCCCAATTGATACACTGATGATTAACCGATCCTTTCTGTGTTCCGTTGGACATTGTATCTATGACGTCTGTTAAATTATTTTTCAGACAAGAATTAATCATAGCTAAATGACTACAATTCATCTGATAAATTATTATTTTTCTTTCCCAATAATATACGGTCGTAAAACTGTACTGCTATTCCGTAAACATTACGATAAATCTTACCACTCTCATTTAATTGATTGCATTGTGACAAACCACTACTGGCTGGGCTAATTGATTCTCCATATTTAGGACTGTAACCATTATGAAAATTGTTCTGGTTATGATTAGCTAATGAATACTGTGGCATTTGATTCTTTAATGATATAGTCGCTGGTATATTGGCTTGAGAGTCTATCTTTCGCTTCTTATTAGCTGCTTTCATACTATCAGAATGGAAAAATATAAATAAGCAATAGTTGAGAATTTATTTATAAGGAATCAAATTCTGGAGAAAGGTTGCAGGATTATCTAGCTGTACAGTAAATATGCAATAATTTGTGGTCTTAATTGTACCAGGCATAGCCAACTTACTCCATATCAGGAATATACTGCGGCGCTTGCGTTAGATATCCTTGTTCTGGTGAGGCTGTAGCAGCACCGTAGTTAAAGTTTGGAGGAGAACAATGTTGCTGATATCCAGGTGAAAGTTTCATTTCCGTATAGGGAGCTGACGAGCAGACGCTACGAATTAACATAAAAGTAGCATTACTTAATTAAACTACAATGCATCGATAGCATATTTAAATGCCTCAAGTTTTCAACAATCTATAGGCAAATCAGTTAAATTGCATAATAAGGCATTCGTATATCGATCAGAACTTACAGATGCGGTTCGACAGCTGGCAATATTCCTATAATTATGAAAATAATACAGGGTAATTTTCAATTACAGTAATGCTTCTGTATATATAGCAAATGAGATTTTACTAAATTGTTGACGTTTGAGGTTAAGAAAATATTTTCTTTTCATTGTATGAGATTTTCTAGCGCTATCGTTACAAGACTTATTATCTCACCAATGTTATTTCAATTTCCTAAAATTGTGTTATCGTAAAGTTGACTTACTATTTTTGTTCATTTCGTCATTTAGCATATGACCACTACCAACGAATTCGCCAAAGTCCATATCATCACCACCAACATTGATGGATTGGATTTGATTATTATCAAAGTCACTAAGGAAACTAGAAAGTGTACATAAAGCGCACCATTAATTCTCAAAAGGTAAAAGATTGGTAAGTTAATTCCAATATTTTATGAAGATATGCATAATCTAAGTATCAAGTAGAAGTCACAGTAATTACTATAGTTCTGTTACTAGGAATAATAAAACATCAAATACCCGAATGCAAAGGTGTTATCTTGTCATGCTGACAGATATTATCCAGACGGAACATACGTACACAAGTATACTGTACATGACTGGGATTACAGAATACTACAGTACAGTTTTTCATCATTTTACAGTACCCTTCTCCTATTGAATTGTTGTACCTCAAAAAATGTCTATCCCATCATCGAATTAATTTTAAATCTTACAAAAGTTTCAATTTCAAAGACTGATCACGTTCGATGAAGTCAATAAGTGTAATATTCGAGGAAGATTGAACAGACGGGTGGACGGAGAGGCTTTACCACCAAATATAGTGTACTGTACAGTGTACAGTATAATAATTGATTAAAAGCGGCACTGTAATCGTTGCTAGGTTGCTAGGTTGCCACGCCAATAGTGACGTCATTCATCGTTCAAATTATCGATGAATTTAATTAATAATTAACTTTCGCTAATTATTAAACGCTGTACGGTATTTTACGGAACACTGATCACCCTATATACGAGAAGATCATAACACGAGCAGAAATTGCTATGTCATGAACTAATATTTACCTAACTCTGCGTAGAGTTAATATGGTATAGTAATAGAGTACTGTAGATTGTACAGCGTACAATCTACGAACCTAACAGTCCAATATAACATGACTGTGTTGCTCGTATTAAAATTAAGCGAATTAATCGAGACAACGCATTCGATTGGCAATGTATGCTTATAAACTAAATGAAATGTAGGGACAACATATGGAATAACATGTAATTGCTATTCGCGTAACTTATAGTATTATAAACAGCAAGTGCTCATTTTCCAAAAGTGTTTGATATACAGTATATCAAATAAATCAGCATCAATTAATAAACCGTGTAGTATTTAGGTGAGTTTTCTCTGTGTAACGAAATTATGTCTGTATACTAAATGCTAAAGGATTTGCAATGCATATGTAAGGCAAGTTTAAGAATAATAATGATTCATAAAAAATAGAGTGCTGAAAGAACAGTACCGATCGTGAGTAATTTTCGTGGCATATGTGAAATGAAAAAGGTCGAGTATGATGGCAGTCACTGCATTACCAATGCCGTAATAAAGTATGTGAATTATTTCTCCGACAGGGTATACTCGTACATGCAAGTCATATCCTGAGACTATGATTAGGTACAAGTAAAGTCATGTATAAGCATTTCGATAAGTATAAAGAATCTTTAGTATACTACAGCTAGTACCGCTGACCTGAATTAAATCAAGTTTACTTCTATTGTAAAGAAATTATAGCGTTGTAAGATATTACTACGTCCATATGTGCAACATGTAGAACTACTACGGTACTATACAGTAGAGTGCTTCTAGCATACCTGTCAGGACTCCGTTCCTCGTTACTCAAGTATTTCTCTATTTGCTCCACATTTAATTGGCCTTGGTCGTCTACGAATTGATCCACATCTACGAATAAAAGTTGGAATGAGTAAATTATTACTGAGCATAAAATTTTTTAATTATCAAAATATTGGTTATGATAGACAATAAAAAACGAATGATATTCTCCGTGAATACATATAAACAGTGCTGTAGAACGTGCAATATATACTGTATTCACTGCAATAGACTAGATAGCTACAGCACTGTAACCGCACTTTCGATCAGCATCGAACAAGACATACAATGTACCATGCAATATGAAAAGCAGAGAAAATAAGAGAAGCTCGAGTGAATGATGCAGTAATACTACCATACTATTAAGCAAATGAGTTATTGCTGGTTTAGATTCTATTTATTTACTGCACTGCGCTTGCACCATTATGGGAAGGCCAATTCTTCGGGCTAATAGTAATAGCAGTATGATCAGCCTACCTGCAGTATTTGCTATTAGTATCCATCATGTATGCTGACAGTAGGAAAAGACTGCATAGTGGAGATCATTTCATGTACAGTACTATATCGGAGTAAGTACATACTGTATAGTTAACAGTAATTCGACACAGCATTGTATTATTAACTAAAGCGATCAATTAACGCTCCTTCAAAGAATTGCTGCTTGTATTGACTATCTCTGTAAATCTTGATTGAATAATCCAATTTACGGATTGAACTCAGCATGCCGATCGATCAGTGTTGGAACACTGATGCCGACAACAACTGTAGCGATTCACAGCAAGTACTGTACAGTGTACAGTAAGCGTGGTAACGTAATTTATCGTTCAATTTTGAGAGTTTAAAATAATTGATCCATCCTATCTCTCGATCAACTAATTCTTGACAGGAATTACTTTCAGGATAGAATATGCTAACTTGGTATCAAAAGAAAAAAATGGCATCTAGTTGAGTCAGCACTGTTTACATAAGTTCCATACTGTACTGTACTGTATGAACCGAACCTTTTTCAGCGGTAACAGCATGATATCAGTGAAGGACAGCCCGGGGTACAGTGTACAGTACATAGGGTACAGTACGCTACTTTCAGATAGTACTGTAGTGCGCCGAGTTGATAGCCTTCGTTCTTTGCAATATTAGCAATTTTGTACGCTTACACTAGCACCAACAATAAAGTATGCAAAAAGGAGTCAAAACTTGGTACATAGAAAACCGCACCAAAATTCTTCTCTTTCTGTATACGGGGTGCATAAATGTATAAATAACAGTGAAAAATATGTTCTATGGCACAGTGAAGTATATAATCTAGTAGGTTCAAATGCCGTAATTATAATTCATTAGTGATAGTGGTTGTAGGCAGGTAAACTGAAACGATACTGTAGACTGTACAATGTACAGTAATTGGAAAATAGAGACAACATGAGCACTACAATACCACTAGACAACATTAACATTATAAAATAACTGCATTGGTACCGATAAACGACCTGATTCGACTCGAATTCAATGTTATACATTTCAACCAAAAAACATGGATAGAATGAAATGGATAATGGATAATATATAATAATACTGTCGTAGCGTCAAATCAAAAGGAAATAAGGGTGTCATTGAACCGAGACTTGCCCCAATACGCTATACGAGTCTATTGATAAACCAATCTTATCAAGAAAAATAGAACTTACCGTTTAAAATGGTGCGAGGATCTTCAGTAGGGAAAGTAGTAACTGAACTCATTCTTAAGTTGTGCTACTTTCAAATGTATATATACATATATATATATATATGGTTAGATAAATGGGCGATATGGAGCGTCAGATGGCAACAGCGCGAATAGATGGCACAAGACGGGGAGAATCGTGGATAGCTATGAAGTTAAGATGTCGAGGCAATAAGGTGATCGTGTTGAAAATCTAGGATGTAAAGTCCTTGATACCACTGTTGATAATTAATTAGGGTCGTGTGCCAGTATATTGGCGTATTAGTAATTCTGTCTTGAAAGAATTGACGTCTTGACGATCTACAGATTTCTTTTTTTCAAGCTTTGCCTTGTATTTGTACAGTATGGTTACACGGCAATAATGCACTACAATATACTGTACTGTAGAGTCCAGTAGCAGCAAGCGGAAGAGATTAAGAAATACTTTTAGTTAAAAAGATGAACAATGTGCGGCTGTAGAGTAGACTACTCTGTCATCTACTCTATCATAATAACATTGCAAATAATAAGAAGAATTGCCCCCCAAAAATGCCGTAGAATGCAGGCAATAGTGGTCTAAAGATGCTGTATCGATGGGAACACCAACTTTTCTAGCGAGAACAAGTTAGAATAACGATCTAGGATTGTTGGAAATCCGTAACTGCCGTAAGGCTGCACCGCTTGTTTGCATCAATTGCGTCATGAAGGAACAATAATGCAAGGCGTGAACCGTGAACTGTGGACTGTGGAATATGTTCGGGATCATACAGTGAGTGTATCATACCTCTATGATCATACCATACAGTAGAAGAAAAACCACGAGATTTGTAAACAAAAGAAAGCACAGTACCGTACACTGTCGTTTACAGTACATTGCACTGTGTAAAAATAGGACAGTACTGTACAGTACTAGACCATACGAGTACAGCAAAGGTTGTTTGAATCATTGGTTACCCCGTCTTCTACTACAGTACTTGTATGGTCTACTGTACCCGTACTTCAATTTTCCATTCCGATTTACTGATCGAGTCGAGCGGTAAATCGTTGAGAATAATTTTCCCTCAAAAGAATACAGTAGACTGCAGAAGTGGTACCTCGTATCATGAAAGCATTGCACTAGCTTTTATGCGATCTATTATTCTACTGATGCACTCTTCTACACTTTGCAGCTTAAAGCCTTTAAGACCATACGCAGTAGTTTTGTCCTTTCTTCAATTAATTAATCACGTAAAATAATATGCGAGCATCCCACTCGCCAAAATACAAACATATGGCGATGGACTTCGATCGGACAGACTGAAACCTTGACCAACAGTACAATCTCACCAGTCGAGATCTTCATAATGAGGCTGTTGTAGTGACTGTCGTTTACGCTGTAAAACTGTAAATTTGTCAACAGTACAGTGTACAGTACTGCACACTGTACAGCTACAATGTACATACTGTAGTCGACAGTACTGTACTGCACGAATCGAAAAAAAAATCCCTTGCTACAGTATCGTATACCACGCATTGACGATTGCGCGGTTAAAGCCATGACAGACTAGTCAGAGGACTAAGCATCACTGGCAGTGAACAAAGACTGCTCAATAATCAGCAGCAAAATTGCTTTCCTGCTAACTCGCTTGGAAGATTCAAGACTGACTTTGGAGACTAAAATTCAAAGATTGTGAACGGCTTGCATTTGCTACAACCTTTGCTATGCAATAATTCAGTTAACTTACACCATAATGGCTTGTAATTACGTTGTCACAGCTCATAAACCTACAGCGGCCAACGCTTCATTATTCGGCAATTTCACTGGCCCCCATGATCTCAATTTAATTGTGGCTAAAAACAATCGTTTGGATATTCAACTGGTTACCGCTGAAGGGCTTGTACCACTTCTAGATGTCGGAGTCTACGGTAGAATTGCTAGCATGCAGCTAATAAGACCTGAGGTATAGTAATGACAATTATGAAAATAGGGGACTAGCAACCAACGTCAATGATAGCCATCATCTTCCAATCTCCATCCAGTCATCGTACTGCAGTCGTAACGTTATAATTACTACTGTATACTCGTAAACTGAGATTGGATAGTTGCATGCGTGTCTGAAGTCTTGATGACTGGTGGACGTAACATGGCTACAACTACCAATAACAACAAAAATGAAATAATTGGAAATGTATCGCTGCATGTATTTCAGTTCGCTTTCAGCAGTTTTAGCCTAGTATACGAAGAGCTTCTTCAAAAGGTGACGGGGTCTATTTTGCAAGAACGTGCATCCTTGATTTCATTTCGACACCCTATTGGAAATGATATCTTGTAGCAAGTAAACGTTCAGAAAATTTCAACACTTTCCTATTCTTTCATCAAACCAAGCACCAAATGGCATGAATAGACAAGGCTGTAGTGACTGACATAAAATCTCAAATGGTAGTCTACAGTGCTGTGCTGATGTCAATGAATGCACGCTTTGCACTCAATCCCCGCGCTTGCATGCTCGTACCATTCATTATTTACAGCTTGTACAGCATGTTACATTTTACATTTCGTGCTATACTTTCTTTCTCTGCTTATAAATGCAGTCAATTCTCATTTATTATGATACGATATTGTGCAAGGATTGGATCACATTTCACCTACAAGTCCAATGGGATATATGCATAGTACATTATCCAACGCGTTACTCATATTTGAGGCTATTCTGGACAGTTTGCATACATACCAACGCGTGAATCATACTCTTGATATACTGTATTAGTCCATCCCTAAAAGTGAATGAAATCCTACAGTACTGTACTGAAATCTTGAATCGACGATGCCCTGCGCTTGCCATAATAATTGACCAGTTCTGCCATGGCGATTTTAATATACCTTAGTGACATAACGAATTGATGATGATGGTTGCTGTCCGTGCGTAACTCAATATTTCATACCGAAGGATTCGTTGAATACAACGACCAAACCGCAAATACTAAATCACAAATACTATATCTTACCTTCAGCTCTCGTTATCAAATTTAAACTGAGTTCATTATGTTTCAGCTTTAGATAAAATTTATAATTATTAGCGTAACTTGCAAAACGATTAGAGAGTATGCATTGCTTAGGTTGATAAAGATCTTTCTATTGACAATTCTAGCTATAACTAATTGGAACTTGATTTCGAACCTTAAGGATAACCGATACAACACTGATAAATGCATGCTTTTACTTACAGAATGAAAATTGTGATTTACTATTCATTTTAACGTGCCGATATCGCGTCTGTATTTTGCAATATAAACCAGAAACTAAATCAATTATTACGCGGGCTTACGGTGATATGAAGGTGAGTTAATTCTATGGTTGTTGACGTTAAATTAAATTTGCAAGTGTACGAAAAATTATTAAGTAAAATGATATATATTGTAGAATGGTTTTAGTGAGCATAGTAATAGCTTCATACTGTATTCAAAATCTTGACTAATTATGATAACAAAATTCGGTACGATAGATTCGCTTTGACAACAAATCCAAACAGATATTGTTGTAATACTTAAAAGGCACTAACTTATATTAAAAGGGTATAACGTAAACTCTTGTTTAAAGAGATAGCATAGAAACTTTTATCAATTTGTTATACCACGGAGGTGCAAATGGTGCACGAATACATTTCTTATGTAATATCTTTATGTGTATGGTTGCATCTACACAGAATCGTGTCAGCAGGCCCTCGGAAACGGGATTGATCGGTATAGTCGATCCAGATTGTAAAGTGATTTGTTTAAAATTATACGATGGGTGGTTAAAATTAATCCCGTTAGAATTAGATACCGATAAAGAAATGAGTGCTGAGGATGTCAGGTAATACAGTGTAGAATTGGCTTAAGCTTTATATCTTATATCTTTGAATGGATTTTAAAACACAATTGCTATTATATCGTAAAAGTTGCGTTATAAAACTCAATTCTTGTAGATTGGAAGAATTACAAGTTCTTGATGTCAAATTTCTTTATGGCTTTACAGAACCAACGATAGCGTTAATATATGAAGTAAGTGCAATACTTAAATTAACCACCAACTCCTACCTAATCAATCACGCTATGCAGTAATAATGTCTTTATAATTGTGCATATGTAAATATTACTTGATATGCTATATGTACTGTAAATATTAAACTTTCCTACCGATATGGTATCTATGATACAATTTACAGAGTGGTCAGAACCGGTATTTGAAGACCTACGAAATATCTCTGCAAAATGCCGATATACATCGCCAACCCTGGAACATCGGGAAAGTTGAGGAAGAAGCATTTATGATCTTACCTGGTAATTTCAAAATGATTCATTGCAGCTATAGTCAGATGCCATTTATGTCTTAACGAATCGATAGTGTTTAATATTGAATGATACAGTACAGTACTTACACTATTCTTATATCTCAATCATTCTAACAACAGTTCCGCCTCCTTCGTGTGGAATGGTCGTTATCGGTGCAGGATCTATTTCATACTATAAAGGTCAAGATAGCTTACATATAACTCCAGCTAGCCTTAAGGTGATTATGACAGCGATTTTTTAGATCTGATAACACTTGAAAGCATTGAATAGGTACTTGAAAACATCTGCTATATTAACATACCATTAATAACCATTCTAACGCAGGATCGAATCACATGCTTTGGCCGTGTAGATTCGAATGGCTGTCGCTATCTTTTGGGAGATTATAGTGGTAGACTGTTTATGCTTATATTAGTTCAAGAACATTCGCAATCTGGAATAAAAGTCAAAGATCTTTGCTTAGAATACCTAGGAGAAGTAATTCTATAGTTTATAAAGTACTTAAGTATATCTAATAAAAGTTTTATACACAGCTCATGAATATTTATAACTTACATATAGACGTCTATTCCAAGTTGTATAACGTACCTCGATAATGCATTTGCCTATATTGGCTCCTCTTGTGGCGATTCCCAGCTTATTAAGGTAGTCCCTGAGTAAATTCGAATAATCGAATGAAATATGTTTTCAATTTTCATTTATTCCTTCATTATAGTAATTTATTTATTTGCTTCATAGCTGAATACTTCACCGGATTCAGAAACTGACTCTTATATTGATGTGATCGATAATTTTACCAACTTGGGTCCCATTATTGATATGGTTTCTGTGGACTTAGATAAACAAGGACAAAGCCAAGTATGATTAAGTTTCAATCACTGAGTAAACGGTGCAGCAATTACTTATTGTGTGCTAATCATAATTTTGAAAAATTGGAATGCTGTAGCTTGTCACTTGCTCTGGTTTTGGTAAGAATGCCTCATTACGGGTCTTAAGAAACGGCATTGGCATTCATGAATTGGCGAACATAGATCTAGACCATATTTGTGGTATTTGGCGTTTACGAACAGTTTCTCGCAGTATAAGTGAATATGATGATGTTTTGGTGCTTTCTTTTGCTGGTCATTCTCGGTATGGTTATTACTGATAGCTAAACGCTGATATTTATTGTTTATCACTGAGCATGCAAATCTATTTCCAACATAAAGCTTTTTAAAATTTGACGGCCGAGAAGTTGAAGAAACTGATATTTCTGGTTTCGATGATTATAAAGAAACTGATTTTGCGGCTAATGTTGCTTTCGATCAAATAGTTCAGGTACTAGAGGACATTGCATGTATTCAGCCGTATAGATTTTACGCCGATAAATTATCTTTCAAATTTGTGCAAATTCGAAATTGCTTGTTTTGATAGATATCAAACGAATCTGTCCGTCTTGCTGGTTGTGATGGAAGAGGCCTACTACAGTAAGTCGTTTAAATTGTTACTAAAGAAACCTATTAAATCTGCTCAGGCAGTTGTATAATATCAGTCCGGTTATCCAAATGTAAGGGAGTGGAAACCACCGAATGGAAAAACTATTAGCAAGTCAACTGCTGGCAATACGCAAATAATGGTAGCCAGTGGTTGTGAATTATTCTATCTAGAAATTGGTGAGGGCGAACTGAAGCAAGTCAGGTATTGTATACTTCTAGCATAATGAGCTATTGCTTAAGTTGTGTAATTTGTATTTAATTAATAGCAGTTGAATGAAACTTTAAACTTTGCAATTACATCTTTTTAATTTACTATATCTCGTCAATACAGCAATATTTCATTAGAGCATGATATCGCCTGCATTGATATCAGTTTGAAAGGTACGATGTACATTTTCAATATCTTCATTTAAGAATGCTTGTGGATGTTGGCAAGCCCACTGTCGCAATTAATTAATACTTTTTATATTATTTTTATATTATTTCTAGATGATAACGAGCGGGCTCAAATTTGCGCTGTCGGCCTCTGGGTTGACATGTCTGCTCGACTGTTATTACTACCCAATTTGCAGTTGATGCTCACGGAGTCCCTTGGTGGTGGTACGATTACTATCTGTTTATAATTAATAATATAATTAATCTGGAAAGTGTCATTTTTACAATGATATAATGCCCTCAATCTATTTTTAGATATTATTCCACGATCCATCATGCTAAATAGATTTGATAACGAAATTTATCTGTTGGTAGCCATGGGTGATGGTACTCTTGCTTACTATCTGGTCAATACTACTACCTGTAAGCGGAGGCTACAATTTTTACTGAATCTTAACGTTCAACCAATGACTTGATAAAATTTGCCTTTAATCATGTATAGGTTCCCTAACCAACAGAAAATCCGTCAACCTTGGCGTAGTACACAGTAACCTGTACACGTTTAAGTCTGGTTCCATTTCAAACGTTTTTGCCTGTAGTGATCGTCCTACCGTTATTTATATAAATAATCATAAATTAGTATTTTCGAATGTTAACCTTAAGGTTAGTAGATACTATATCATTTTGTAATAATTCCTGGAAAGGATTACAAACATAATTTGATTTCTGTGACGGCTAATCATAATCATTGCCAATGTAGAAGGTAAATTTTATGTCACCGTTCCACTCAGAGTCGTTTCCGAATAGGTCCGTATTTAATGAAAAGAAATTATTTTTATAAAGCTAATTTCTAAAATTCAAAGTATGCTACACGGTCTAAAAATCTCTCAAACCTTCTTGATATTTTGTAAAAACTTCCTATTTTTAGCTTGGCCTTAGTAAATGATTCAGGTTTTATAATTGGAACTATTGATGAAATTCAAAAACTACATATCAGAACAAAGCCTTTAGGGGAAACTACGAGGCAAGTATTTACTTAAACGTTTTCGTTGTTACCTAAATGTTAAAACATCCTTTATAAATCTTGATGTGTTAACTTTTTAAACCATCAATTAGGCGAATCTCTCATCAGGAAGAATCCCAAAGTTTCGGCATTATTACCTGTAGAACTGAGGTGCCTTCTGAAGACGACAAAAACTTCGTGCCAACTCATCAAAGCGCATCACTACTAGTATCAAACCGTACTATGTGCCCAGAACAAAGTGATAACTCCTCGTCAACTTTTGACAGTGACACTCTTTCAGAGAAAAATATTGACTCGGTTCTCATTATAGATCAGCACTCTTTAGATGGTATGACATACAAATCTGAACGCAAGATTTTAAATTTTTGTCTTGTGCATATATGTTTTTAACGAGCCTTCCTTTTTCCTCTACGGCCTTTAGCTCAATGTGCACTCCAGTTACAAGACTGTGAATGGGGCATGAGTTTGATATCATGCACGTTTGAGAACGATCCAGAGGCTTATTATTGTGTTGGTACCGCTTTTGTAAATCTAGAAGATAAGGAACCCACCAAAGGCAATATTCGAATATTGAAATACTTCGAAGGTTAATATAGCTACATTTTGATGTACCAAAATTAATTTGCAAGTTGTTTCTCTTATAGCTAAAAATTTTTAAAACAGGTAAAATTCAACAAGTACACAGTAAAGAAGTTTCGGGAGCAGTATACTGCATGGTTGCTTTCAACGGCAGGCTTCTAGCCTCAGTCAACAGCACGGTTTGTAAAGAGATTAATTAAGCTTATTTATTTGAAATATGATGTCAGTCGAAAGTGTTCGTTGTAAAAAGGCTAATAAATTGCTGCAATCTAAAAATGAAATTTAGGTTTCTGTTTATGAATGGACATCTAATAAGGAGTTAGTAGAAGAAACATCGTTCCATAATAACGTCCTGGCTCTATATTTGAAAACTAAAGGAGATTTTATTCTCGTAAGTTTACGTGAATTTAAAAGTAAATTTTATTTCATGTGACTAAAACAATGCCGTAACGATAATTTCTTTCTAGATTGGGGATCTAATGCGGTCAATTTCGTTATGCGCTTATCGACCTATGAATAATGAGATCGAATTGGTATGAAATGTCATAAATATCCCTTTAATACTACAATATGGAACTGAATTTGTATTACCGTATATATTCAGATTTGCAAGAACAATGACCCTAATTGGATGACCGCTGTGGAAATAATCGATGATGATTCTTATTTAGGTGGCGAAAATTCTCATAACTTATTTACCTGCCAGAAGAATAGGTTCGCTATTGTTCGAGTTGTTAAATTTTAAACTTCGAAGCTGCGTTCACTTAGACTAATATTCACGCGTAAGTCTGTTAGCATTAAATAGCATATCAATATGTTATTGACAGTTCGTCGTCAGAAGAAGAACAGAAACATTTACCGACGGTCGGTGTTTATCATGTGGGAGAATTTGTAAACGTTTTTAGACAAGGTATTAGATCCTTTACAACATGTGAAGCATATTAACATTGCCACAGATTGAAAATGTAACTATTCGTTTTGATTGTTTAGGGTCTTTGGTAATGCAAAATACCGTTGATATTCCTGATAGCGTACAAGGCTCTATCTTGTTTGGTACTGTATCTGGTGCAGTTGGTAGGTAGCTGTCATGATTTATTTATCTATAGCTTGTATATGTGCTAACGAATGGCATAAATGAAATTAATGATGCAGGTGTTGTGGTCACATTGGCACCAGCTATGTTCGAATTTGTTTCGGCAATTGCAAACAAACTATCCACTGTTGTCAAAGGCGTTGGGAAGATTGAACACCAATTGTATCATTTTATATGCATTGCTATTTAATCTTTAAGTTAATTAGTGAAAAAGTGATAGTTATTTAGAAATGGCATTTGTTACAGAGAGATTGATAAGTAATTAATCATAGCAACTTATTGACCTGAATGATAAACTACAGCTGGCGCTCATTTTCTAATGATCGTAAGACTGAGCCGTGCCAAAGTTTTGTTGATGGCGATCTTGTTGAGAGCTTCTTAGACCTTTCGCCGGAAGATATGCAAAGAGTTGCAAACGGATTAACTGTACGTACCGCTAGAATTGTTTTTCATGAATACTTAAATTATAGAAATTAAACGATCTTCAAATTACAGATACAAACTGCGGATGGCACTCGCCCGGCTATGGTAGAGGATGTTTTGAAAACCGTCGAAGAACTTAGTCGTATACATTAACATTTTTTGTTTGGTTAAGATTTTTCGTTCCTTTCTTAGCAAGCAGGTTCGCTTTACCTTCAATGCCTTGAAGGTACTATTCCATCTCCACGGATTCATAAATAGCCATATATGTGCATGCCGCAGTACTTAACATATCGAACTTTAAAGTAATTTCATTTTTAAAATCTTTGTATTGAACTGATCTACCATTTGGTAAGCTTTATTGTTAGTTGCTTTCAGTATTGGTGTTATAAATCTTTAGCAAGTAATATTCAATTATTAGATAATTAGTAGCTCTCGCGTTATACACGTACATTCGTTCACTGTAAATTTCCTATACCGTCCGATACAATAGTAAAATTTAATCAGATCTTTCTGTACAGTACCGCATTGGTTCATAAATGGAAGCGCTCTGAAATATGTCAATATTCTATCTTAAATAAAAACATGTTTGCTAAACTCGAGTTCGCCTTAGAGCGAACCTAATATCATAATTTCAAGTTCTGTTACGAAAAACTATAATACGTATCCTATCCTAAAATCCAGTTGCGGAAAAGCATAGCACTATAAAATATGACCACAACTTCGTCGCTAGTAATTTTTAATATTAAAATTTCAAGATAGTTTAGTATTTAATTTCCACCGTGTAGAAGTTTCCGCGGGAGTTTGCAAATGAACGATATTGATAAGATCGTAGGAGGCGTCTATAGATTCCTTTAGAGTATGGATTGTTGCATTCACGTTGACATTATGATAGTAAAATTATCGCTAACGTCTGTAGTGTGGTATGAGATACGTAGATCATCATACTTATTTTAGTTTAATGTAAATCGAAAAAAATTAGTAGACAAATTTATTATTTCGCAATCATGAGTCATTTCGCAAAGTTTTCGGATACTCCTGTACGTAGTAGTTATTAAGATGCACAATACCGCACATTATGCGTACGACAAGAAAAGAAAACGTCTTACTCTTTTATTTAAAATACTCGAAGCAAACTAAGGTTTATCTTGCTTGTAAGAATCATTCTAGAATGTAAAATGTAAATACCGTCATAGTAATTATAGTAACGTTATTCTATAAATATGGGTCCTTTATTATACCTAATGAAAATAGATGCAAAATCTTGTCCTAGGGTGTCCAGTTTACTTTCTAAATTGTATCGATAGTTGGATCAATTAATCTTTCAAGCAGTTAGAAGTATAGGATTGCTCGAAAGATAATTTCATTAAATTGACATTAAAGCGAATAAAAATTTGGGATAAAGTAATATTTCGATAGCTCAGAGTCTATGTAAGAGAATTATAATAAGCGGAAGCTACAGAAGACTAAGTATGCAGTCTACATTCTTTCCGTAGCAAGTTAGCTGCGTTTAATCTGAAGTATGCCAGAAAATTTAGTAAAATTCTGCATTTGTATTACGATAACTTATTCATGTTCTAGAAATCTGTAGATCGGTTAATCGCTCGGGTAGATAAGTAGACAGAAACGAGAGACGATACGATGAATTAAATTAGAAACTGATTGACATATTCTAAGGGTGACAGAAGTTTTAGAGCGATAATAAGAAGATAAAGATTGAAAGCATTCGCTAAAATCAAGATATCTCCCGTGGTAGAAGTTAGCTGAACTGAGCTCGGATAGACTCAATAAATCTTTAAATTCTCTGTTAATGAATGAATAGTAAATGGTTTACCTTCAGATTACTTAAACAAGGGTTAATTAATCGCTTCATCATGTGTAATCATCATGCTCTTTCAGCTGCAATTAAATTCACCTATGCATAAATATGATGAATATTAATTTTTGATGACTAATATAATTTAATATAGAACAATTGCCAAACCACTGCAAGCATAATAATCTTACCAATCTTGTGGTAGCATCAGGTGAAGTATTTGCAATCTATTTTAAATAACGTGACTTATTGTTAATCGATGAATTATAAATTACAATACAGCGCTTAAGTTGGTGAAAACAATAGAAAGCGATGTAGACCATGACAGTAATTAATGCTGATAATATATATTACATTATCTATGCGTTATCAATTTGGCTATTGTCTTACGCTATTGTTGGCTACTATAACAACAGAGTCAACAGAGAGATAACGATCAAAATAATTAAGTCTAATTGGCTTAATCTACTCTTGCTTAGTAGATGATTTTGATTTACAGAGTCAGACCGACCTGATCTAGTGCTGCAAGTAGGATTGAAGGCAGTTATTAGAGATAGATTTGGACTGATCCACCAACAGCCAAGTGCACTTAAGAGAATGAAATAATATTTAATTACACTTTGTAACATAGATTAAATAAGTATTTCATTCAACCGAATTAAATGAGTTAAAAATTGCTGTTCCATAACGTTGTTCTAAAATAGTGTTGCGCTTTAGATATAATTCTGAGCTCCACGATCAGGTAAATAGTAAGGTGAAAGATTCCCGTTACAACACTGCTATTATAAGATAAATTGGAAGAGGATGCAATATGGAAATTTTAGAGAACGATTGGTTATTATCTTCATCCAAGATTGATGACGACCTTGGATGTGTTAAACACCAACCGGATCATCTACGTCTATATGTCATTAATAATCGGAATTTACACCAATATAAAACAATCGATGGCAAATTGAAACACCTTGGATACACATCAAATCAAATCTCTTCTAGGTACTTTTGCTATGTAAATATATTAATGTTTTAGTTAACTTTTATCGTACTCACTTCACTAGAAAAAGGGTAAGATTATAGTTAATGGTTCAGTTAGGATGATAATCGCAACTAGCTTTACATCAGATGGTAAATTAACACTTTAGTTCTATTTTCTCCTTGTCTTCTTCATGGAATGAGTACACTGATTCAAAATAGATCGTTATTTAAGTTTGTTTACCATATGCAGCTGATACATACATATATATAGCATACGAGTATATATATATTTTTTATATATGTATCTGCTGCGTTGACTATATTGCTTTAGATTTTAATTGCTTTACCTTATTTCCTTCCTTAGCACGACATTAAATCAAGGGGAAGCCTTTATCGATAAGGTAAATTTTTTGGCTACTTCTTGATCTAGTTAAGCGTATAACTAAGCAAAATAATGTTAAAATACTCTGTCAAATTCTTCAAATAATAACAATATTCCATACTCTCAATCATTTTATATCCTTATTTCAAGCTATCTCGATCCATTCGTCGTAGATAATATGATTCCGCACTTGTCATTATAATTACTTTTCGCATCGTTTATCAGTGTACTCTATCGGTTAAAGATAGCTATGTAGACAACTTTTAGCTAGATTGGTAGGTTATATCTTGATTTGGAGATTTGTCTTCCAGACTATTGCATGCATAATTTCTCAATATACCGGAAACAAGATAGTTAGATGTCGTAAGCAAGTTGGATTACTAATTTATAAATTAGGACTCATCTTCGTGATTACCGGACCGTAGATACTTTCTGTTAATGTACTCGAAAGAAGAACACTATGCATTATAAGCAGGCTAAATTGCTAGTTACGTTATGATTTAGGACCCATCTTCTTCATTCCTTTACATAGTTTATTGACAAGCTAGAAGATAATAACTAAATGTTATAAGCAAGCTAATATTTGTTAGTTGATGCTATGACTTAAGACTTGCTTTCCTAATTTCTATCATACATATTTGCAGTTTATATACTGGAAGAGGGCAGCGAAGCATTATGAGCAATCTAATTCACTACTTTTAGATTATTAATTCTTATCTTTCCACATAAAGAATATCACGCATTTCAATACATTCGAACGAAGGTACCAGATATTTTAAGAAAGCTAGCGGACTATTTTATATGGTCAATCAATTAATCATTTATTTAGTTTTCCTACGTCAAGAATCCATGGAATTTCTATTAGTTTGTAGCACTCCAGTGGAAATAATTAGTTGGAAATCTAGATTAGACAGCCATTTTATGTGACTAACTACCCTTAGCCTTTAAAGCCAACGATTACACTGTATGGTAGTAATTTATAGCTTCCCCCCCTCCAAAAAAAATTAACGACGCCGACGAGGGGATTTTGATGCAAATGATTTGTTATTAACTGTTAAGCAAGATCTGCATCTTATATTTTTAATTAGCGACCATTTTTTAATGATACTGAAGATTACGACATTTTATTACTTAAATATAGTAAAAATAGTTACTAGAAATTGCTGTAGAGTAGATCACTATCATATATCGTTAATTAGTAGGCGTAATTTTAAAGCTAATAAGCTCGAAGGAAGGTGATTGGATATTAGTCGTACTCTTTATTGCCATTATTTTGAGATTGCTAGTCGTTCTACCATAGAAATAGAAATTCCATTGCCATTTTGGCTGTCTATTCGAGCATTTCTTGATCTTTTAATAGCTTTATAGAACGTATCTAAACCATGTAAAAGTATTCCTTGTATTGCCTATTCAATCCTACTAGTATATTAAAGAGGATAATAGCAATTAACAATTAATAATCCTAATTGAATAATGTCTGCAAATAGAACTCTTTCTTTCACTTGAATACAAAGTACAAAAAATAACTATCAGATCTTTCACAGGATTACTGAATAATTTTACCTTTGAGAAAACATCCAGCTAAAGTAAAACCATCTACTTGTATTTAGCATATATCCCACTTCAACAGAATACTCTATCTGTCATCTACTTTAATATCCGTAAAAAGCTGCTAAAACTAATCAGCATATAACTTATAGGGAATGTATTGACATCCTTCTCTTCCCTTAAAAGAGAAACTTAAGCTTTTAATCGACTTTGTACTTCGTTTAGAGTGAAGGTAAAAGGGATAGTTGGGATAGCATCAATTAAAAATGATATTACCTTATTAAGGTTAAGAGGAAAGATTAGTTTTTAAGGGACTCTTTCTATCTACTAGAATACGCTAAAAGACAGCTTAGGCAAAGTTAGCAAAAATAAGCTTTACTTTATGAACCCAGGTATGTTAACGAAGTAATATTATTTTCATGGCCCTTTAGTCTGACTCGAAAAGAGGCGCAGAAAATCGATTAAAAATTTAATCTTTCCCTCTTAACGAATATTATATTCATTTTAATCTCAAGATAAGCAAGCACAGAAATTCGATTAAAAATTTAGTCTTTCTGTCTTAACCAAGTAATGCTATATTCACTTTAATCTCACTCCGAAGCAGGCCCAGAAAATCGATTAAAAACTTAATCTTTCACTCTTGATAAATTAATATTCTACGCGCATATCACCTTTACTGAACCTACCATGGCTGTCCTTTCATTTTAGGCAACCCTACTTGAATGGAAGCAAGAAAATCAACGCTTAAAAGTCAGCGATGATCTACTTAGGGATACGACTAGTAAAATCCAAGACAAGGTAAATGCTACTTAGACTATTTCCGTCATCTATCATTATTGAGAGTTAATAAAAGAAATGACAAAAAATAAGTTCAATTTCGGTGCTAAAGCTGCTTGATCCCCTTTTACATTTCTCTGCAGTTACAAGCATATGAAAATGAATTGAAGATTCTATTTAATCGATTAAAAGTTAATGAAAATTGTAACATACTCAAGAAACAAGAAATACAACGCAGGATAAAACATCTTGAAGATCTCATTGTCGAGCACAACGACCATTCAATGCCATCCAGTAATTTGGAAAATAACGATGATGATCATTACGAAGCACAACCGATTGCGATAGACTTTGACCATCAGAAGGCAAATTCTCATCATCATTATCAACATCAAAATGCCGAAAATAGTACAAGACTGAGTAGTCCTACTATGGATAATCATAGTGCTCACGATAATAATACTAGAAGATTTAGCAAACGATCGACAAAACTGTTTAGTGCAACATCAAGAAATACCGAATTATCATCCATGACAGTTCCAACTGGATCTTTGCCTCCTTTCTCTTGGTTAGTAAAATAAGAATAAAGTGTGTTCATAGATCATCCAAATTATCATCCAATACCTAATCCGATTATAAATTATTAGTCACCTTAAATATAATTTTTGGCTATGTCTATTTTGTATCCTATCGACAGTACTACCGGTACTGTTGTCATAGCAGATGTTGATCCAAATGGATATTTTGTCCAATTACACAATATTAGTTCTAATCAAGTAAGTGATTATGGTTATCCTAACAACTGAATTGAATCAATTTAAAACAAATTAAAGCTAGTATAAATTATCGCCATGATACTGAGTTAGGAAGGGCTGTGCTTATACTTGTGATATTATTTTTATTATAATTGTAGGATGTAGAATTAGGATTATTCCAGATACAGCAAAGAACAGAGGGGCATATTATGGCTTCCTTTCAATTTCCTATCACTTTTACTCTTGCTGCTGAATCGAAAGTTACAGTAAGATTGAATTGAAATAAGAGAATATAGTTTATGTGGAATCATATTTAGCTATTCCGATTTATAAATAGGTTTGGGCCGCAGATAGCCAACATCCACATCGTCCACCTTTAGACGTCTTATGGATTAAAGAGAAAAGATGGCCAGTATCCCCAAATTGTATGACTATATTATGTAAACCGAATGGCCAAGTAAGCCTTTAAGACTAGAATCAATTTACTTTAAGTAATCAAAATCTAGAATATCTTATCCAAGAAAAAAGATTTTAAATTCGTTTCTACAATATCTGCTTTAAACTAATATCGACAGGCAATGGCGTGGACTTCTTCAGCCGGTGTAATTACTCGATATCAACATGTGTTAAAGAAGAAACAAGATAGACGATTGCATGAAGATAGAAATAAACAAGTTTCCATTAGCCCTATGGATGATAATTCAATTTTTGAGAAAAGAACGGCCTCGCCAACATTAAGAAAACGAATCCATTCTCCTTGCCTTAGGTAGGAAATTTAAAAGCTTGCAGTAGATCTGCACGGGCATTAATTAATTATTATAGTCGATATTGGATCGTTAGCCTATTTGTCAATATAAGAATGATGTAAAGAGAGAATTGAAGTTAGTAGTCCATTGCTAAGTGTGATGATGGAGGAGGAAATCCTATTTTACAAAGTCAATATCAATTAACATATGGGCATTGAACTCTATTTAGCACTGGAAATGGTGGAAATAGATCAATTAACTATAGAAAATCAGCTTCTGAAATTATTACCTTAAAAGATTTAAAACATTTTACAGAACAGGTAAATCTTACCTCATTTCTGCTTAAGAATTTTTTAAAGGTTTACATTATTAAAAGTAATTAATAAATCCTTATTTCTGTTGATTAGTGCATATAATATAATATATTCGCTACATAACATTTAGATGAATCAGTAATTACGAACAGTTAAAACTACAGATTGTAATTCTATTCAGATTTCAATCATTTTGATTATATTAAGTGTAAGCCAAATCTAATCGATTTTTTACGCCAATCTACGCAGATAAATGGTAGGAGTAGACCGCAAAGTAGTCATCAATTATCAAGGAGTAGGATAATGTCCAATGACAGTGACAATTATAATTATTTGAAGTTAAAGAGAAACTCCGATCAAATGGTACAATATTGGAGAAGACCGGTATCAGTTAAGCAAGTTCGTATCTGCTATTATAGTAATAGTAAATTATTGATACAGCCATCATCGAAGCTATTACTTGATAAATTAAAAGGAATCTTTGGTAGTTAGCTAAAAGATTTTGTTGGAAAGTTAACTATTCCCTCAATCATGTTTTTGTTTGTCTGTAGGAAAGAACAAGAGGAGGCAGCATTCAGATCCATTCCTCTAAAGCATATAATTATATTTTATAATGTATCATTCACTAAATACAAAAAGATAATCATTGGTACACCTTGTATAGAATAACGTACGCATAATGTAACTATTTATTACAAGTTTCACTTGCTACAAAAATACAACCGACAATATAGGCTTTGTTAGCTGTTTTAAGCCTTTCAAAGTTGGCTCTAATAATTAATACATCACTTATTCATGCGAGTTATCAATGACACAGTATCAGATAGCAGTAAGCATAGACGAATGAAAACATTTTTGAAATACCGATAATATAGACAATTTTTTTATACATGGAAAAAAGGAAATAGAAAACTTTCTTTGCAAGTTATCTATCAACTATTTTTTAATATAGAAACTTAAAGTTAATAAAAAAGATAGACTTACAATCTACATTAACATAAAATTGTTGCTACTTTATCTTTGCTAGATAGGTATAGCCTTGCCATTTTATATGTTGGTGCTGGTCACAGAACCGTAACAAGATGCAATTTTAACTGTAGTAATAAATACAGTACAATACAAAGTGATTGTTATCTAAACGGACATAATATACTTTCAATTGGATCCACAGTTGTCGTGATAATAATTCATTCTAGGAACAATTATTATACGTATTTTGGCTACGTTTTAGCCTTGTATTGCTATTTACCGTTATCTTGGCAATATCCAAGTTCATGCAATCGTAACCGTTAAATATCTCTACGATATACACATTTTCATACTTTATCATTAACTGAATCAGCCTTTGTCTCAACTGACTCTGGCACAGAATCAGATACTGCACCAGATGTACTTAACGTTGCTAACACTGTGCCTAATAATTAATTGAAAGAATGAAGAAGGTTAGTTGGTGATGCTATCATTAAGACATTTGTATGATACACATCTGAATATCAAACAGTTTTGCTGAAAATGAAGCAATAAAATAGACAAACCTGCTGATTCTGCGAATTTACCCATGCTTTCTTTCTTTATTTCCTCAAAATCCTTACGTTCGTCGGCTAAAAAAATTCGATCCATCAAAACTCTCTCAGCTGATGGAGCATATGACTATAACCAAAATAAATGTAAATCAGACAATACATAAAAGAACATTCTTCATCGCTAAACTCATATGAATAATAAAATGTGTTGCAGACTATAGATAACCTTGCTCTCTTCGTATAAAAGTCGAGTAAATTTATTATACATTCGTTGAATCTTTTGAAGAGTTTGCTCACTTGTGCATTCATAAGCTTCATCAACTGTAATAAACAAGAAATTTTAACGTTACCACAATTGAAAAGTATGCATACTGTTGATATCGGCAATCTTGCAGCACGTATCAGTACGTCTAAGTTGGTAAACGTTTCAAATACTTACATTTTGTTACGTCTTCTTCTTTTGGTATTGGTTCATAGTAGACATGGTAACGTAGGAGCTCTCGGCAAGCATTCTCGAAAGATTCGAAAGGTTTCATCTGTGGTGATTCCACGAATATCTGATCGACACCCAAAGCAGTTGTAATTCTAGTAATAATAACCCAATGATTTTCAGTGTAAATATTACTGAGTTGTTTACCAATATAATACATATACTAGGTATCTACTCGATCTGGGAAAACGTGTTATAAACACTGTTTTTACCTTGCAGCTCGTTTGGCTTGCTTAGCAGCTGCAGTAGGAGGTGGGCGTTTTTTCCCTTGATTCAAAGGCTTGCTAGATGTTCCCTACGTATATCATTAAAATTAGCATTTTAAGTATCTTCTGCTGCCTTGTGATACTACTTTGAATTTATTTATATGAGTTTTTATCCCTACTGATGACAATAGGCTAATTTGAAAAAAAATTAACAAGAATATTTTCGTACCGTTTTAGTCGACTTTGAGCGGTTTTTCGATGGTGGCACTTTTGGCGTTGAAGTAAGTTTGGAAGTGGAACTTGTCGTTTTTGTACTGTTATTTTCATATAACCCCTTATCGGAGGTCTTGGTTGATACTATTATTGATGTAAGAAGTATGATTAAAAGAATTTTCTATAACAATCTAAAATCGAAAGATTCATTGCAAGCCCTATAAACTTCATTTCTCTTCCTTAATCAAAGAAATAGGTGGTCTTACCCACAAACTTGGTGATATTTGATATCAGAGATAAGGGCATTGACCCTTTGGTAAATGATATATGTTTTATTAAGACAAACTGGGGTAGAAGACTTACTATGATCATAATTTGTTGAAGTAGAAGTCGTTGTTTTAACAGCATCGACTGGTTGAGTTTGTTGCTTAACATCGGGCGTTTTTTTCGTATTTATGAGTAAAGCGCTTAGGTTATTAGCATATAACTTGATGTCTTTAGTTTCAATGCTTGATAAGGATAGTCGTTCGGCAAGTAATTTCTGATTACTAGCTTTAGTCGACATCAACTGCTGGAGAGTAAAGTTTGTCTTTGTCGACGTTGGTCCGGATTGATTGCCTGCTTTGGGATTAGAATTGCTAACATTTTTATCAATGGATTGCTGTTGTGCTTGAATTAGAGTTAAATTCGATTTTTTGTCGTTATCATCTGCTGCTAAGGCAATTAATTCTTCCTGACTAAGAGAGGTCGATCCTAATGTAATTGTAAATAGAAGAGATTTATTTTTGGCCACATTAAAATCATCAAATGCAAGAGTAATTAATGTTCAATTAGTTTAAAACAAACTTAGAGTTTATTTACCGTTAAGCGTAGCGTTTGCAGTAACAGAAAATTCATCGAATAGTTGACAGTCGATAATTTCATTTGGTAGACTATTTATCCCAATCGCTGCAGTTTGTTGGAATATCTATAGAGTAAAGGAAGGCATTATTATTATTTCAGCGTAGGTAAAGATATCCTATGGTACTGATCATTATTTAGATTGTAGACATTTCAATGCAATATTATTAATGCATTCATGAACCAACTTGATTGATAGTAGTAGCCGGAGTTAATATAGTGTTAAAGTGATGGCAAAGTGTTATTCATGTTGATAAAGATTGCAAAATTATGGCTGTCACAACTAGTAGAGGTACTATTGAACTATTATGACTATTGGACTAATTACCATTTCATTACCTGATCAGTTGGTGACAATGATGCTAAATTAGCAAGCGTAGTTATAATGTTACTGTCTTCTTCTTGTACGCTGTCATCTAAATTTGATGCTATCTTGTCGTCCGTTAACAGATCATTGTCAACATTGTTGATATCATCCATTGTCGAATTTATATTATTTGTATGCAATACAGCTTGTTCCTCCATGATGGCTTGTGTAGTACATTGACTTGGATTAGCTATGGCAGGATTTGATGAAGTTAAAGGTAGCTCTAATAAAGTACTAATTGAAGATTTGGAAGTATCACTTTGTTCGGTAGTATTGGAATTATCTTTATCTTTTGTGTCTGTGGATAAATCTGCAGTAGTACTGCTCGATTGATAGGAAGTTGATGTCGTTGTTTTTGGTGATAGAGGTTGTTTAATAGATAATGAAATGGTAGCATTGGTAGTAGACCATGACGTACTTTCCGGCATGACCTAAGTGTCAACAAGTAAAAAGTTAATGGCAATATTACGTTGTGTATTTTATGATATGTAAAGCAATGTTAATCGATGTATAGTGTGACTATATGGACTTTCTCCAATTTGTGATGACGATCAATTTTATATTGATGTCTACACTATCGACAAGAGAAGTAGCGTTAACAATGATGGTTAATAAGATGGAACTATTACTTTTATGAGCGGGGCAAGAAGGGAAAAAAATGAAGAATAAGAACATAGTTTGTCGATTTTTATCTTTCAGTAAAGGGGAAATTTTGCAAAAATTTCTACTTCTTCAAAGCATGATAAGGAAGAACTAACCTCGCTTTCTAAATGACTTTGTATTGGTTCTTTTCCCATTTGGGTATGACTAAAAGAAGGAAAGAAAGAAATCAATTTAGTGGTGACCAAGTTATCAACGGAATAAAATTAAATGATTTAGATGAAAGAGAGTGTCTATTTGATGAATTTATCAACATTAAGATTGTCCATTTATTAGCATAACATTAAGTATAAGAAATACGTAGATGATCAACTCATCCAGTACGTATGATTGTCGAATATTATCAGATACGTTATTAAGGAAGTCCATCTAAGTAAATCCATCATGTTACTACTAATTAATAGCAGTATCGTTTAGAGCATGCACTGTAGTTAAGGTTATATTAATGTAGCAATTCAATATGGATGCATTTATTGAATAACCGGCTGGTTCATTTTCAACCATTACCTGTGTATATCGGACGCGTTGTTAACACTTTCAGTCATGTCTATAGCAGCAGTAGGCATGAAGAAGTGTATCCTAGGTGGTAAGCCTTTCTCATCCAATCCTTAAGATATTAGTCGGTTCTCCTGTTACAAATAGGAAAGATACTGTTAACAATGTCAATAACGTTCTTTTCGATACTTTAACATGTGCAGTTGGTTGCTTGTGGATAATTGACTGTTATAAAGGCCTGAGGCAACCAGCAGAAGAATGTAAGTGTCCTATGCTATATACCATAACTTGACCATTTCAATTTTGTTATGACGACGTGCATTAGAAAAAGAGAAGGATTTTACGTCAGCGCAATACTGTCAGTGGTTGTAGTTAGGATAATTTATCAACTATTTCTATCAATACTTTGGATCACTAATGGAGAAGGATTGATATCGGTGCAAGACCCCCCTTATTTGTTGTATTTACTGGTTTATTTTAATTATTGCAAAAAGTAAATTACTGCATGAATAGGAAGTGCAATTCCGTGCCAAGTTTTAAGCCATTCTCGACTTCTGTGTTTCGCTGTTACTTTAAAGTCATTATTGCAAGAGATGACAGACTACATACATGGCTTGTCCACATTGACTGGTATTCTACAAAAAACGGTTTTGAAGAGAATTCAATTGTAATTTATCATTTCTGCTAGTGTAGACATTGAGTATTTGCATGTAGAGACTATCATTGCCTTAAATTACCATCAAGATAAAACTTGTAACGGCATCCATCATTCTCTATACTCGTATGTCGATTGCCATCTAGCTACAGAATGAATCGATTGGATTGGATTGATGTCAAGCAAGATTCTGTATCGAGACTGTTCTTTTCTGTACTACATGATGTAATTGATAGAATGAGAATGTCATTTTATCGGTAGTGGTACTGGACAAGTTGAAGCATCCCTGAATTCTATAATAAGTCGATATTGAATGGAGGTAATTGCATTACTATTGCAATAGTCTCCAACAGTCAGAGTACAGTGATTATTTGTTGTTTGAATATTGTTCATGAGAGCATTTACAATAGTGACAATATTGTGCCAGTATACTGCTTGAGAGAAAGGGATAAAAATCAATGTTGGTTAGTATGATGTCGATTGAGAATTGTCCATGGACGAACAAGGTAGACGGTAGGTTAAGGTATTGTAGCCTGTATCGATCGTTGGTGTCGCCAGTGATGATGGTCATTTCCATATTTCTCTCTCTCTCTCTGCCTATCAATCTACTGTGGGTCTATTCTATCGTCGTAGAAAAGCAATTTAGTCCATTTTATCCTTGATCTATGGTAACGATATGTAGTCCGATGGATGATTCTATCGCGCTAGTTGTATCCATTTTTCTGACTTGATGCCTACCGGTCCATCATTCTACAGTGTCATGGTGTACAATATGGACAGTCTATCAAGTCATGTAGAGTAAGGATTTGTATCTGAAGTAGACATGGTTGATAGGTATTTTTTTGGACGTCTACGCCATCTGTAGTCTAGAAGGAATGTTGTCCATGATGGCATGATGGACAAGTCTGTATTGATTCTTAGCCAACCGTACTCAAGCTACAATAAGTTGAACTGACGGATGGCTATTAGCATTTTTCTCATTTTAATCATGACAAGAAAATGGACATGTAGCAATGGATTTGCTTTGGAGCTTGACTAATGATAAAGAAATGAAGGTGGAAATGAGTTTGTTAATGCATTTGCAATACTGTACTGTCGGTCTATCGGGTTGACAAGGCTATATTGAAGAATGGTTGAACTTGCAACGTCTTTCTACTAGTATTGACTGAGAACAATATCGTGAGTCAGCATGGGAAAAAAGGGAAAGCGAATGTTTTCACTCTCTTTGCTCTTTCTACTCCACTTGATCATGGTTAAGAAAGGTTTTACAAAGATGGAGAATAAAACTCCTGCCATGGATTGGAGGAATGATGTTGTTGAAGACTGTGGTGAAGGCCACTGCAATGGGTCTATCGTGACGTAAATGATTATCGCTGGACTCCACTTACGTGGAACACTGAGCATGCAAGATTGAAAAGGGCAAAAGGAAGCAATATTAGCGACCATCATGAGCTTAATTGAAACGTTATTGGTGAAAGAATTTCTGCTTCTATTGGTCTACAATCAACATCAGCAGATTGAATTTGTTTGTGCAGGTAGAATCCTCTGCAGAGCTGGACAATCAAGCTGCAACCTGGCCGCTGCCAACGCAATCCATCGATAACGATGGAGCGTAATCAAGTAGCGTAGAGGAAAAAAAATAGCAAAAAATGGCGCCATTCTGCCATCGAATTGTACAAAAAGCTTCAAGTTGTAGTAAACGATTGCTAGTCATCAACAACATTTGCCAATCAATTATCAACACAGGATAAGATTAAATTGCAACTTGCCTTGGTAGTTTGCTAGTGATGATCAATTTCTTTTGCATTTATACTGTGTTAATTCAATCCCTTCCACACTGTCGTTGGACACTGTCAGTCAGTGGTGTTACACGGTACAGTACCGGTCCTGTCATGGTCTCTACCCGGGGTCGAATCCGCCCGCATTGGTTGTGCCCAGGGGCTGGGAGTGCGGGATGTGATTGACAAGCGTGGTTGGCGCCGATGACGACTGTATACTGGAAGCAGGACGCTTGTGCCATCTTTCATCCACTACACTGCCTGTTTTATCGGCCAATCCACACTCGTCCAGGGGCAATCCGTCGGATGCATGCCATGATGATGATGTGGGGTGGGCCAGCCACCCCTCCCGCCATTGACAGTACTTTCTACTGTCAATGGGGATTGATGAAAGCTTAGGCTAGGGCCTAGGCGTACTGACGTACAGTGTACAGTGCACAGGCAAGAGTGTACACTGTACACTGTACAGTACTGTAGGCCACCCTAGCCTATTGACATCCTCTGCAGTGCCATAGCTACAGTCCACGCTGCATAGTACTGTACAGTACAGTATAGACAGTACTGTACTGTAGGCAATGTACTGTACTCTACTCTACACTGCATAGTACTGCAGTCGCTTGCACTGGGCACACTCACGCACCCCTTCCAGTACAGTAGAACACTACAGTACTGGTACTGTACTCCACACTGCATAGTACTGTAGTCGCTTGCACTGGGCACACTCACGCACCGCTTCTAGTACAGTAGATTATGACAGTACTGGTACTGTACGCCACACTGCATAGTACTGTAATCGCTTGCACCGCGCACACTCATGCACCTGTTCCAGTACAGTAGAACACTACAGTACTGGTACTGTACGCCATACTGCATAGTACTGTACTGTATGTACTGTAGTCGCTTGCACTGGGCACACTCACGCACCTCTTCCAGTACAGTACTGTAGAACACTACAGTACTGGTACTGTACTCCACACTGCATAGTACTGTAGTCGCTTGCACCGCGCACACTCATGCACCTGTTCCAGTACAGTAGAACACTACAGTACTGGTACTGTACGCCATACTGCATAGTACTGTATGTACTGTAGTCGCTTGCACTGGGCACACTCACGCACCCCTTCCAGTACAGTACAGTACAGTACAGTACAGTACAGTACAACGCTACAGTACTGGTACTGTAATCCACACTACATAGTACTGTAGTCGTCGACACACTCGTTAAAAAAAAGCCCGGGTTTTTGAAGCCATTGCACCAGGCTAGACGTAATCCCAAGTGGGTGCTGCTGGTCATGGGTACACTATGGTCGATTGCAGGTGTTTGAGTAGGTGTCTCGAGTTGTCAGCCCATCTTGTGTTCGACTGGCCCAAAAGCTCGTGCTCCTCATCGTATCCATACCTGTACCCAGTAGTACAGTAGAGACCAGAGAGAGTAGATTGAGCCACAGTACGGTAGTCAAGCCGACGGCCAAGCTGAAAGGTATCATCGCGATTTATTCATAGTGGAGGCGCAGCAAGGAGTTGAGCGCTACTTGCAGCTTGGATATTCCGTCGTTGAATTGCAATCGGTCAAGTATTCTGTGGTAGAAATCAATTTTAATTGCTGTTGGTGATTGTACAACTATTCTCCTTGAGGCTGCACGTAGCTGAAGATGAAAGCTCGCTATTTTAGTAGCTTCTGTCTACTATTTGCATTGGTGCTATGTAAAGATTATCCTCATTTAAACGTACCTCAAGTCCTCTTGCCCTATACACCCAGTGGAAGTAGCTCGGCTTCATTTGTTATTCAAGGATTGCAAAATGGCTGCTACTTTTGGTAATTTCATATTTTGATAGCCTACAGTGACAACGTGTTGACGGTACTACAAGCAAATAAAACGACATTACCATTGCAGGATGAATTCGACAGTCTTCTAGTCTGCTTCATAACATCGTCAGCTTGGACATACCACATTGCAGTAGTCAATCCAAGTATAGTAGGACATCGTCCAACATCGGTGCACTACAATGGATAGTAACGACAGTAGCATGCAATTGCGATTAGTCAGTCCATTAGACAGTGGATACGATCCTACTCCATCATGGATACCCAATAGCTTAGCATAGCCTCGTCACCATATCGCCAATCTACGATGTAGAGTAGAGCTTGGATGGATCAAGCTACATGCAAAGTCGGTCATGTCGAGCTGTGGCTTGCTTTCATCAAGTCACATTCTTCATGAACTGACATCGTACTGTACTGTAGGATAATGTCAATGCCATTCTTGTCATATGTATTTTGTTGCCTTAATTAAAACCATACTGGATGATCAATCTCGACCTACTTTATTACCTATTAGGACTTCTTCCAATCCGGAGGTCATACCGGTAATGCCGATCTTTTCTGGTCCATGTAAGTCTTGTCGTCATCACTACTTGAAATCCTTGCAAGTCTACTTCAGTGTGTAGTAGATTGACGAGGGGACAACAATTCACCTATTGATAGTCAGGATATTGCAATAAGAAGGACCGTTGTATGCTAAACTGTTACTAAATTGGAGCCGTATGACAACGATCATACAGTACTATGCAATACAACTTTTGCATCAATAGCATTATTACACGATACAAGCTGCAATCTTGTACAACACATCTCTACAGCAGCAGCTGCAGTAGCAGACATTCCTACATTGATCGTGGATGCACTAATACCTTGACTAATTTATCAATCAATTCTCTAATTTTAAAATTCTTTTCCTCATGTTTAGCATCGCAAGCTCGTGGCTGCTCCAACAGTGCCATAGTCACTACAACTTCAGTTGGACCAACCCGTCAATCAGCTTTAATACTTGCTGAAGATAGTTAGTAGTCTCTATACTCTACTATAATTTGCATTGATACGCGTACACTCTTCTACTATACTACAACTAATTTTTCACTCAAACAACTTGTGTTATGCCTTCTTCTAGTCTCGGGTGAAATTTTGCAATCGAATGTCGCCGTCGATAAAATTGTACGTATCGAAATTATGTCTACATCTCGCTTGTTGCTGTTAGGTCAAGCACCAGCTATTTACTACGTCAAGGCGTATGACAAAATAGGTACAGTAATCAGGATGATTTATGAATAATATTGTAATACTGCTGTATGTTAGGGTAAAGCTTGCATAATTGTAATGAAACTTTTCTTATCCCTTCGCCAATGCTCAAGTATCATTTCTCTACTGCAATAGGTGCACTAGACTTTAGTACGCGTGTACAGTAAAAGTATTACGTATAAATATCCAATTAAGAGTAGAGAGAGAGAGTAATTCATTGCACCTTTCATATTACCGTATGCATTCTTAAAATCGGATTTAAAATCTTGTAGTAATGCTGTCAGCACTACTGATACTCAATCTCAATGACTTAAGCCACACCTATATCAAGATGAATTAAAATGCCTTTTTGCTTAATAACAATTTGCAGGCAATGTATTCTCAAATGTGAGCGGTTTCGCTGTTGATTGGTTTCTATCAAATGCCCCTAATAGTAATATCGATGCCAATAATGTGCTTAGGTAAAGTAATGGATTATTAAATTTCTACAGCGTGGCGACAGCTACCCAATAACTACCAAATGGTGCATGCTTTCATTATACTTTTTCATTGTCATAGGATTATGCCGGGACGTGAACAAGCTCGAAATTGTGATTGCAACGGAGTTTGCACCCAAATCTCTGTAAGTAAAAGGGGTACAGTTCATTTATTATTTTTTATCCATATTGTAATCATTACATTTGATTTGTAAATCATGACCTCAAAAAGTAGCCCCAATTTTTCTCCTAGTAATGTAAATTACTAATAAAAAAATTCCACATCTTGTTATAATAAAATACGTCCACTAATGACTACCAAAGCCAAATACAGTTGCCAATAGTGTTTTGGCCGAAGGAATTAATACCGGCTCGGCGATGCTTTGTGCCAGATTGGCGGACCTGACGTTCAAGGTATATTCCATCAAATCAATCATTTTCATTACTATCTATATGCACTATCATTACTTCACCGCTAAAGTAGTAGTTGGCGCCAATGCTTTTGACAGAACCAGCTTTACTTTTCGTCAGGAGTCAACCTAATTGATCCTTTTTTGTTTAACCTTTTTACTAGAATATCCTTCCCAGTAGATTAAGGATACAGGTGATAGATAATGTCATGCTGGTTCCATCAGATGATATTTACATTTTGGTAGGGGCACGGGTTCGCTTTCAAGTTTTCAGGCTAATTCAAGAGCAGCAACGTGGTAAACTAGATTTAAACTGCTAATCTCACGCCATAGTCATAGCGAAAGTGGATAACTCAAAGTATCATTGTATTTATTCTACGTGTTTTGTTACACAGAGGTAAAATTTCCATCTGAACTGTATGCCTTCGATGTGAGTAACAAATCTATAATTGACATGAAAGAGATTGAGTCAGTGATTACGGCCAAAAATATCGGCGATAGTGTTGTTTCCCTCGTCGACAAAAGTAAGAAAGATAACGTTCTACAATTAGCGATGATCCTTTAAAAGACATTCGACTATTACTGATCCTTTTCCTTGGTATTATAGATATTCAACAAAGTCAAATTGACTACCGGCCAAATTGTGAAGTGCATGTCGTAGAACCGGCATATCTAGGCTTTACAGTCTTACCTGATAGAGTATGGGTTCTCGAAAGTGGCAGACAGTACACCGTTATCATTGACTTATACGATCGAGATTCAAATAGAATACAGATATCGGAGGTTATAAAGATAACATAAATACAACAAACATTTCTATTGAATACGGAATGCTAATTTTCTCTCAATATCTTATACCCAGGGTACCGTTATAAAGTCTGCATTTCCAAAGGACTACTTTTTAGTGCATTATTCTACTTCAAATGGGTCTTATCATCAAATACAAGCTATCAAAGCTGGAAATGTTACCATTACTGCTAGCTTATCACAAATTTGGGTATTGTGATATTATATTGTATTAACTATCATGCTATCTACATACGATATACTATATTACCGTATAAAGTAAGTTTAAATAATATTGCTTATGAAATGTTTCTTACAGCTAGCAGCAGACAAGAAACACTTGAATCTCAAGCAGGCAGTCATTGGTGACCAAGATGTAAACATATTCAAACCGATTTCTTTACAACCTCCGATTCTGGTATTTCCATGGACTACAGTTGGCCAACTAGATTGTAGCTATAAATTGAGAGTAAGCATGGCAACATTTCTATTGACTGTAAAAAAGCTGACATTGAGCTGCTTCTTCATTTTTTTTTCACATGGATATTACTTTGCCATATTCTATAGATTAACGGTGGTAGCGGATCTTATTATTGGTCTACATCACAAGCTAACGTGGCAACTGTCAATACTAAGGGCCTTGTAAAAGCCCGAAATTTTGGTCAAACTACTATTAAAGCTATCGATATTAGAAATTCCAATCATTTCAGTACTGCTGAAGTAGGTCAACAAGATTCTTACCATGTACTATTATTGCACATCACTTAAACTCATCCATCATTGATTATCCACTAGGTGTATGTATCTTATCCTTACGGAATGAAATTTGTGTCACCGCCTGTGGAAACTGCAGCAGGGGAATCTTTAACTTTAGATTTAAGAATGTGGACAACGGTAGACGATGGTCGAACTTTGAACTTTTTATTGTGTGATAACTTTCCAATCGACATTATGTCATCCGATTTAAACATTTTCACCGTTGATGAGACTCGCAAACCTGGTACATCCAAATATCTTTGTTAATCGTAATTAGATAAATAAGCAGACGGTTTAACATGGTTTTTTCTTTGCTAAATATCAAATAGGTAACTTTAACGATAGTTGTTTGGCGATCGTTATCCACTGTATCAATCCAGGGTCCGCTAGGCTACACGCATCCTATACCGATGCAGGATCAGTTAGTCTGACCGCTGAAGAGATAGTAACTTGTTTTGACCCTCTTCAGGTAGATAAATAATGTACTTAGATATAGAAATGTTTATAGTTAGGACCAAATTAATAGAAAGCTTACCTCATTTCAAATGTTAGGTTGTTGATCCTTCGGGTATTGCTATTGTATCACTGTACTCTTCTGTTACGATAACTTCGATTGGAGGTCCCAAGCCAAGATCATTCGACAGAAGTTCGTATTTCGAATCCGTAATCCCTGCCGAACCTGATCAAGTATCTTTAGAATTATTATCCCCCAGCGATATGCCCACACGACTATCTCTAGCTACAGACAATATCCATGTTCATCGCGTTACTTGTACACAGTTAGGGGAACAAATTCTTACTATTTCTGTTGGTAACAGGAAGTCTCTTGGATTTCCTTTTTCTGTCAGTAGTTCCGTAACCTTTAGGTAACGTAAATCAATCACTACTGAAAATCTTTTTAAAAAATAAAAATATAATTATATATTACGATCAACAGCATACTTCCTACGTCTATCTAGTGACAATTGGATATTTTACATGTGGTTGCCTATATTAAAATTAAAATTAGCTGTCATTATTAATTTCTGTATAGATTCATGTGTACTATACCAGATGCGCTTAAAATGGAACCGGTACTCACACTTTTACCAGATTTTGATGTTATTCCTTGCTATCAATGGCTAGAAGAGAAAGTCCTAAAACATCCAGTTCGAAATGATCAATCATTTCCTATTCGTCTATCTATGATTGATGCAAATGGACGCTATTTCAATAACTTTTCATCTATACAATTAACGTGGCATTCTAAAAATCAAGAGCTAGCAAGTATGGCAGATGTATCAGATTACGAGTGGATTAATAATCATACATCAGGTAAAACTTTATTTTACGAATTTGGCGATAACATTGTCAGCGGCTATGCGAAAAGAATTAAATTCATAATTTGATACTTATTTTAATCTCGGATTTAGAATTGAGGTTAGTACGTACAGCTGCAACTGAAGGTTCTGTCATCATTCAGAGCTCGATTAATGGATATAAAGTCAACATACAACCTAAACAAAAATCATTGCCGCCATTAAGTGTGTCGCTGATTTTGCAATTAATTTCTCCTCCACGTATATCACCTGCTGCGTTGAATATTTTTAATCACCATAATATTACAGTAAGTTAATCAAATTTTTCAATCTTTCTTTATGAAGTATTTGATATTAACTCCTTGTATGCTTATAGGAACAACTTTCTATTATTCATGGATCTGGTCACTTTCGAATTGAAGGAAGCCACGCGAATATTAACGTAACTCGAATATCATCTTCTAAACTGAGAATTATTCCTCTCCGCGAGGGTACCACATCTTTATTTGTAAGAGATTTGTGCCTCGACACAGATACTACTCCTGCGAAGGCTACGATGAGAGTATTAAGGCTTTCGAGTATAGAAGTTCATGTGATAGATCTCATTGAGATGGGAAGTGAAACCACTGCATATGCTAAATTGATTGACAGTTCTGGCTTTCCATTGCCTTCTCGCTATCTAAATTTAGTTAAATTGTCAGCTCGTAGTTCTTCGAAAAATTTGGAGATCACGTAAGTGAAATCGCGATATTTGGTATTAAAAATTTTGTTTGTTACATTGAAGATATTTCGTCATCTTTTCTACCCAATTAGGCTTGTAGAAGTTACAAAGTCAGACTCTGGTGATACTGCAGTTTATAAACTTCGAGGATTATCTGTAGGCTACGCAACTGTAGTTTGGTCAGGAGAATCTAGCGCTATAGGACCTCCTTTAAGCGTTTCTCGAGAAATTTATGTTTTCCCGCCGATGTCTGTCTTCCCAACTAGCTTAGTTCTTGTCCCATCGGCAGAAATTCAGGTGAATTCCCAATGCTTGTATTATTAACAAGATATTTGAAAGCATTGGCTTTAATATATTTATTTACACTATCATTGTTATCGGTATTTAATGTGTTTAAAAATTTACATATTGGCAGATAAGTTGTTATGGTGGACCACCAACACAGGCTCAAGTTTTGTTTCATTCATTAACTAATGACATCGCTGTAGTAGATAGTAAAGGCCTCGTACAAGCGAAAAATATTGGCAGAACTTTGATTGAGGTTGTAATGCAGGCCGTCGATGCCTCAACTGGAAAAGTTAGAACCTACTCTAAGACCTCAGTGCCTGTTACCGTCACTAGATTGACGGGTGTTAAGATCTTTGCGTCAACAAATCGTTTAGTAACGGGATCTACGGTATACATGTTTTATTAGAAATGATATTTATATAAACCTATAATATAGATTGCAATATTGAAACATGTTACATAAATTTCTACAATAATATATATATAATTGTACAACATCTTTTAAAATTGCTATACTTGACCCTGCTTAGATGTCAGTTTACGCAGTTGGATTAACCGATGAAACTCCGATTAGCTTCGGAAGCGCAATGCCACGAATTAAATTTAATTGGATATCGTCCAACGATGAAGTCATTACAATATCATCTATTTATTCTAATGTACGCATTGTATTATTGTCTCTGATACGAGCCAGATATTCTCAATCATTATTTAATGCCTTGGTCATGTTTTTTGATGATAGAGTGGAATTAACTACGAAGACGAAAGCGATTTTGCGGTTCGTGTAACAAGTAAAAGTGCTGGAGAATCCCATGTTACGCTGACGGTAGATCAAACAGAAACTAGTATCAGTAGATACTTTGAAATTGGAGCAGTCTTATCTGCTGAGCAAAAGTTTGAGGTTTGTGAAAGTGTATTATCAATTATGAAATAAAAAATATTCTTACTGTTTCCATCAAAGATAGTGAGTTCCGCATTGCTGTAGTACTGATATCACTTTGAATATTATTAAGTGAGTTATCTACATCTTAGTCATACCATATGTTCATTTTCATTGACAGGTTTCCAAAGCTCTACAAGTAATTTATCCAGTATCATGTCAATTGAGATTACCGTATCGTTCGGAAACTCAACTAAAAACAAATTTGGATGGACTTGCTAAATTAACGTTCAGTATTAGCGGTAAAACATCGGTTGCAACAATTGATGACCAGAGACGTATAACTACTGGTAGTGATGCTGGTAGAGTCACAATTTTTGCATCATCTGTGGATAAATTGGGTTTGAATCAGACTGTTGCAATAAATTTGGAGGTACTGTTCTGTTATTGAATTATTCGATAAAATCTCTATTAGTAAATCTCTCTTATCTATTTCATATTTACCATAGGTAAAACCAGTTGTAGCGATATCCATTGAAAGTTTATCTACTTTAAGAGTTACGACTACGAACCAAACGCACAAATTTCCTATTGGTGCAACCATCAAGTTCAGAGTTAATTTATTAGATAGTTCAGGACAACGTCTAGACGATGTTGCCTATAAATTAGAATATCAATTAAATCGTTTTGATATTGTCCATATATCGCGAGAAACTAACAGTAACGTTTATACCATTAAAACGATTAGCCCTGGTCAGGTTATTTGGCATGTAAGTTACCATTGTTGAAACGTTTATACTAAACTTACTTTCTTGTGGATTTCTGTGTTGTTACATAATTGTCAAAGTACATTCCATCTGATGAAACATTAAAAATGTGAACGTTTTGTTACAGGTATGGGATCAATCATCAACGTCTATCAGTGATCATATTCGAATCACTGTTGACCATGCGGTTGTACCTCGATCACTGTCAATATTATCTGGCTTTTCCACATATATTAAAACTGCTTTAACGAAACATCCTACTGGGGTTTGGTCCTCCGATGAAAGCAATATTGTAGAAGTTGATAGTAATAGCGGTATCATAACAGCTCTGAAAGCTGGCTCAGCAGTTATTTATTACAATGTGAAAGGATTACTATCCCTAAGTTGTGATGTAAGTTAGATTTTTGCCTAAGCAATTACAGTAATAATGTGTTGTTGATATTTACATGATTCACTTTTTGCTTAGGTCGTTGTGAATCGTATTGCTAAAGTTTCTTTGCATAGCGGTTCTCAGAAATTTGTCACAAACGTCTATGATGGCATGCAATTTACAAAACAACCCGTTCATTATGTTTCTAAAGTGACGTTTGCCTCATCTGGTAATGAACTCAACGCATTTTCAGGCCATCTTGTAGAATCCAGGGCCTCAAAGTTGTTCAGTTGTAACTTACGTTTAAAGGATGGTTACCGAGACTTTGACGCTGATGATATCTTCGACGTAGAATCGATTGTCAATACATCACGAAGTTTAACATATTGTCAGATTAATCCTCGTCGAACAGGTCAATTTTTTGCCTTAATTTTAAATTAAAATTAAGGATTCGAATAACGTTGTATTACTTTTACGTTACAGATCGTTCTCTAGCGTCTTCAGTCAGTACAATCGACAATGTAATCTTAGAATTGACAGCCTCTACTACAAATTTGGATCGCAACCCAACAATAGAATCAGAAGTGGAAACAGTTCGTTTCATACCTGCCTTTGTTATCAGCAAATTAAGCATTATTTTAACAGATAGCCATAAATCTGATAGTCTTACGGTATTTGGTATACCTCTTCAACTGAAGAATTTAGAGGTATTTATCTTGAATTTAAATAACACCAAAAAGGCCTTTTTGACGTAATATATAAGATAATCAATTACCTAATCTATAATTCTGTTGCCATAGTTTACTGCGGATCCGTTTTTATCTGTTCGAGGGACGGCTTCAAGTGAAAATGAATGTATATACGAAATATCATTGCTTAAGAATATTGATACTTCTGTGGATAATCAAATGCAGGTAAAATTTACCAGTAAAATTACTCGACAACAGATCACAGTATCTGTCGTTTATAAGTCACCTGAGAAGGCCTTGGTATCGTCGCCGATGAAATTGGATGAAAGCGCTTGTAGTGAATTTTGTCGTAAACAAAGTATGGTCCAAGAAAGTTTAAAAGCTGACAAATATCTTTGGTATACAGATACATTACTTATTTGGACTCGACCGTTCTATTCTTTACTCAGCCTATGGACCTTTATACTGGCGCTAGTCGTTGTATTTTATATTATGTGTATCGGATGGTCTAATAGGCGTTATCAATCATCTGTGTCTCGTTTAAATCCAAGAATGGACAGTAGCAATTCTCCACAATCTCTTCATCACAGCGGAATTGCATCTCCCTTTAGATATACAGTTGGCGGTAGCTCACCTAGACTGAGATACGTTGCTAATTCACCTAATGAATAATAGTTTCAACTGCATTCAGTTCATCTGAGGGCATTAAAATTGGTTGTTTTACTACTGAGTTTTGACATTTTAGATGCAATAGAGTTGTACTATAACCTATTATTACATTGCTTGAAACAAGCGAATCGGCTGTTTACTAATCTGGATGTAACAAAATGCTACTGAATTGGTATTTTTGGATCGACTATTTAGTACTATATAGTAAATCATTTCCATCGTCCATCTATGACATGATGTTGCTCTATCTAATATAATGCATCTGTCCGCAATCGTTGTAATGACAAGAATTTTGTAATATTGCGACACGAAAATGATTGTAAACTGGATCATTGTTTACGTTTGCCCAAGAAATATTTTTAATCCATTTCCTTAAATATCTAAGCTAATGTTGTGTATATTTATAACAAGATTTTAGAAAGTTTGTACTTGTATAACTATCGTAAGCTATTCTTTTGCAATATTTATGCATCTACATGATTGTCTTTGTAAAGTAAGCAAAGGTATAAGGGTTATCCAAATTGTTAATAAATGACTTCGCTTACATATTGTTACTAATCTAAAGCACGGTTGCGTCGATTGATTGTGGTTATTTTTCGTCTTACTTGGTGGACTGTAGTTTATCTTTCCAACTAATTCTACTATAGTGGTACACACGTCGAGTCGTCAACTTAATTCTCCACTATCACTTGCTATACTGTATGACTAAATGCGGTGATGTGGGAAAGCTTGGAAACAAATTTTTTGAAAGTTTTAATTTCCATAATAAAAGCTCTCTTCAATTTTCACCTATAATCAATCTATCTTTGGCTATAGCTGTGTCTTTTATTTGGTAAGATACAATATATTTTATCAAATCTAGGACTACCGAATGTATATTAGTATTGGAAATTCCATCACCATGCATATTTGCCTATGTCTAACTACACTGCATGCACCTAGTCGGAAACGACTGTTGTGAATTGCAATACAGTATTGTGTAGTAAACAGTCCTGAACCTAATTCTTATAGAAGTTACTGTAAATAATCTTTATCACTGTGCCATATCCCATCAAAACAAATCAAAATATAATTAAATATTAATTCAAAATTAGACTGCTATAAAGGAACCATGACGTAATTTCTGGCCTACAATACAGCACCTAAATAATACTGTAATGAATGAGTTTGGTGCCTGTATGCACTGTCCCGAATATAGACAAACCGCACGACACTGGTCAAAACGTTAAAGCGTTCTCGTCGCACCGAGATTAAATTTGGAATTAGCTCCATGGACGACATAAATAATCCTCTGGCAGGGGCTACAAGTCTGCAGCACTGCAAATAATAGAGGACTGGAAACGACTATCCATTGCCAAAAGTGCAGAAGTCGACTATTTTTTACTGGTCATTGTGTACGGGCACGGGTTCCAGCTGGAGCATAGCACAGTTCAAATGACCAGCAAATAGTCAGCTTATAGTGGTAAAAAAGGCCATTTTTTATTAATCGTTGCGACTTGATGTCCTCATTTTATGCAAAGAACAGTCGTTGCCAGTCTTGTCTTTCTTATTTTTAGCAGTCCCTGGTCTTATTCGGACTAAAATGCAGCATATCTTACTTAGCAAATCATTCCTTACGGAGTAAAATTAGAATATGCTTCTTGCTACTAGAGGTGCAAACAATCATATTGTCCAGCTGTACTAGACGTCCACGACCTTACAGTACCTTGCACTGTACACAGTGTACAGTGTACTGTGCTGCGGCGTCCGTTGCGATGGTAGAGGATTGCTATACTGCTACCCATACAAGTATAAACACGTTATACAATCTAGTAATCGAACTTGTTCGTTCTGTAACTGTATCAGTACCGTATATCGCACAGTCCTTACCATTGTAAATCTCTATCGTCCATACCAGACCTTGAAGTTACTCTTTCTCAAGGTTCTTGCTCATCCACTTTGTCTTGTAATTTATGGCTAATAATTAATCATTTTGGAGTTCAAAAATCCTTTTCCAACGTAAGCATTACACTATTGACTTCTTAGTTATACTTGTATATATAGAAGAAGAGTACTACGTCTATTTTTATTCGCGGTCTGAATCGTTTGACTGCTTTAGAAGGAAAAAAAGAGTGCAGTACTGTAGAGAACTGCTGTAGAACTGTACATAGTGTCTATCAATTTCGGCCGATTGCAGTAGTTATTATTAGCATAAATACACTATTCAAGCAGTGATGGCGTTTATGAGTTGGTTTGGCTATACGTTTATTGCCTTTGGCCCTTCATTGGCTATATTTACTATGACCATTGCTGACGATGCTACTCAAATCATCATTATGTTTACCAGGTAATACTCCTACAACCACCAATATAGGTTTAGTGACCAATGGGACTATACGCGTAGAAAAGATATTACAAAGTTCCAACATGAAACACTAATAGATACAATGTCATCATAGGAAAGTAAACTATTTTCAATTACTGTACTTGGAAAATAAACTACAGTGGATACAAATACAATCAGTATACAAGCCTAGTATAGGAGTAAATCGTAGCCACAGTAGACGCATAAATGAAAAAGTAGCGACGGACTGTAGTACAGAACAGTACAATCTTAAGTCGAAGACAACAACTCGTACGAAAGAAAGTCAAAATTAGTGTAACATGAAATAAAAAAACGTTATGCATTAACTAGACTGATAATACAAAGTCCTTAGTGCAAACAGCATCAATTAAGACTCATTAACTAGACTGAGAATACTACACTAATAATCGATTTACCAATCATCATGCCTGATATCATAACTTGGGCTATTATTTTTATTCCTTGTTAGTGCCTTCTTTTGGCTCGTTTCACTGTTGTTCTCTTCAATTATATGGCAAATTCCTTTCTCAGACCTAAAATTACGCCTTGGCATAAGTGTGGCTTTATGTGTTGCTATACAAGAATTATTTCGTTACCTTTTCTACCTTCTGATGAAGTGAGTAGCTGTATGGGAAGCTCAATTTTCTTGAGTAATATGATGTAAATGACAACGTCAACAGATGCTCTTTAGCATTGGACTTGATTTAAACAAATTACTCTTTTTCTTTATACGTACAGTAGTCTGTATTATTTCAAATGGGATATCTTGTTCTTCTTAGAACGATAGATGATTGTCTTTGCTAACCACTTTGAATATTGCAGGAAAGCTGATAAAGGATTACTTTCTATTACAACGTCCTCAACGATCAGCCAGACAAGGCAAAGAAAACACAAAATTGCTTATGGTATAGAAAAATCTCTATTAAAATTTTAGTACAATCAATACATTATTATCGTAGCATTAATCAACTCTTCAGGCTTGCGCTTAATACTGTTATTTGTTATTCATGGTAGTGGCTGGATTTGGCTTTGGCGTAATGAGTGGTGCATTTTCCGTAGTTAATCTATTAGCGACGGCGTCTGGACCTGGTACTGTTGGAATTAAAGGAAACTCAGACCTGTTTTTTCTTTCATCAGGTACGCTTCCTTTCCGTAGCGGCTGTTATATTCGACATTTAATTTAATTTTGACTTTCTACTACATAATGCACATTACGCTAAATGTTAAGTGATATACATGGTTGTATAAAATTATATACTAATATTCACCTATTTTTACCTATTCTTGCTATTTAGCGATTTTTACGAGTATATTTATCCTACTAAATATCTTTTGGAGCGTGATTATATTCGATGGTTTTGACAAACGTAATTGGAAGAAAATTGCCTACGTATTTGCTACCCACGAGCTGACATCTTTATTGGTAAGCCATATACATATACGCATATATCTTTGAAATCAAAATTTTAATAATATATGATCACCTTGACCGATGTAATTTTAAAGTTTAGTAACATTTTTCGTTTAATAATAATATAATCATTTTAATTTTTATTACAATTCTGATATCCTATATACCATCTTTCTAATTTTAGACACTAGTGAATGTTGGCCATCAACCAAATTATTCTGCATCAATTACTACATCATGCCTTGTATTACTAATTACCACGATAGTCGCTCTGTATACTGCAGGAGGTAACATAAAGAGCTTAATAACTAGTTTAGTAAAGAGACAGGTAGTTACTCAAGTACGGTGACGTTAATCCTGTATCACCATCACTGGATGCCAGACAGCAATCTCTCAAATCCAAATGAGTATTAATGACTACAGTACTAACTAGAGAATAGTATCGATTAAGTAATGTTTATAAATACTATTACAAAATACATATGTAATTGAAACCAATCTGATAATAACATGGCTTATAATTACCAACATAGAGTATTTTCAAGTGCTTTATGACGCTCTTGTTTAAAATTCTTGTGCGAAACATCACTGATTGTAGATTTTTAATTGTAACATAAATACTCGTATGAGAGTTTAGATACCAAAGACCTTTGCTAGCTTAAAGTGAAATGTTTTGTAATTTTACGAATACTATATCAGTTTGGTTTTACTGTTTCTTTATAATGATTACGGTACATTGTGACTCTAGAAACCCTAGCGATGTGAATACAGTACAGTATGTACCAGATTTATAACACGATCTATCTGCATTTTAATGTATATTATTTCTAGCTGCAAGTAACCCACAGCAGAATAAATTTATCTTGATTTTAGTGTGCGTGTAGAATGTTGTGTTATATCTTTTAAATATGTAAACTTTCTTGAGAATACATTAAAAGATATTTTCTTCTGAAAATGGAATAGACTGTGTTATATTAAGATTGTTGCGCTCATTGCCCACTTGGTGCATGCACAGCAACATAAATAAAGTTAATAATAAGCAATTAAACTATAAATGGAGATGCATTAGTTAAAGAAGTAAGATATTATCACGAAGTGACTTTTCCTATAAAATGCTTATCTTATTTACGTCTGATAACATATCACTATCTATGACGTTACTCATTTTTTGAATGCATAGTTTTATAATATTATCTGTAAACTGATAATTATATAATTACTGTTTATGCCAATTTACTATAAATTGACTGTTTTTCAATAAAGTTTGGGTTCAGTTTTGTCTACCGGAGACTAGTGATGGTACTATTCCTCCTGACGATAGGAGATGGTCAGTATTTAGGATCGTACTGTAGGTATAGGAGGACAAACCTCACAGTGAACTCGTAGTATATAGTTTTCATAGTAGTTCTAAGTTTTCGTCGTTACAAATTCAGATTTGTAATAGGTATCTAACAGGGTTTTGTTCCCTTCTTGCCTGGTATGATTTTTAGCGGAAAGTGTAGTAGTAGTAATACGATCAAAATCGGTGTCATTCATAGGGTACGAATAGAAATTAATAATCGATACTGTGTTTATTTAGATTGTATGTAGGGGTCAATGCTTGAAACTGCTTCATTAATTATATAATTAGTCTGTTGTTTATAACCTGGCTAAGAATTAAACTATCCTTATTCAGTATTCCAATAAATAAAAAAATTAACAATAACTTTAGAAATGGTAGTACGTTATAAATGTAAATTGAGTAATAAATTCATTCAAGATATACAGTTTTCCCATTCTCTCTTTCCTAAATGGTATTTTGGTTTACGATACTGTCAAGGACTTTGATTTGTTGTAATCCAAGATTAACATCAACTGACACCTATTTTTATAGGTGAGATAAATGACAATTTTCAATTCATTAATTATTATAAGCTTTCAATCACAGAAATAGTACATTTTGTAATTGCATAGAAAGATATCACGATAATAAGAATCATTTTGATTCAATTTATGATAGACAGAAGCGTATTGTTTCAATAGCCGTCTTTTTATATGATTAAAATTCTTCGATTTTTGATATCAGGTCATTTGAAAGTAGTAGTGTACAGTACTCCAAACTACTTGTTGATCAATTAACGCTGTGGCTTGTAATCGTACAGTATATACTGTATAAAATCAAAATCCAAATTTTCTGGTGTTTGTTATGTTAAAATTGAAGAGTATGCTAGAGGTTGCTCGTATCGAAATCATCGTCGTCTAGAGAACGAGGTAAGAACCAAGTCTTGAATCGTAATTGTGGGTGATTCACAAAATCTGGTTCACGATTAAAAGCAATTACGCTGATTTGGATGAGTATTGCAGCAGTTAGACCCCATATCTTATACTGACGATCATTGACTGAATCGAAATAGTTAAATGAATGCATAGTATAATTTCGTCTTCGATGCATGATATTATCCATTTCATGATTGTGATCGCTAAGGAATGTTTCCAATGGGACAGTGAAAGCAGAGCTAACCTCATCTTGACTCAATATCATCTCGAAGTGAGGATTGATAAAACTAATAACAGGGTATACTTTGAGGTTATTGACGGAAGTCACCGGGTATAGCGTTGTAACAACATCGACATGACTGGAAGGCAAACCAATTTCTTCATTGGCTTCACGTAGTGCAGTAGCTACAGTATTTTCATCTTCGGGATCTTTCCTACCTCCAGGAAATGCCACTTGGCCTTTATGCGATGATAAATTCTCAGTTCTTTGAGTTAATATCACTTGCAATTGATCACCTTGAAAGAATAACGGTACCAAAACAGCTGCAACACCAACTTCATGATTATCTCTGGCGAATAGTTTTTTATACAAGTGGGTTTGAGTAAAGCGTAACAATCTCTTTTTGACTTCTTCCATGGCGTAATAACAGTCGGATAATCTCATCCACTACATCAATAAGTATTAAAAAGGCAAATCAACAGAGGTATTTGATTCGAAAATCCCAGTAGAAGTTGAAATGAATCAACCAGCTTGCAGAGAAGCCATCAGCAACGACATCGACTGCTGTGCTCTCCAGCCTCTCCTACGATAAACTTACAGTACTGTACTGTACAGTACTACTGACTGTACACTGTACAGTATAGATACAGTACATAGTACTGTGTACTGTACACATCGCTGAATAGTACTGTACTGCTCGGCGGCTTTCCACCTATATCCTACTCGCCAAGTTCATCTGGTTACCAACATGTCTGATCCTTATGAATGCGTTCCTACAGCTTTAAAATTAAAATCCAGCTCATCCAAGAATAAGAAGTAAGTGTTTTAGCTCGTATTTGAATTCTTGTTCTTGAATCGCTATGAAAGGGAAATGGATTGAATCAAGATGCCTGTTAAATGACAGTCATATCACATGCTACTAGTTGGGTTGAAACACAGTAGTTGGATGTTTTTGCCATATTGATATTTGATTGATGTAGGAGTTTAGGTAAACTGTCTTTGCCTACTGCAATAGTCTACTGCTGTAGTGCTGTAGTCTATTAGTGGTAGTTTATCGCAATCCCTCATTTCTTAGTCAATACATTCTCAGTGGAACAGGTTTGATGGTAATACACAGTACTTATTGTACAAATAGAATACGACTATACCATGGTGCCATTTTTTAAGACACACGCAAGTGCAAAAACATCAATGATTGATCGACCAAGCTGATATGAATGAACGAAACTTAGCTAGATCATATTTGAAAGAGAACTTTAATTCATCATAATATAGGAAAAAACATAAGAAAAAGGATCGTCAAGAAGAATCGCACCAAGAAACAGCAGAAAAGAATGCTGATCAAGGTAGTTATTCACCCGAAAGGACTAAAGCTGAATTAGCTTTCCGCAAGATACAAGAAAAACGGGTAAATTTCCTCTCCGTAATCTCAAGATATTTTTTCTAAATGAGACTATAGCTATTACATATTTATAGTATTAAACAACTATACAATATGTAAGTGGATTAGACGTTCTTTCATGCACTGATCAGTGTTATACTAGTACAAGTAGTTGTTGGCAAGAGTGCTGTTGCAGTTTCCGTATTAATTCAATCGACTGTGTAGCATTTTTAAGTCGCTCGAAGTAAATCGTATCTAGCCATAAAATAGTTGTAACATATTTAGCAATCCACTGGTCTATAAATAAGTCAATATTTTTATTTTCTATAACAGCAATCTGAAAAAATTAAAAAATTGGCCTCCAAGACCCATAAACAACGCGTTGAGGTACGCAATGTAACAATAAAGATAATATCCTCTCAATGAAAAATAGTCAAATTGTATTAGTAGTTGCTATGAATATCATATGCTTTACATTATTAGCTATTGTATACCGGTATACCCGTTATGTAAAATTGACGAGTTAGTCAATCATTGATGTACATTAAATTGAGAGCATTTTGTCAATATGCCATTTTGCTATATTCGTAGAGACTATGCGGTATGGTATTACGTGTACACGAGTGGAAGTGTTATCTTGTCACAATCGCCTAGAACGAGTGTATTCATTTGACTATACCTATCAGCTAGATCCTAGTAATTTAAATTTTCTTAACTGTAGAAAGAGATACGCGAGTTTGCTAGTTTCTCTAGGCTACGAATTGATTGTATTACTGTTGAGATTTTCAATTGGTCGATTCTGCCTACATGCTGCTGGCTTACCATTTTAAGAATTTCGACTATTTGCTTTCTAACTTTTCTTTAAATTACATAATCTTAACCATTGTACCTGAATGTTTCACTTTATAGCAATTGAACGCATACTTGGACTCTTTGACCGAGCACTACGATATTCCCAAAGTAAGCTGGACGAAATAATAATTTTACAACATATTTGGACTACATTAGGCTACCGATAAAGTCCATGCGATAGCTGACTCGTGTAACTGTGTCTGCAATATATTAACGATGTCTATAATAGCATATCAAAGAAAAACAATTTGTATTTATGTGTACTATATAATTAATTAATCTGATAAAAAAGAGACTGATGATCGATCGTAATATAGGTAATAGATAATTTATTGTGCTCGATTTTACTTCTGTATCAACTCTCGCACAAATCTATATCACTGCAAGGTATAAATCGATTCGTTTTGTAGATTGTATAGTTATTGTATGTATTAACATTCGTCATCGCAAGCTCTGAATAAAAATTGTCTTACACTTAATTAAGTGTTCGTCTCCAGTATGCCTTATTTTGTGATCGACTTCATGTACCTGCACATCTATGCTGCTTCTTACTGTATGGCATTCACGATGGATTTCCATCTTTTATTATTCGTTACGGATATCATAAAGTATTTAATATTGTTCTGCACTGTTCCATGTCAAGGAAAGTCAATTTATCAAATTGATAAAATAGATCGCTAATGATGTTATGTCAAGTAATCATGCTAAGTACTTGACTTTTGGTCAGCTTGGTAATGGTACTGAATCCAAATGGGGATAACCCTACTTTAAAATGAATTTATTTTTGAAATTTATTACGAATTGTATATAAGCATCGTCAATATTATTTTGCATTATAGCAGTAGTAAAATTAAATATGCTAAGAACTCAAAATGTTCGCACTTTCCAAAATCAGTTTATTGTCGCATGATAACTGCCAGGGTCACTATAACACGGATTGAACGATACAGATTGCTAAACATCGCCTTGTATATGGAATATTGGATCATTTACAGCTATCTAAAAGCCCAAGAGTCTCGATCGAACCAAATCAGTAAGAGGAGAGCTTCTTCCTCTTACGTACTTCTATCACAGACTACTCTATCGCCTACACTATGGCAGCGAGTTTTCCTCGCTGCAATAGTCAATCACTCACTACAGTACAGCACAGTAGTTGAACAGCTACCGTGCCATATAGTAGAGCATTGTTGCAGTCTTCCCCTTATAAACACTGCAAGCTTGAGTACCGTATAGGTCAGTATCGACTGGACAAGTGGTTAGTATAAATTCAATTAGATAAACAAATTGCTGCCTCACGATTAGGAATAATTTCTGTTTGCTAATAAACACCCTGTTAGCGAGATTATTATAGTTATTCTAAGACAATATTAGATGTACGAGTTACTAGATAGAGATGAATCATTAATCTAATTGAATTGAATTTATTTATTTATTCATGAATAATTCGAGGAAATATTAATTAGTTGAAGGCCGATTATAATTATTAATCTACCGGTGGTTTTTAGGCTTTTGGGCTAGATTTACAAGGACATCGTTCAAGCTACGACATTAACATAGAAGAAGAATCCATCGCTGTTGCAAACAACCTATGGCAATGGGCTTTCTGAAGTCTCCAATGGTAGAAATTTGGATGGATGATCAAATGAAGTAGATGAAAGAAAGAATTCAATCGTTTGTAGTTTATCGTTGCAGTACTAACAACTCCTCTCATAACCACAAAATTAGATCGTAATTCTATTCGTTACAATTGAGCATCATCGCACATGAATTTTATGATCTAAAAGTGGAGATTTACATACATTGAGTTAATAATACCTTTACAAGTGTTTGATGCTCCCTTAGTGAGGAGGAATTATGAGCGATTTATCAGTTGTAGAGGTCAATGATAAGATGCCGAAGTGATAATATGGTATAGCTCTTGTAGCCCATAGTAATAAGGAATTGTAATAAATAAATTCAACTTTATATTTTCATTCTTGTCGTTGTCGACAGCATTACGCCGACGCTCATTTATTATGGATAGCATTAAACATGAAGCAATGATAGATCAGCATCCGCAATGTCTCACTTGTATCCTCATCGATTGTCAACACAAGAATCATTGCCAAATGATTCAATGCAATAATAGCGGATGCAATGCCTGCTTTCATGCGTGTAAATTAACCGAACATAAATTGCTTTGCTTATACGAAAATGTTCAATGCATAAATTGGTACTATGGTTGTCCTCAAACTATGCCAAGGTGTAGATTAAATCAACACTTAACAGTATGTCCTGCCAGTATCGTTCACTGCTCTAAAAAGTGGAGTCGATGTCCTACATGGTGTAACACTGGTGACATAAATCCACCCTATGTCTTGGGTCAAATCGATTATGAGGCTGCACTTTGCGATCAACAAAAATTGCTACAATTCTATGAGAATAGTCAATCTATCGATTTCGAAAATCTTATTAAAAGTCGATTTTCTTCTTCACATGCTTGCTGGTTTGATGATTATTGTAAAAGAAGTAATGAGGCTATAGAAAGTATAATACAATCGCGACTTTGTGTAGATATGATCCATCAGATTCAAATGTTGAATATCGAGCAAAAAGGCAAAATAACTATAGAAGATGAAACTTTCGCTAAAGAAGATCTATTTCCATTACTCAATAACATTGATGCCTTGTACGAGATTCAGCAAAAATTGCGATTTGCAAGTCGATCTCAACATGATGTTAAAGCCAACAATATATTTGCAAATGGCAGAACGCTTAAATTGAAAGATGGAAGATTGGTTGCTGATGCCAAGACCAGCATACATCTTGGGCATGAAGATAAGAGTACAGATGGCTCTTTTATGGATCGTACGCTACAAGTAGAACGATATAAATTAATCCAGTTACTACCGAAAATGGTGCAACAATTAAGCGAATTATTAAATAAATCGACCAGATTGCAAAGTAAGGAATTAAACCATTTACAGAAATTGCTATCAGCACTACAATTAAATGATAGTGCGATTAGCCCTGAATGCGCCAACGAGGGTAAACTAGGAGGTCCAAGATATTCAGATTTTACTGTAAATAGAGTACAGCATATTAAGAATGCTCACTGGATGCTTAACAGCATGAAAAATCGTGGTGTACTCCTTGGACTACATCTACAGCCGGGACTACACAACGAAGAACATATTTTTCAATTATCTTGCAATCAATACTTTCGCCGTGGTGAATATAGACAACATGTTAAATTCTCTCATACACAAACGCAATGTGAACTTAGTGGATGGTTTAAGCAAAGATGCCCTCTAGCACAATATGGATGCCCCTTTTTATGTAGTGTATTAAAGCCCAATGCAGGAGAAATTGGTCTCGATTTACAATTGGGCTCATATATTTTACGTAATTATGATAAAGAGTCAACATATTGGCGAGATTCTGTTGAAAGTAAAAATACGCGCGGAGGGACGGAACTACAATACTGTCCAATGTTAGATTTGCCAGATGAAGTCATTGAACGTATTTTACTACTTTTAGATAGTTATTCTATGTACAATCTATCCCTAACTTGTTGGCAAATGAGAGAAATGTGTTCATTACTGTTGGTAAAAAAAGGTACCGTAGCTATAGAATGGGAGAAAGCACAGAATTGTAAATGGCAAATAGCTCGCAAGGTAAGGAATAAGCTAAGCGTCCTCAATGTAATCAAGTATATTTTCTTTTTATCTTGGCTTGAAGTATTTGATAGCACCTACGCCGTCTTTATTAACACCTATTGACATGTTAATATTTCTTGCAATATGTGTTATACAGATATGGAAGTATTCGACTGCCTGTTCACAAACTAGTGGCTGGAAGATTGATGATACCAGCATCATAGCAAGACACCTACAAACGTGTCCTTACTACGTTAAACAAATCTATCCCGACAAGCGTGTAATGTTGCCTATATGCACTGAATTAATTGGATGATAGACCTTACTAGCTATAAATAATTACGTATACTAATTACGCGAGTAAATCATGGGTGAAATAGAACATATAACAGTGACTCTTTTAATGCCCCGATATTATGGTCAATGCGACTCATTCAATATTTTGTAACCATTGTATAATAGTAAACGATCATAAGTGGACGTAATATCCAGAAAAGTGTTTAATGGAAGATTTTGATATGACTATGAATATAAGCTTACATGACCTTTGTTAAATGTTAATTAATAATTATTACTTGTTATCACGCATTTTAAAATAATTTTTTAAAATTAGGTTTAAACAGTACAAAATACTGTATGATGTGCTACGGTTTCAAATTTTATCTACAGTATGAATTGTTATCAGAACTCCTGTAAATGCTGTATGAAGAGATTGAGGTTTTACCTTATTAAAAGAATTTCTAACTTATTCTCTTAACTTTGGTGACATCGGAGCTGAGCTTATAGATGGCATCGTTTGATGAGATAAGTCGAAAGTAGTCAAGAGGCTTTAGCAATTACAGTACCTTCCCTACCAACACTGCCTTTATGATGTACGCAGTCATTAGCAATAGCCGAAACTGATATAGGACACATTAACTGTTTGATATTGCACCTACTAATAGATTACGCAATCCAATTGCAGTATTTAGTCTAGCAATACGTAACGTATGCAATATAAACCTAAACTTGCAAGTATCTTGCGACATTTATAGGAAAGCTAATAATACCCTTAAATCATAATCAAATGCTATACCCAATTCATTCAAAGGCAAATTAGTTATGATAGCAAATTACGATCAATACATTAGATCTCATAATGCACTGTAGTATATTGTTGCAGTGAGATGATGTATACAGAATAAATATAGCCTTACCAAGCATCGGATAATAATTACTTTATAGCCATTTAGAAATGAACATAATAAACTTACATAAATACGAGTACACAGATCAAAATATGTCCAATTTAAACCTTCAAAAGAAATCGTTTAGACATCTTTGAAGTTCCAAACAGGAACATTAACATTCATACAACTAATCAACCATTTTGCTGATAAACGTGATCTAAAAATCCTTTACATGATTGCAAGCACTGCTCATAAACTTTTTCAAAGGCAGTCAAATTATGACTCTAAAATGAGATAAGACGCCATGGTTAGTAAATTGAAAGTCAACAGGAACATTAACTATATGATACTTTATCAGTAGTTATTTTAGTTTTTAACACTCAAAAGCAGTCCAGACATGGGTAAATACAATTTATAGTAAAAGCAGGATGAATTAAATGACACGACTTACATAATAAGGGTCCTGAATTATTTTCTGCTTATCTCCACTAAAGCTTCCTAGCAGATTGATAGAAGCAGTAGAATTTCGAGGGGACATGTGCTTTATATTTCTACGTAGCATAAAATAGCAGTGTATATAAAATATTACCACGCTACAGTATTAAGTCAAATAACAAAACCATTTTACTTTACGCTACTAAACATCCTTCTTTTCTACAATTTTAATTTGCTAACATAGCATTGGCCATTGCTAATTTTTCCTTATACACATGTGAATATTATGCCATTACTAGCATGGTCATATAGTTGATATTATAGTATTTAAGCATTCAAAAAAAAAGCTTAATAATTAAATCTACCTAACATTAGAACGGCTATTACAACTGCAAATAGAACTTTACCTGATGTTACTCTCATCCATACCAAAGATAAACTCAAACTTTGTGTAATCTTCCGTACGAATCTGTTAAGAGCACGATAATAAAGTTGTTATCAAAGTGTTAGCAAGATAGATTTCATTTGACAGATGCAGTTACTCGCGAAGTAATTATGCAAATAATGGGGTACTTAAGGATAAGAAGAAAAATCGACCTGTCTAGCAAAATGAGAATAATCTTGTATGTTATGACGCGATAGTACGGTCATTGTTCTATCATCAGGTGGTTCTCCAATTTCATATGTTGATGTTGCAGCACTGCCAATTTCCCACTGAAAGATTTGCGGTAAGTTAGAGTATATCTATGTTATCGTGATGAGTTTAAACAGCATGGCACGTTTCTAACATTATAATCACGCAGTTCACAATATACTCGTACAAAGCAGAAAATTTATAAAAATTTTATACAATAACTTGAGATACGTCAGTATTTCGCAACTTCATGTAGTTAAGAGATATTTTATTAATAAGTACATTTCAATTCAACTTAATATACAGTATAAATATACAGTAATAACTTGTTTGATATCTCAGATCCGTTGCCTTATGTGTTAAAAGCATATATCTAACGTGGACTGAAATGAAGTGGTAAGATTTTACATGGATTACTAGAAATGACAAAAATGAAAGTAGTATCTATTAGTCTACGAGTATAGCAAGAGCATAACGAACGCTATTGCATCACAGGTCTATCAAAGATGTTTCCTTTTTAAAGTGATCTGATTCATTCTTCATTTTTATATGTTTACAACCTCATTCATAATGCCACGTTCCTTTACTAGGTTGATAAAGATACCCTCAGCCATTGTCGATCGACAAATATTACCTGTAATAGCAAGATATGGCAAAAAATCAAAAAATTTATAATTTACATAACGGATCCGTATCTATTGAAAATAAGGGAAGTCAAGGATCAATACCAGCTGAACTAGCTAACTATGTACGCATCCTATTGCATAGACAATAAAATGTCCTCTTTGTGTAAGACGTTGTAGTAAATACTTTATGATCGATCTCAATTTACTTGTTGCCTATGTAGCATCTATCAATGTTATCTTGTGTATGGTGTATAGTAGTGATACTTTATAGCAGATCTTATTTGCGCAAACCTGAGCACTGGACTCGTGTGTAGTTAGCTAATTTATTTGGAGTCTTAATACATGCATTTCAATGGAATCCCTGCAGAATACATATGGTAGAGTATACAGCACAGTATACGATATATTGTACAATATGCATGTAAGGCATAACATTGAAAAACACTAATCTGCAAACTAATTGTACTAATATCATTTTTCTATATGTATATATTATACAGTACACTAACGATTAATTAAGTTAATTAATCATAATACGAGTATAAAATACTTCAACTGAGCAGCTTTGTTCATAATAGTAGCATCGAAGCAGCAGCTAGATTGTGCAAATGGTCGAACAACAATACAGTCAACGCAAGACAGAAATGGGCGGATATTCAGCAATCTACTCTACAATAGCTGGTTAATATTAATCCTATTTTCAGAATACCTAAGCATACAAATAAAACCGAATGTTTGGCCATGATTTCTTTGGTGATTGGATACCGAGAAGCTTCAATTTGTGCTATCCAATACTGAGTGAGCCAAGAGCTAGTTCTTGAGTGAGCTCATGGAATCTGGTACTGTACACTGTACACTTGTACTGTACTGCAGTGTATAGTACTGTACAAAGTGTACGAGTGAGTGTGCGTACTGTGCATACAGTACAGTGTACAGTACATCTTAAGGGGTGCTTTGTACTGTACAGTATCTTAACACAATTTTTTGGTCCACCGCCCAGCTGTCTTTTCTGTCCGTATCAGCACCAGATACGTACAGTAATTGTACACTATCCAGCTGTCCTTTCCTACCGTGTCAGCACCAGATGCGTACCGTACTGTACAGTACAGTACTGTACAGTACAGTACAAGACACTGTCATTGTACAATACAATATACTGTACTGTGCTGTGACGAGAAGATGAAAAGTGAAGTGCCGTACCGTACTGTACTGTACCTTCTTCTACTGGTACCGGTACAGAAAACATGGAGTACAGTACTGTAAAGTCACACTACGGTACCAAATGCAACTCAAACTGCGGGTCAGCTCCATTGTGCTCCATTGCGCGGTACAAATGTAATGAACACGTCGAGATTTCAACAGTGTCAAAGTGCCAACGATCACGTTAAGACGTAGACAGTGTACCATTGCGGCCTTTAGTGTATCCACACTATGGCTACCGTGAACACCATACCATTAGATCCTCAATTCGTCAAGGCGTTAAAGCTACTTCATTCGAAAAATGAAAATGCAAAAGATCAACTCTTACAGCTCTATCAGGAGGTAGTCAATAATGCTAAAGCCATGGAATCACAGAAGGTAAGAAAAATTTTTTTTCCAATGCCGCGTTCGTGGTTTTGGCGAACCATTGTACCTAGCCACAGTACTTTATACTGTAAACGACGTACTGTACACTGTACACTTGACATGCCGCTCCTATTCTTATGGCACTCTACTGTCTGATACATCCAGTTGCAATGATTAACTTTAACTGATTGAATGTAAACCACTAAAAAAGAGCTCATTAGATTGCTATCAACTACGCAATCGCACACGATCAAACTATTTGTATAACATACGGTACTGTACATATATATATATATACAGTATTACAGCATATATACTATATATATATATATATACGTAGTTATTATACTGTATACATACAGCATTATATTATACAGTATATACGCGTATATACAAAATTATAAAATACAAATTATATGAATGGCATTGAGGTAAAACCAACTATGCCAATGTTGATGACAGCGACGTTTGAACTGATTTTTCCAATAAATATCAGAGTTATGCAATACCGAACTAGGGATTGAACACTTAAGAATGCATGTCGTACAAACATACGCATGTATTGGTGTTTAAAATTGAAAAAATGTTTAATGGACATTTCTGTAAAAGTGCATAATTAATAGCAAACATTGTATACAAGGGCCATACATGAGCACGACAGCATTAAGTACAAAATTGATTAAATAGAAAAGAACATTGATAGGCCATACGTATACACGTACTATTGTGATACCGAGATCGATAAGAATCTTTGTACAATTATAAATAATTGACTCAAAATGCAGTAAGGAATGACAGCATATAAATGCAAAATATAGCTTCCAAAAATAGTGATAGTTTATTGATAAATTAATGGTTGCACCCGTCAGCACTTACTACTATGACGCCGAGACTCCTGTAAAAAGTCATTTTAAATGTATATATACTCAATTTATTAATACAATTAGATAGTTGTTTTAGTTAGTAACAATAATAAGGTCAAAATTAAGCTAATGCCTTACACTCGTATGCCTTTGTATCTATGTATTTCTGAAAGGACCGGAAAGTTACCGTTGCCGGAAGCAGGTATAGCGAACAAATGAAGAACAAGCCTATGATACGACCTTATGGGGGCGCAAAAACAACAGTAGCTCCTATCATTGGTAGAAAACCAACTATGCAAAGCATTTCCAATAATGATTCCAAATCGAAGGATATTACTATCCGTACTGATGACAAAAGCATGAAAGGAAAGAGTACAGTCCATATGGATTTAACTTGGGGATCATCTTGTTCTGTCTGCAAGTATGTTATAATAAATTAAAAAAATTATTTAAAGACCTCAGCACACCATTGGCAACTTAATTTCTAGTCTAAAGTGAATAAATTGAATGCAGCTACTGCAGCACTAGCTTTCGATTGTAGATTTTAAGCACGATTACTAAGCAGGCTGGGCGTTCACTGAAGTATACGGGTTGGTTAATTTGAGATAATTTCTACCTTCTAGAAAAGCAAACTCCAATCCTGGTAATCAGCTAGTCGAATGTGAAGAATGTCATACCAGATATCATCAGGTAATAAAGGAACGGGCTTGATTATGATAATTGAACAAATGATTATCTCTTAGTACAGTATAGCGTCGAGGCCCATTTTATAAGTTCCAAAGTAATTGTACACTTCGTTCGTAAAATGATGTGACAGATCGTTAGCTATCATGTGACTGGCACCACAAAAATTGAGGTAGATGTAGAATTAAATAACAATGTTTTTCGTAACTTTCAGAGTTGCCATAGTCCTCCTGTTGCTGACAAAGATGTTAGCGATTTAAGAGGTGTATGGTATTGCGTTTCCTGCTCGGAAAGGATGAAAGAAATGGTATGAAAATATTAACTGATATCTTCTTAATAGATAGTAATAGATAGTAAATGCTTAATTTCTTCTTATATCTTGATTTGATTATTCATACCACACGTGCTCCTAATATGTGTCAAGCACGATTCTCAATTAACAAGCTGATATTTATTTGATTTAGACAACTCGTCAAATATCCACCGAGAATAAACAAGTACCCAATCAAGGATCTAGAATCTCAATTGCAGTCCAACGACCTTCTCACAAGGGAACATTAAGCTTTGAAGCTAAAGTCTGTACTTATATTACAGATTGTGTAAAAATTGTATGAGATAATAGTATTTATCGCAACTATCACTCTGTTCTTAGATAAGCGAATTTTTATCAAGTCAGTCATCCAATAGTGGTGCTAATAAGGGCTCTACGGGTAAACTCGTTAAACATACCGAAAAAAATTTCGTAGATAAATTTATTTTCAAATTATTTTATATGAATGCGAACTAATTATAATTATAAATATCTAGGATCGACTCTCAGTCAGATGAGACCTACCACCACTACGAGCGCTATTGCCAGTAGGCTAAATTCAGCCTTAGCTACACAAGCTTCGATCAAACCGCCTAAAATCCAGTTACTTAAGAAACCAAATCCAAGCAATAATAACTGATAGAATGTGAATCATCTTTTATCTATGTCTAACAAATTAATAAGAAATATTATAAATTTTATATCGTGACATTATCGTTCAATTTATAAAACTGTAAAGTATATTTGATGAATTTATGTTCAATAATCTCATTCTCATTGTATTATTTCACAATTCTGAATTGCTGTACGGTATAATATGTTTAACTTCGCATTATTATCCCCAAGAAATTTTATAACTTTATTACAGCATTAAATGTGTGCTGTTCGAGTCAAATTAATTCATGCAATTCGACGTAATGTCTATCCTGTAAATTTTTAAAATTGTGCTAATAATTGTGATTCTGTGATTCTGGTGCTATTAATGCGTGAAATGATCTTTCTCGACCCTTACGAAAAATTAATTGATATACTGTACACGTATATACAGTATGTATTTATGTAATGTAAATAAAAAAACTTCGGCTACTCTCATATTGTGCAGTTGTGGAATTTTTTTCCTGAAAGTACACGTACTCTGCCCTCATATCGCCTTTGGTCTATTAAGGGGTAAAGAGAAAATTACATGATGCTGTATAACTTGCCTATCTTCCAATACTGTACGTTCTAAATATATCTACCATTTCTTGTCCGATTTTTACTCCCTTAGTTCGTTGGATAATTAGTAAAACTTCATTTATATTGATTAGCATATGATGTGATGACAACTAAATATTTTTACCAAGTATACGCGGATAAATTATTTCCAACACATCAACAGTATCTAATAAAGGCCTTACAAAAAAGAAATAATTTGTCGTAAAATAGGTATATTGCAGAATTTGTAACTACGAAGGAATATTTGGTAATAGCAACATGTCTGTATGTAGTCAGAGTATTTATTGCATTTCAGCATTACTTATATTTGATCTTAAAAATCTTTTAAATTGAGCGATACCGATTTAGTGGCAAAAACTCAGTCTTGAACAAATTTTAACTAGGAATAATACCATTTAACGATTACCGCATGTAATATATTTAATATGCACTTATGACAGAAGTAATACCGTCGTAGAAGAGCAAACGTTTCTGTTGGATACAAATCAATCTTCGTTAGCAGAGTTAACTGAGTGAAGAAGTCTTTTATTTAAGCAAAAGATTCCTTAAAGCGATCGCACTGTTTGCGTCTGACCATGAACGATACAATTCTAATTAAGATGGTTAATACAGTGCAGACTGTACTGCAAACTACGAAATACTCTATGCTTAATACAATTCTGATAACAAATGCAAATTAGTATATCCTAGTCAAAATAAGAGAATCAATTGAAAATGATGCGAAAAAAATTGAATTAAGAAGGTATATAACGAAAATAAACAATTTAGATATCGTTCATGGCATAACGATTCAACGAATAAAATATTACCGTGCATTATAATCGCTATATTAATTGATAGTTTTCCTATTCGCACACCATCACACAATTAGATTGACATGAGAAAGATATCCCATATATATATCATTGTTTTCAGTCGACAGGATAGGAGTAAAAAAGAGATACAGCCACATGAAAGATATTGGTAAGTTTAAGAACAACAAATATCAGCGTACTGAAGCTTTACTAGTACAATATTTGAACACTCTTATCAATGTCTTACCTATTGAAATTGTGAACACTTTCAATCAATAGTTCTACTTAATAGTATATTAGCAAGCGCTAACCTTGTACTAATAACTCTATAAAAGTATACTATACGAAATTTATGGATTATATATACAATTTTAATTTCTTGCATAATAACTTAAAGCTAAATGGTTAGCCTAATTTTAACATATTATTGAATAAAAAGAATTTACTCTGATTTTTAGAAAGAAAACACCGTAAACAAAATATTTTCAATCCCACTTTAATCTTAGGGAGTTGAACCAGCTACAACAAAATCACATTAATTTACGTAACTTGTTTGACTGTGGGCAGGCAAATAATGTAAAATAGAGAAAAAGAATTTACTATGCAATATTATTAGTAGCGTATAAATAGATAGAAATACATATATACTGTATGTATATATTTGTTTAGATAAATAAAGAATTGTTTAGGGTATGTACCTATATGCACACAGTAGAATGAAGAAAAGCATTTAAAAATGAATTGACAACAGAATAAAATAACAATTAAAACCTGATTGAAAATCTGTCCAATCGACCTTTATGCGTACTTTTATCTGATCATAACTACCCATACGTAAAGTATTTTCCCTTTATGCTTTCTGTCCAGTAACAAAGTCTAAGAATGTATTACAAGATCTCCAACATTGTTGAAATACATGCTCGTAATCACTTAAATTTCCCTAACACAGTAATTAAAAAATAATAAATTTTTTTCAATACAAATAACAAACAGAGTGATACCCAAATTGGATAAGAACAAATTTGTATTTTATACTTTACTACTCAACAAAAAATATTTATTCAATGTTATTTTTATTCTTTATAATAGTTCAAAAATTACGTTCAACTGTATGCGAATGATTAAGAAATTATTATCATTACTGAACTATAGAAATCTATGTTAAATTCCCTACTTTGATTAGGAAAGGTAACAAAATATTTTACTAATCATCATCTTAGGGAATTTCAATTTATAGTATGGTTAATTATCCTTACCAAACGAGGATTGATAATAATAGCTGGATTATTTGGATCGAAAGCATTCCAGTCGTTACAGTCAAAGATAGGATCTACAACGATTCTTTCTCCTTTAGGATCGTAATTGCCCAATAATTCAACTTTCGCCTTACAACCATGTGGTAATTTCTCCTTAGCTAACCTAATATTAGATCATATATGTGTAAATATAAATCATTAATATCTATATTAAATGGCCGCATAGTTATATAACATTAAAGCCAGTAAAAATAATATCTACGGGTCAATCGACATTCTCAATCATATATTCAACGACAACAAAGCCAGTTACAAAGAAAGACCAAACTAAATAATTTAGCAATTACATCATTATATCAAGAACTATTCTTATTTATTGACAGTGGGTAAAGGCTAAATTCAAAAACTTTCTCCCATACAGACATAGATGTGCGTAACAAATGTGAATTGTTACTATTCATGTTCAACAAAATTTTAGATTTGTTATGAAATGAGATAAGGATAATTTTTTGTTAAATATTCTATTCTGTACAAAGTTAACATTTATTATTATGCAGATAATACCAAGTTTTAATAAGGTTGGGAATATTTCAATTTTCGATTACATGTATTTATTACGTTAACCAAATGAAGGGATCAGATACATCAAATTACTAATCGTCATCCTGCGATCAGTAATGAACAATCCCTCTTTAATTAATGATGAAGATAGCTATTATCCATAGCCATGCAAAAATAATTGGAGTATCGATAAAAGTAAAGTGAGGCTTATCCAATGAGAGTATATTAAAATCGTTAGAATATAATATCATAAAGCGTTCTGATATTATTGCATGACATTTATTATAAAGATGACTTATAACGGGAAATTCTTACAAAAATTGCTAATTATATCCTGCTCTATTCGGTTTTCTTTAAAAGTTACTAAGAGCAAAAATTATTATTCCCTGTAGATATGCAACTGAGACATAAATAAACTCAAGACATTATCTGATGCAAGGAAGTACATCGCTACTTCTCGCTTCGTCGCTATATTGTAACCTTTGAGTAAATTATTATCATACGAGCATATTGCAACCACAGGTAATTGCTACTTAAATTATTTCATAATATTGTCATTATTTTTATATAACGATGTAAACAGTTATTAACCGATTTTTATGATATCATTTATATCAAGGAATAAATTATTGTTAATAATGTTGGTCTGCTTCTTAACATATCAGGATACTTTAATAAGTTTTTATACTGGAAAGGAAAAGGTTCTTGACTGATCGCTATAATCTAGTTTATGTCTAGTCGGTAGATCATTCTCAATTTTCATTCATAAACACATACTACTTAAATCAAAACGTAATACGTACATAGAAAGATTATTTTATACAAAGACGTAAAATAATTGCCAACTAGTCATCTAGGCATAAAATATTTCGAAGAATTACTCTTAAATGTCTAAATTACACTTAGATGCTGACATTGCTGTTATAAACAAAGAAATAAATTAGTTCTAAATGGGTCATTATAATATAGTCTACATTAATGAGAAAATGCGGCAAAAACTTGAAAGCCATTACTATTGTTGTTATATTTATGAATGCAGATAATTATTGACTAGTCATAAGGCTTGCGGGATTTAAAATTTCTTGTAGGAGTTAATTAAAATAATAAATCATTATAATAAAATTTTCAGGTATAAAGACCATCATATGAATTATTTTCAAGGTGTTATAATCGATGTTTTAGACAAGGTAAGGGGTCTTCTTTATAATGTAATATATATACATACATCTATCACTATAGCCTTAAACTGTATATTTCTAGTCATTAGGTACGATAGCATAAATTTCTTGATATTGCTATCTACAATTGTATAAAAATGAGTAGTTACGAACTACCTGCTATAAATTTAATCTTTTTTTCAGAGGAAATTATTAAGTTTAAGTTAAAAAATAGTTTTCTAGCTAATCTCAATATCTAGATCGATGTTGTAAGACCCGATCAGCTAAGTAGAATTTATAAATTACTTTAATATGCATTTCTAGTCATTATAATGGAAATATGACAGCATCATTTTTTTTATAGTGTTATCTACGCTTTCATAGAGAGGTAAACAGTTATTGGTTAGCCGTCATAATTTGAATCTATAGCTAGGAGTAAATTATTGTGTTCGAATTAAAATAAGTTCTTCTAGCTAGTCTCAGTACCTAGTTCGATATTATTTTTGTTTTGGGATTCTATCCAGTAAAGAAATTTAGATAGCGATGATTCACAGTTTCAAATAATTTAAAATTGAATTGATGTTTGATATGCCTGCTTCTTATTTTAACATCATGATAGCCTCATGTACTTCTATAGAAATATTAATTCATCTGATTCGACGGACTCATCGTAATTCATGATCACAAACTTTCTATAGTATGATGAAAGGATCGCTTTGCTCGAGTTTATTGTTTCTTTTATTCTTATGAGCTTACCTTAAATTATCTTCATCCATGCATAAAATATAGCGATAACGTTTAAAATCATCATGGCAAAGCTATTATTATGAACGAATAATAGATCATTGCAGTTAACATAATATTATATAGATAATACTATACGTAGGTCGTCACAAGTTAATAAATCTTTACATAGATTAAAAACTATACTTTGCGATGGAGTAAATTTATTATGTGATGGAAAGTCTACTTTAAGCTCATTAGTATTGTTCCGTTACATTTAAGTATATAAGTTATGCACTCGCTGAGTTTGTTTTACTTTTAATTATTCAGGAAAGATTTTTATCTCTCAATAACATGTTGAGAATTTTTAAAGTATAATTGCATAATGATAATCCAATGGATCGTAACCATATCGATTGACTGCATTTATGGTTTTGTTAAAGTTGAAAACAATATATTGATATTAATCTTTCAAAATTAATTATTCAGCTAGCCATAGTTGATATACACCTATTTCATAACATTATTACTATTTGGCCTAGTTGGCCAGTAATGATAAGAATACTGTACCAAGTTAATAAATGTGATGATCAGTAGTAGCTGGTCGTTTATTATTGTATTGATATACTTACTTTTCGTGACGGATGAAGACGTGGCTTAATATGATTATCCTCGAGGACGGTAATTGTACATGGGCTAACGGGTTGTTGGTGAGTTGCTTCTGAGCTAACACCAGAACTAGCTATATCCCACTATATTATTTAATCCCAGCACAGGGTAAGATAAAAAATGATTATCAAGAAGACATCAAATGTATAAGAAAAAAATTAATTCATGAGCTGATTAAATCTTGTGAATTACAAAAAGAAGTACAGTGTAAAAGGAAATGGATTTGCCGACTATAGATTATCATAATAAAAGTCTAAATGCGCAAAAAAAATGGAAATCATTTGCCTAAATCTATAAACTAACTGAAGATGTGCAGTATGGAATCAATAAAATTGTATCGGCATATATTATCGTAATAAAGTCCTAATAGTACAGTGAAAAAAATAGAGCATTCCTCTTAAATAAAATCTTGTGATGATTTTTTATGAGACAGAGACGGACTGGGCAAATGATAAAATAAAATGCTAATATTATTATTTGTTATTACACTAGACATGGATGCAGGATAATATTGATAACAGCAAATCGGAAATAAGAATGGGAATTAAAAGACTTTATAATGACTGTCTATGTATATTGTGAATACAACTATAAGTTGGTAGGTAAAGAGGAAAATGAAACAGAACGATGAGACCAAATGATCATTACCTAGACTCAAAGCAGTACTACAACAATTTCTATGCTTATAACAGATACCAAAATAGCCATTGATAACAGTTGCAATGGTGGTAGAAAATTTCAATCATTTATCCTATGTATTTCTTGAATTATTTTAAAATTTGCACTCATCCCTCCCCCATACATCTTAAAATTATCGTTAACTATTGTCATAGCAAAAATAATTATACTAATAAGACAATCAAGCAATCCTTATTTATTTTACCTTATTCAATTCGCTACGTTGTTCTACTAAATGGTAGAAGATCGCTTCGGCCATTGGAGAGCGTTGGATATTAACTAAAATGGATTCAAAAAAGAAACGAAGCAATTTTATTTTGGATCTAATCGAATCTTGGATAACAACATAGTAAAAGTCAATATAATGAGTCATCACCAGACATATCATAATATGCAGACATTACATTGATTATCATCCGATGACCATTACAAGACAAATTGTTTAATAAACAAGATAAGGGTATAGAAATTAGATGGTGATCATCATCGTGTTGACATTGATTATCGATTGAGGTAGGTGGGCAGGGAAATAAAATCAAAATGTTGCCAATTTATGCACGTTCAGTTACAAATACGAGTCAACGATGAGTTTTAGACCCCGATGCTCTATTCCATAAAAATAAACAGTCGAAAATGGATCGAGTAGATTCCTAAGTTAAATCGAAAAAGATTACCCTAAATTTATCTTACTTTAGAATACGACTACGCTCATTTTGTCTCTATTACATGAATTATTATCATTATAAAATTCAAGTTAGTTTATTAATATTACATCACTAACCCTGTACTGTATTAAATCAACAATTTCACTTATTATTATAATCGTAAGTTGGACTTTATCAATCACTAACAATTTAAGCTAAACTTACTGATTCTCCTATTTTTTTGGCTATTTAATAAAGCTTGATATAATTTGAACTCATATAGAATCGCTACAAATGATCAGCTCATGTTTGTCGTTCTAGCAATAGAAGTAATAGTAGGCGATGCTAAGTAAATACATCTTTGCCATCAAAATCTACTCTTACAAAGACAGAGAAGAGCGCAAAGCGATATCACGGCTATCGAAAGGCCAATTTAAAAAGTACAGCCATTGGGGAATGATAGCTGATGACAAATAGAAACAATAACTTGAAATTTACAAGACAAGTAGAGAGATAATTGAAAAGATATTAGTCTTGCTCGGAAAATTGTCAGTGTTGATGATTAATTGTATGCTTATTGGAAGGGGATAATCGAGTTGAGAGTTGTTACTAAAAATCATTATTTTAGTCACGATGATTACAGCAGTTGAATAATTGAGTATTGGGAATAGACGTACATTATTCCAATATTTTACAGTATTATTATTCCTGTAATAATAAAGCAAGGTAAACGATTGTTTTTTCTGCTTTTAAAAAGGAAATTTTCTCTACGAGACAAGATCTTCCATATGGAAAGCAAACTAAAAAGAACTTTGGGCGATGATCAAATCTCTACGTGATAGTAGATGAGCAGCCAAACTTGTGAACATTGACGTATGAATCGAATACAAAGATCAAGCTAGTGGATAATGAAATTGCTTTTCTACGTTATTTATCCACTTTATCCAACGATAATTCAGTTCATAAATATAAAGAAATAGCGACTGCTTAGGAAAGCTCATTGACTCGATTATCAATCATCACGAAATCGAACATGTAAGTATTCATAATAATGCATAAAAAGATAGAGACGATAGGAATGAGTATCTGGATTTGAAATATTTGAATGATGGTAGGCTTAATTGGTTACAGTATATCATAGAATAAAAAATTAACTTTAACTGGATTTTTTGTTAGTTGGCTAATCAAATTAATAAAGATCGATGATTTGTCGATTTAATTTCCTCTTAATGCTGTTATAAGTTATTTGCACGACTACATTATAAGCAGATTAGCAACATGGCGTGATTATAATCTAAGACGATGAATATGGAAAATAAGATATTTTCCAAGCTTCATTTCGGATAAAAAAATAAAATAAAAAGACGTAAATGAAACGATCGATTAATAATACGGGTAATAACCAACTCTAATTATGCTATGATAACTTAATTTTTTTCCTCCTATGTCCTACGTATTGTCGACATAAGTAAACGAGATCATTTACCTGCACAAACAAACATGACCGAATACTTAGGCGATTTTTTCTTTTTCCGCTTTAAAAAATTTAATCCGGTAAAGGCCATGATCTGGATTGATTGACTAAGGTTAATTACGATTTGATAATCCTTCCTAGAATTGGATTACATTATTTTTTTATTATTTTTATTTTTATAGCTGATAAATTTACTAGCAGCCAACACAAATTGGGGATTAGAACTAGCAGTAATATGAATCGCTACTGGATAGTCCAACTTACCCCTTGGGATAATCGCTAATGGAAATAGACTTATTCGCTTGCGATAGACAATTAACAATAATGATGATCGCTTCCTTCTTAAATCAATTCTTACTGATAGAACGAATGGAGAGTTCGAATCTGCCTAACAGCAATCATTTTACTCTGGCTTGATCATTTTCAATTGTATGGCGATGGTTGTGGAAAATTGTTACTTGCCAGGATTACTCTCTGATGTTGATCGGTTAGACTGTGCTAGGTGCCCGATTGACTTTACGATCGGCTTAATTAATATCTCTCCAGCTTTTCTATAGACTGTCGATTCTTTTAAAATCACTGAAATATATAAAATATGACAGCTTGACGGATAATCAGCACTGGCTATTATGATGTTAATTAATTATTATTCTTGATTATTGTTATGAAGATGTTAAAATAGAGTTACCAACCCCTAGTCGAAGACGACAGCCTCAACATTCTCACTCGCTCGTTCCATGTATACTTTACGAGTATATCTATACATCTCTCTCTCTCTCTATATATATATACTTGCTATATATACATGCATCTAGATAAATATACTAGATATATATGTACATCTAGGTAAGGATACTATATATTTATATATACATACATCTATATAAGTCTATACGTGCCGAAAGGTCTATGGACTGTTTGTATACATAGAGTAGCTAAGTCAATCTCAGTTCATCATGATTGGCATGATATCAACATGCCTAACTGTGAAAATAGGCCAGCTGGATAGACAATAATATAACTGTAGGTTATTATTCTTCTTCTTCCTTATCATTGTGTCGTTATTGTATAGACAAATCTATATACGATAGATTGGAAAGAAATTTAGCCTGTACATAGAAATTGTCGCTATGATACAAAGTCTAGACTATTGATAGCTATTATCTTGATATATTTAGACTATATCTAGCCTGTATAGTATTGATCGATGCATTTAGCAATATATTCTTATATTTTTAAGCGTAGGATCAACGACGACAATAAAAATAATATATCATATTATTCAAAAGTAACCAATACAAGGAATACTTATGAGAAAGAGAGAAGAGAAATCAACTTATTGAAAAATAAATAGACTGTAATTCCTATCCAATTATTTCTTCAACACCGATATTGAACTGCTTTAATACATTGTCGATGACGGCTATCTATTTATTGAATCGAGATGTAATCCTTATTAATTATATTTAGCAAGGGAGGAAATGAAGGGAAAATAACCTTTTTCCGCTCAGGATTGCAAATGTCCAAGAGTTTCATGTGAGTCCAACATCCTGCAATGGCTAAGTTAGCATCTAATTTTAGTAGGTTTTGTGTAGGCGGATTAGTAAAAAATAAACTATTATTGATTATTTTATAAATGTTGTCCACTGCTATTCTATTCACACCATGAAAAACATCCGTAGCATTTCTACTCTCACGGCTGTAACAATAATGATATATCAAAACTACAGAGAAAAGAACAATACAGTATACGAAATACTATTCAAGACTAGGATAATATTGTCGTAGACTTCCTTTAGATTTTAGGCTATTATGGCTATCAATGTAGTCGTTGAGTTCATTTCATGACATACTTCAATTTGTAAGTCGATTTTTCTCTCCTTTGCTAGACAAGCGTTGCCACATGACATCAAAATGAGAGAGGATAATCAACACATCATCATTGTTACGTCTTATTCTTTTCCTCTCTCTCTGTTCAATTAGATAGCTAGGTTTGAACATCCAAAATCTAACAATATCGTAATAGAACGGTAGAATATTTTATATGGATTAGTCAATCTCTTGTGAAATCATGACATACGCGTGGGGTTTATTCTTAGTGATGGGAAATTCTTACAATAATAACCAACTATTGATGACTATCCAACGTTTATAAAATAAAATAATATTAATCTTAACATAACTACTTGCAACTTGCCTGGATAAGTCATAACAACTATCCTTATCCGATATGATAACTAGTAGATTTAACTAACCACGGACTAGATAGTATCTTGTTAAATGGGATATTCATTGCCTATGATTGGAACGTATACATTTTTATGGTGTATATATTTTGAGTTATTTCCTAAAATGATTGAAAAACAGAAGACCTTTGTTCCTTTATTTTTCAATACTCTCGTACAATTCGTTAATTTTACTACAAACAGCGGACAAATAGTTAATCCGGTAGGACTAAAAATAGTCCTATACTGCTGTTGGCAGAGGTGTAGTGTTGTTCATCACCATTGTAGAGGATATGGACAAGTCATAATTGGAAGTTTCCATTTTTATTGATAATTATCTTCCTACTGCAATAGTACAGAGTCTCTCCAACAGGTAATATAAGTGTTGCTAATTTAGATACGTATAAGGATATAGAAAAGTATCGATGGCCGATAAAAAATCAATTTTCAAGCCGTAAAACTCAGCTCAATTTTGTCATAAAATGCTAATAGCCTTTTAGTGCATATAGTATGTATTAATAACAATCGCGAAATAAAGAATAGTCTAAAAAATGAGCCTTACATGCCGATTACATGCATAAAACAAATTAGAAGCCCAGAGACATTCTGTCATGCAGATAGTGCATTTATAAGCAAACCTTTAATTATGTACAAACAACAACTATAAAATAAATAGTGTATTTGTATTAAAAATGACTTTATAATGCGAAATCTTACGTAATTTCAATCATAAGCATAAGAATAGATTAGGGTGGAAAAACTCGATTTAATATACAACTTACTCCGTCTCAACGTCAGCCACGGAATAAATTAAGAATAACGTCCAACCTTCATTTCTGGCTATGTTTAATTTTAGAATTCAGATCATGAGTAAAGCAATGAAGGATAATGACTATACTGTATTTATAGGTTATTTTGCCGCATTTCAACGTTAGCTAGAGAATAAGTCTACGGCAGGAAATTAAACGACTTTTAAATATTACCTAGGCTCAATTTTATGACACTAAAATATCTGCAGAAGAATCTGCTAAGATTAAATATGGATGTAGTATTATAGACCATTTGGGTGCGTTCGATATTCCTTATAGAATGACTAAGAGATTAAAAATGACTCTCAAATGTTGTTCAAATATAGTTTTACAGCACAAAATCATCTATACAGGAATCAGCTGTAGTCTATTGCGGATGTGATGTTGATACACTATTTGGCCATATCAAAGTATTAGCTATAAGATAAATATTAAATAAGAAATCCAAAGTACCTCCGATGTTGCCAGAGCTCAATTCATTGCATTAAATCTCAATCAAGTAATTCTACTGCACTTTTATGCCGACACAATATTAATAGACCATTTGGCTATGTTTGACAGTTAGCTATGAAATTAGAAATTAGAGGAGCTGCGATACTATAGTACTGATGCGGTATTAATACACCTTTTAGCTACATGTAACGATTGACGATGAAATTAGAAATTGGAGGATCTGCTATAATATCATGCGGATACGGTATTGATAAATTAATTATTTGATATATTTAAACGTTAGCCATGTATTAGAAAGCAGGAGATCTGTTATAATATAGTATGGATACGGTGTTTATAGGTTCTTTAGCTGCATTAAATATTAGTGTTGGCATAAAGAAGAAGTAATGATCGACTCTTAGATGTTTTCTAGAGTCAATTTTGTAGTATGAAATTATCAATAGCAGGAATCTCCTATTGTGAAAACAAAGCTGATAGACTATTTTGCCATAATTATTCAATTGTCAGCTATTAAATTAGAAACAAGAAAATTTGCTATAGTGTAACATGAATTCGGTATTTATAGCTCATTTGACTACGTTTAAGGGTTAACTATAAAATCAGAAAACAAGTAAATTTACTGTGGTACAATATGTTACGAATATGATATTTTATAGACTATTTGACTATGTTAAACCATTGGCTATAAAGTCGACAATTAGGGAATTTCCAATAGTGTAATACAGATTTAGTATTTCTTGACTATTTAGGTTAGCTATGGAATAAAGAATAATTAATGTTGACTCTTTGATACTATTCGACCCAATTTTGAGTATTGCAATTATAGGCACAGGAATAAACTGCAATACAATGAGGATGGAATATTTTACAGATAAACTGCTGCGTTAGAATATTAGCGATAGCATAGATTTGAAAGTTTAATCGTTAGAATTAATGAAAGATTAAATTGACTCTCGTATGCAATCAATATTTTATAACATCAAATCGTAAGCAAGCCAATATAATCTACTATACTATACTAAAAATAATACTTATACAAATGTGATATTTATATACCACTTACTATATTTTATTAGTGTCGATCTTGGGGTAAATAGGGAAAATAAAAACGACTGTCATATATTGTCTGTGCTGATAATAGAATATAGAATGATAAGTAACGATTAATCGAAATCCTATTTCCAAAGGCCCAATTTAATTATCAGCGTGGACTGTACTCTGTCACGTACAGTACTTTCGGGAAAGGCTATTAGGCCATGACTAATTAAATAGCTTGAAATATTCAATAATTCATTCAATATAATTATCAATAAATTATTAATATCGAAATGGATGGAGTGTCCATCATTGCAATATACGGTACGATTAAATAAAATTGATCTTTAAACCTTTGCGCAAAGATGGCTTGTATGGTAAGGAATAAGGTCAAATTAAAATATCCTATATGATTTAAAACAATTCTGTTTGTATCTGTACTTTAACAGTTTCTTTAACTCTACTGATCTCTGTATATTTTTGAATATTGCCTCTTACTGTTCACTTCTGATGATGTGATCCCGATTAACTAAGCCGGACATGAGCCGATTCTATTTAAATAATTGCTTCGAGATTATGGAAAGACTTTAGGTATTTTTGTCAATTCTCGGCAAATAAACTAGTCTAGAATTCGAACAATTGATAAAAATATAGATTGTAATCAGTAAATGATCCAAATTAGCGAAATGTCTGTCATTTGACTAGCAGTTAATTTAATTAAATTAATTTTGGAGGTATAAAATAAAAGATAGACAGATTATAATGATGATATTTTAACTATAGACTACTTAATTACGGAAAATGCTTTATAATTTGTTAAATATTCTGTGATGAAATAAATAGTTTAGACTAGTTTGGATTAGCGAATTCGTAAGTAATTATTAACAGTCGGTATAATATATGAAATCCGCAAAGATCTCTTACCATGATATTTATCTGGGTTATAATACTTACGAATAGTACCAAGAGGATAGCTACCGGGTAAATTGTTTTTTGTGCTTGTTAATTATATATTATTAGCCCAGTCATGGATAAAACTTTACGCGATTATTAGTCGTTCGTGATTAAATAATCTTTTATATAACCTTATATAAGCTGGCAAGTTCATCGCATCAAGATCATTGAATTTTGGATCGCTAAATGATTATATAGAATTATTTTCTATTTTTTGAATATTGAACATCTTTACAAGGTTGATCTACATTTTACTATAATTTGTAGCTTTAATCCATACGTGTCAGTTAAATAGAGTTACGGATTCTGTATAATATAAAATATAGTGCCTTTCGACCAATTATCAAATTCTTTAATCGCGGTCTATTCCACGGTCGATTACCGTACTAAATGACTGATAGATTTTCTACTATTGATTATGACTAGTAGCGTAACCTTATAAACTGATTAGTTTTCTTACTTTAGTTCATATATTCAATTAGTTTATGTAAGAGAACAGTAATAGGCTCTGCATTTTTCGTATGTAGCTGTTCTGTGCATTGCTTGTCAATAAATACTCAAAATCATTTATATACAGCACATGAGCTAACTATTTCAAATACGATTATTGTCGACTACATCAAATATTTTCTTGGCTGAGATAGTTCTATCAATAATTATTATACTGTTAATCTATTCTTTTCCCGTATTTCTTGGATTAATTAGGAAATAATAGAATGACAGTCTTTCAGATTTCTTGGATTAAATTAGTCTGTATCGTAGAAAAAAAATGTCCTACAGATTTCATATACTCAGTTGTCGATTACTAGCCTATCACAAAAATACGAAATCGGTGGGTTAGTTGCTCCAAGTTCACGCAGTAAGAGAATAAATCAATTTTGTTGTGATTAAATTGTTACCTCACCAATGCAGAACTATTAAGAGCAATTAAACTTAAGCAATGACTGTAATTTATTATCATACGTATCTCTAAAGAATTTGCGTGCGCATTAAATAGGATTTATTGTATCGCAATTAAATGAAATTTTAGTGCCTCCCCCATTGACGTTTTGTTGAGCGAGTAGTTTCTGGTATATTTATACGTATATAAAATTGCGTATGTAGATTACTTTGACGTAGGCTAATTAAATCCATAAGTTAGAGTAATGGGCAATTTTATTGGAAATGCTTATAATTGCTTTGATGATGAGTAATATTAAGCAGTATACAATTTTAGATCGGCCGTAATGGAATTATCTGAACTATAGGATAGCTCATTGCATCATTTTGAAAGAGGGAATGGCAGACTACTTAGTTAGGTGCCAGGTAGTCGTATTCAATTCTACTGTAGAGAGTATAGTAGACTTTTGGATGTTCATTATTACTTCCATGCAGATTAATATAGCATACAATTTTGAATATTCCTTGATAAGTAATTTGGAATATGTTCATTGCTTAACTTTGAAAGCCTCGACGACCAATTACCTACGGAGGGTTCGAGGTGTATCTTTCCTGTACAGTACAACAGACTTATGGAGGATATTTACAATTACTCCCATGACCAAAACTATAATATACAGTTTGGATAGTCCATGATGAAATAATCTAAAATGGACAATAGTTCATTGCATTACTTTGGAAGCAGTGACGGCAGCGTTTCTTAGCAGGTCCAAGTTATATTTTATTCTATAGAGAATGATAGATATTGTTAAAGCTATCCACCATTACTTCCATGATGAAATATATGGTATGCAATTTTGGATATTTCATAAGATAATTTTGAGAGTGGCGATGGTAGATCATCTGTTCTGTATGGGCATAGTTTATGTATTGAATTAGCGTCAAAGTACTATCCAACTATATGACATCTGTAAATGGCTATTAATCTGCATAATACCATGTTAGGCTACAGTGTTGTATCTTAATATGGCGATAGTACTACGTATTAATTAAGCATTAATTCTAATTAGTTATACTATACACTATCTAAGCAGGTCCGAGGTATACGCGTCTTTATTTTTATAGAGTATAACAGACTTATTATGAGTATCTATTATTCCTTCTATGATTAAAAAATAGAGTATACAATTTTAGATAGTCCATGATGAAGTAATTTGCAGTATGGAATGGCTTATGGGATTAGTTTGAAAATGGCAAGGGTAAACTATCTATAGACAGGTCCGAGCCGAGGTATATTTATATCTGTAGTGTATGTTAAGAGTACAATGTACTTGTATTCATTATTCCTTTGACGGTGAAAGAGAGAGTATACAATTCTGGATAGTCCACGATGAAATAATCTACAGTGCGGAATATCTGATAGCCTAATTTTGAAAAATAGCAAGGGCAAACTATCTATAGACAGCTTCGAGGTATGTTTATTTCTGTAGAGTATAACAAACTTGGTAAGAGTGTTTATTATTCCTTCCATGATGGAAAATAGAGTACGCAATTCTGAATATTCCATGATGAAATAATTCTTCTGGGTTGTAGGATAGCTTCTAGTATCATTTGAAAGCAGCGAGGGCAACTATCCACAGATATGACCGGGGTACATTTGTTTTCTGTAGAGTACTGTATTAACAGATTCGGTAAGGATGTTGCTATTCCTTCCATGATGGAAAATAGAGTATGCAATTCTGGATAATCCAAGATGAAATAATTCTTCTGGGATATGGGATAGCTCCCAGCATCATTTGAAAGTAACGATGTCAAACTATCTATGGACATGTCCGAGGTACATTTGTTTTCTGTAGAGTACTGTATTAACAGATTCGGTAAGGATGTTGCTATTCCTTCGCTGATGGAAAATAGAGTATACAATTCTGAATATTCCGTAATGAAATAAATCTTCAGGATATGGGATAGCTCATAGTATCATTTGAAAGCAGGGGGGGGGGGCAAACTATCCACGGACATGTCCGAGGTACATTTGTTTTCTGTAGAGTAGTGTATTAACAGATTCGGTAAGGATGTTGCTATTCCTTCCATGATGGAAAATAGAGTATGCAATTCTGGATATTCCTTGATGAAATAACCTGGGATATGAAATAGCTCATCGCCTAATTTTGAAAAGTAGCGGCAACAGACCACCTGCAGTATCTACACCACGGTTATTTGCATAAAGATGTCCGTCTGGTTGCTGACTCACTATTGCATTTTAGACGTGTTTAGCTAGCGCGGCTGCTCCTTTTCCCTGCAGATACCGTAACTCTAGTACCTCCGCTATACTGTTCCGGCACTTTTCTCTAGTAACGATCAGCAGCTTGCTTGCTTGCAACCTTGATAGGTCAAGAACTTCCAGGAGTCCTTGGATAGGTATGCAAACTGTTTACTTAACCATCGCATTCTCATTCCTGTTCCCTATTTCATCGTTAAGATTCAACAGGATTCCCCTACGAGACTTGAAATCGCTATGTCGATGAGATTGATCTTAAGTGGTCCTATTCCATCCTATCATCAATGCCTCAGTCTTGGTATGAGCCAGTGTCGTCTATTACCTCGATCAACGCTATCTCAAGGAACATTTAATCGTTGCTACTATGGCCTTCGTACAAATTCGAGGTAAGTTCTGCGCTAAATTGTGTGCTGAATTAGGCTTACTATTCATGCAAACCGACTCTAGTTTGCAGCTAGGATAAATAGAGTAATAGTGCAGATATTACTAAGGTCTTGTTGATGAATTTCGATCCAATTAACCGTAATTAATTCATCAAGACTACATGCGTTGTTGCCTCTTGCTTCCCGTATTCCAAAATCAAGCTACACAACATCATGTGCTTATTTATGACTTTGCATGCTGATAGATTGTTCAGTGCAGTAGGCAATTCGTAGAGAGGGGAATAGCTAATCCATTTAACCATTGATACGTATAAGACTACATAATGATCTTGTAAGCCGTTCAAAAATCAATCCATATCATGCACCCATTTTCATGTTCACACGAGATAAAATTGTTCGTCGCTGTGCACAATCGAGTAGCTGGATCAGATATCCATAACTCATCATACAGCAGTTTCCTATCCTTTATCTCCTATTCTTGGAGCAATCTAAAACTGACATAATGTACCTGTGTGTTCGACTTAATGCCTGTATATTGTACAAGTCTACTCTACAGTACTCGTAAGCAAACTGTTGCGTATTAACACTAAGTTATAACTGAGAACTGAAAAGTCTGCATTCGATATACGTTTATAAGACTTTCAATCAATTAACGTTTACTTCCTATGGGAAGTGTAAATTTCCATGAACTTCTACAAATAATTTGTTTATGCATTGGGCTATGTGCTACTAAAGCACTGTAATTCAACGAAGATACCCTTCTGCCGACGAATTCGATGTATAGTAGTCATAATTCGATCAGTACTCTGTTGTCTACGGCATGTTTGATAGTGTATTTATGAATGAACATTAATGATACAATTATTTCCTTCTTGATATCAAGGTTAAATTATACTAATACTCGATCTACTATGGCAGTTTTGGGTAATTGCCTAAGGAATCGAATCCGTCAATCTATAAAAGATCTTAATAGTTCTGTTGGACGTTGGTACTCTAGAACATGCAATCGTCCTTTTCTGTCGACCAGAATTTACTTTACATTTTCCTTACTTGGTGCAACTGCAGTCAAACAACGACATCCTAAAGCTAAATTAGGACGCAGTAAAAATGATGAATCTGATAGCAATGATGATAAAGAGATACCGTTTGACTGGAATGAATTTTTTAAGCTGCTCAAGCCGGATATATGGTTGTTAATTTTAGCTGTTGCAGTAAGTCATTGTAATATAGAATTAATTAATATAGCAGCAAAAAACATACAGTATTGATATTACAGTATTCGTATTCAAGTAAGGTTGTACAAACTAAATTATATTGTGGATTATAATCAACTTACAGAGCGCTCTAGTTGCTGCCTTTGTCAACATCAAGATTCCAATTATGATTGGAGACTTTGTAAATGCTATGGCTCAAATGGTTTCTACTGACCAACAAGATAGCCTTCGTCAAAGTTTTCAGGATTTATTTAAGCCAGCAACTCAGCTGGTTCTTTACTATGGAGGCCAGGTGAAATCACGAGTCTATATTGCTTTTGCAGTAATATATGGCTCTAATTGTTGTTAAATTATCATTTTTACTGATTTAACTCTTCATTCCATGTCTTTTATTTCCATTAAAATATGCTTGTTAAATAGTTCATCAATCCTAATAAAAATGATCTTGGACAAATTGAACTTGTAGGCAGCGCTGACATGTACATATATTACATTGTTATCAACTATCGGTGAAAATATAGCTGCAAGAATGAGAAAGAAACTCTTTGCCTCATTAATGAAACAAGATGTCGCCTTCTTTGATAAATATAAGACTGGAGAAATTATTAGCAGGTTTGAATATTAATATTTAAGAATGTCCTATTATCCTCCTTTATCGTCAATGATATTGGATATTTAGAGCTACTGAGAAAACTATCTATACTCTTCTTTCAGACTAACTGCAGATATACAGGATTTTAAAAGTGCAATGAAGCAGTGCATTTCTCAAGGTGTCCGTAGTATCACACAGGTATCAAATTCTTTACGTGGACTTAAAAAATAAGTAATGGTGACTTATACAAGTACAGTATACCGGAGTCATTAGTGATTTGAATGATGCTCACCGCTCTGATGTATACCATATTAATTAGACAAATTTATAGAATTTTCGTATTTGTTGTTTTTAATAATACCTACTTGATACAGCAGTAAATACGAGTCTTCTACTAGAATATCTCCAATTTTAATATTTGTAGACCGTTGGATGTATTGTATCTCTGTATCTAATTTCTCCCAAGCTGACAACACTATTGGTCGTAGCGTTACCATCACTGATTGCCATCGGCAGCTTTATTGGGTCTCTACTTAGAAAAATGTCCAGAAAAGTTCAGGAAAAAGTATACACATACAATAACTTTCTTATGGGTGTGGTCTTGGATTTAAACTTATATTTTGAAATGGATAAAATAATTTAATGTTGTCATTCTAGATTGCAAGCGCGACAGCAATTGCTGATGAAGCAGTCGGCAACTTGAGAACAGTGCGTGCATTTGCTATGGAAGAAAAAGAAAAAGAGTTAGTTTTTCAATTTCATTTCAGTGCACTCGTTTTTAATGATTGAAAAATCCTTGCTCATCAATAATTATAATTGCGTCATATGCTACAGATTATACAATATCCATATTAACGAAGCTTGCAATTTGAGCAAAACACTTGGTTTTGGTATTGGACTATTTCAGGGTTTAGCAAATTTAGCAATAAATGGTTAGACAAGCATAACTGCACCTTTTCAGAATTCGTTTAAGGGATATTTCTAACCGAGTTGCTTAAATTGAATTAAATGTATGCTAGGTGTAGTTCTATCTGTTTTATACTATGGTGGATACTTAATGTCGATTAAAGATTTAACACCGGGACAATTAATGTCATTTTTAGTCGCTTCTCAAACTATGCAACGGTGAGTAATTATAAAATACTGCTTTGTCTCCCAGATCTAACAACGTTTGATAGGATGCTGTATAAGAAGTAATTAACTTTAATCACAGATCTCTGGCAATGGTATCGATACTCTTCGGGCAAGTAATGAAAGGGTTAACTGCTGGAGCTCGCACTTTTGAGGTTCGTCACGGGTTCATGTAAGAAATGCAGATATTAAACAAAACTTTAAAACATGGAAAATAAATAACTGTACTCTAAAATTTGATGCATTTAGTACATGCAATTGCAGCCCCACATTGCTATTGATGAAGGTTGCATAATTGCAAACGATAAGTTGTCTGGTGAAGTAGAAATTGATAATATTACCTTTGTTTATCCGACAAGAAAAGAACAGGTATGTTTAGTTATAGCGAAAGGAGATGGTTATCGATTAACTACAATAAAAAGTGGTTTGTTAATTTACTCAATTAGGCGGTTTTTAGAGATTTTAACTTAAAAATTCCGGCTGGTAAGATCATCGCTCTATGTGGTCCATCCGGATCTGGTACTTATTTGCTGTGCTTTATATTTATTCTTGCTATCAAAGACTTTATTAATATTTATTGACACTCATTAACAAATGCAAACTGATTTAATTAGGAAAATCGACTATCGCAGCATTAATAGAAAGATTTTATGACGTACAAAGTGGCAGTATTAAGCTGGATGGTATTGATATAAAAAAAATCAATCCATCTTGGTTGCGAGGTTCAGTAATTGGCTATATACATCAGGTAAGACCTTATTGATTTGGCTTGAAGGGGCAGAAGTCACTGGTTGTCGTATACTGAGGTCTATAAAAAGTAAATCATGTATGCAACAATTACTATCAAAGGAACCTGTACTCTTTGCTACTTCCGTTATCGAAAATATTCGGTATGGTCGACCCGATGCAACGGATGAAGAGGTAGTGATACTGTATTTTAGATGTAACTGCTATCTGGACTGTAATGATTAAAGAATGATTGGTGCATTATCCTAATGCGCATATAATATTTGGTAATTTATATTTTACTATCTTTAATGAATCGATTTTGGTTTTAGGTTCATAATGCGGCTCGCATGGCTAACGCTGAGGAATTTATTCTGAACTTTCCAAAGGTGAAATCATAGTTATATTGCATGGAGTAATCAATTTTCTTGATAAAATTTCTGGCCGAACTCTTTGCTTACAGCTGATCATTTAATACAACGTGAAATTATATATGTATATACCCGTATATATTAGGGTTATGAGACCATGCTCGGGGAACGGGGAGTCACAGTTTCGGGTGGACAACGACAGAGGTATACCCGTAGAATTTCAGATTACTTTTAGAGAAATTAACGACTTTATACAAAATAATTTTTTAGGCTCAAATTATAACAGTCATGATTTCATCACTGATGTTATCTTTTATAATCGAACAGAATCGCTATTGCTCGTGCTTTACTAAAAGATCCCAAAATTTTAATTTTAGATGAAGCTACCAGGTATGTTTAGTTTACTAGTTCATGATGATACGAGCACTTATAGTGTTGTAACAACGCAAAGAAAGCTATTCGATACAATAATCTGACATCAAATTAGTCAATAAATATTAAAATATACAAGTATTTCGTTGTGTAATTTCTTTTATTGCCATATTGTGTCGTTGAAGTGCATTAGATTCGGAATCTGAAAAAGCCGTGCAAGGGGCTCTTGACCGATTGATGAAAGGTAGTTTGTCAAGAGTAATTTCACAGATTCTAATGCAATATGTGTTATAGTACAGTACAGTGTTATCGGTATCTGGCAAGTTTTAGTATGAAAGTAGGTTTCGTTTTTGCAAGTTGCGTTACGCAGTTCTACAATCTAGCTATTTTCATCCCTGGTCAGCTTAATTTCGTTTTCTTCGCATAATTTACAGATCGAACGGTTATAGTTATTGCGCATAGATTGAGTACTATAAGAAATGCAGGTAAGAAGTTGAAATATTGCTACGAAATTAGAGATAATTAGAATATCATAGTGTTCCTGTGGTCGTATTATATTTCTGAATACTGTACTGAAATCTTTTAGATGTCATTGCCGTAATCATGAATGGCATCATTTATGAGGTAAGAAGCGGTAAACTACAGGAAAGCAGATTCTTAATTAGTTCATAATGGACTAAAAGTTTAAGTATGATTTTATATATTGTATAAGTACAGTAATGTAGGGATAATTAATTAAAGAAGTTTATGTAAGCTTTCCGTTGCGGTTTTACGAATTATCCCGTTGACATTGTAGTAGAAAATTTTTTGATTGGACGAAGGACAATTACAAGATACTTTTAAATAGTTCATAATTATAGAGGTAGGCTATAATTTTATCTTTACATTTTAGATCGGCAATCATGCAGAACTGATGAAAAAGAAAGGGAAATACGCCGATATGGTGCGACTACAAAATTTGCAACAGTCATAATAGGATAGCTTGTATTAAATTTTTTATTTATTTAAGTTAAAAAGGTCGATAACTTCAGTTTTATTGAAATAAAGAGATGCTACTCCATATTCTAAATTGCCGTCACAGCTCAAGAAACGAATAACTGAATTATAGAAATACAGTAGAAATTAAAGGAATGCTGACCCAATGAAACCTATATTCACTTCTTATATGATCATCTGTTGATGTTGATATGATCAGTTTTTCCATAGTCAGATTAATACAATTTTAAGTATAGTAATTATAATACTGGAAACATCAATACAATTTCTAAGCATAATACGTTAGATTTGTCTTCTTCTTAGCTTGTACTTCCATTATCCCTAAAAATTATTTAAATCATGAAACGTTAGGCATAGTATAGCCAGTGTGATCGAGCAACTATAAGCCATACCTTCCATAAAGTCTTCATGCGATACTTCAGATGCACTGCGTCTCAGGGCAATCATTCCCTAAAATATTCAGTTTCGAGGAGGCAAGATACAACAAAGTTGAAATTTTATGCCTATGTAAAGATTTTCTAATTTGAATATACATACCGCTTCCACACAAACAGCTTTACACGTAGCTCCATTAAAATCATCTGTACACCTTGCTAGCTCTTCAAAATTAACGCCGGAACTAAAGATAATAATATATGATTGTAAGTGTAATTGTTTACATGTGCGTGTCACTCCTTTGCTACTCACCTGACATTCATTTTTCGTGAGTGAATTTGTAATATACGGGCTCGAGCTTCCTCATCTGGTGCTGGAAATTCAATCTTTCTATCTAACCGTCCTAAATTAGGGTGACAATGCTATGTTGAGCTTTCTCATAGTAAGAACAGTACGTTAACCCCTTAAAACTAACCGGATCTCAATAATGCAGGATCAAGGATGTCTACACGATTAGTGGCGGCTATTACTTTAATCTCATTGCTAGAGCTAAATCCATCTAATTGATTTAATAATTCTAACATGGTACGTTGCACCTAGAGGAAAAAGTGAAACATTGAGTGGAATATTTGATTACCCTCGAATAAAAGATCTACAAACCTCTCTATCACCGGCTTTCTCACTGTCGAATCTCTGTATATAAAGGCAAATTTATTGCGCAGGTTAAAAATAATTGTTATTCAATTAGTAGCCTTAAATGTAAAGACTGACCTTTGTACCAATAGCGTCTAGTTCATCAATAAAAATGATTGCTGGAGCCTTTTCTTTAGCCAGCAAGAACGCATCACGAACTAGTTTAGCTCCGTCGCCAATAAACATCTAATACGATAATATATCGAATATGCCAATTCTTAGATATAGAAATATAGTATAGTGAATTTCAGGTAACGTACTACAAAATATAAATTATACCTGAACTAACTGTGGACCGGCCAACTTGAGGAATGTTGACTGAAAATGGTAAAAATTTGAAAATTATGCTACCAACTGTTACAATGGAATTATATCCAAACAAAGTTATTCTTACTTTGGTCTGCGCGGCACAAGCGCGAGCCAGCAGCGTTTTTCCAGTTCCCGGAGGACCGTATAAAAGAACACCTATTTAACGGTAAATTTATGAAATTTCAAAGCGCTGCTGGAAAATCTATGAAATCTATATAAATAATTGTCTTACCTTTCGGTGGTTGAACACCAATGGATTCGAATCTATCTTTATGAGTCATCGGTAATACGACTGCTTCAATCAGCTATTAAATAGACACAAGGGTATTTTTATTCGCAAAAGTTCTATAACTTAAGTAACTATATCAGTAAGCTTTTTAATTATCAAAAGATACCTCCTGAATTTGCTTGTCTAGGCCGCCAATATCACTATATTGCTCTGTTGGGCGTTCATCAACTTCCATGGCTTTAACACGAGAATCATATCTAAAGGATTCCAATCAATGGAAGTCGAGTCAGATACGGAAATATCGTAAGTGTAAATGTAAGCTAATTATGTCAATTAAGTATATCCTTACTCTGCAGGTAACGGTTCTAAAATTAAATAAGAGTCCTTATTGACACCCTAATAAAATCATCATAATAAATAATGGGTAAGAACTGTGTGAATGTATTTATTGTTGAGTCTGCCGCAAAGACGGATCGCCAGATAAACCGCAAAAATATATTATTACCACCAAATCCCCGGGACGTAATTTCTCCGGTTCAATCAGGCCGATCACAGGCAAAAAGTAGGTCTAGTAGGTAAAGGCAAGATGGAATGTTACACTACATTATCACAGACATATCAACCTGTGGTATGATATCGAATAATAATAGATAGATTACATCACATTATAATAATCTTACTTGTCTAGTAGAAGTTTTAATGACTGCACATTTTCCTTTACGTTGTGAATCGAGGTCAACATTCGATCCGTCTTCTTCTTCATCATCAGGATCAACATCAAGAATCTGTAATATAGGTCGGTAATAACCGATCAGTTTACTATTATACTCAAACAATTGCAACATTAATTTATAATTATACTAGTTAAAATAGCGTAAAATTATAATATCGAACCTCAATCAAATTGGATACCAGGTAGGGGAGCTGTTTGTTGACCTTAATTTTCTCATTGTTTTCCTATCGATGATAACGTAATCAAATTGTTAAGGCTATAATAGGCTGTAGTAATGTAGATTTACTTTTACTGTAATATTGTAAGTAGATTGCTAGTCTAGCAATTGAACAATATTAAAGTATCAATTGTTAGTATTACAATAGGCAACTACCTTAATCTTTTCTGCCTGAGTCTCCCTTTCATGGTTTACTCGAGCTATTTCGCTTTCCATAATCTACAAGATACATTATCATATTTCAATTAACAACTTATAGGTAAATTTCGATTTTTAAAGATATAAAGGACGAATCAACTTCTTTAGTTTCAATAAATAATCTGATACCTTAATTTCATTTTCCAGTAACCTTGTCCGGCTAACAATTTCTTCACTTGACATACGAAGAACTTCTTCATCTAGATCGTTCTAGATAGAATTAATGATATCAGTGTTAGAGAATTGAGATATACTGCATATCTATTTGATTTACTAAGTCTAGAATAGGTGCCACACACATATCAAATGTCGCTATAGTCAGGATTGCAAATTTTTGATATCTTTATGAACTAATTATGATCATTGAGTACATCCTAACGTACATCGCTTTCTTGATAATACAATATTAAAATATTGACAGTTTGATATAGTCAATTTTAACACAGTGAGACGCTATGTGGATATTACATAAACATGTAAGTATTGTCGTAGAATAAAGACATTTTGGGTTTCCATTTCAATCTGGATTAATACTGTGGTCAAAGCTACTAACTATACAAGTTGTTCTCGTGGTGAAGTTCTACAGTATAAATATCTTTGATGCATTACAGTCTAATACTTGTATGATCGCAGGTGGATTTATTTATCCGTGCGTTGTATTTTTCTGTCGATTATATATTATTCACGAAAGTATATAGCTATTAACTACTGTATGATGACACTGCTATGATATTCTACTATTGCCCGGTTCAACGGACGCCGTAACTCTGTACTATATCAGTATTTGGGCAGCGAGTACTCGCTCGTTATACGAGTACTTTGCATACTATACAGTACTTGTACTTTTTACTTTACATTATTCATTTAACCATTTCAATATTGTACCGTAGGTATAATTTTAGTACAGAACGCATTTAGAAAGAAAACTTTTGATCTACTGTTACCATAAGTCAGTAGAGCTTGTGCTACATGTTTATAACATGTTGTACTTCAAAGATTGTCATAGCTAACATCCCTAGTCTATTATTTGGTATCATGACCATATATGAAATTGTTCTGTTTAAGCCTACAAAGCGACATACAGTATTGGATAGCATCATTGACTACTGTACTGTACTAGGCTGATATTCCATGATATTATCAGGAAATTGTTGTGTTTCCATCCACAAAATGCGACATCTAGTATCGGATACCATCATTTCTACTGTACTAGACTGTTATTCAAGGGGCATCATCCAAATTATACGTACATGATTGAAGTTAAAGACTAAAACTTCACATACAGTCATGACACCTACTCCTACGCTTGTATTAACTACGTCTTCGTATTCTATCTTAACTCAATATCATTATTTTGAACTACAAAGAGACGTCGAAAATCCAATTGGAACCAATCTGTTCTTCGGTAGTCACTGTGTTCGCTAAAGACTAATATCATTGAAGACTGTAGAAATGACAATTGTTGATAATGAATAATTACGTATAATAGTGATGTACAGTATATTGCCGTAGCAGATTGTACAGTTGCAGCATCCACAGACATCATTTCGTCTGGATGGCATCAGTCAAACTGCTCTCCTACATGGCACGTTTACAAGTGAAGTCAAAAATGGCATTACTATATCTTGAAATACTTGTATCCTATTTTGTTCCCAATCGTTGAGCTAGTTTTGACTACGACGGACTAACAAATTCAAAATAATTTAATACCATTTATTATTTTTAATCAAGCTACAGTACTTTGCTGCAAGGCTACGTTGAAGTAATGGATTTTAGCCAGAGTAAGATTGTTGCAAAGTGGCCGAAAGCTTACAAATACAGAGTAGAAAGGATACTAGAATGAAAGTGGAGACCACTATCTTGACTAGCGGTATTGGAAGTGATTGAGACATGATGATAGACAGTACTGTCGCTGATTCATTGATGCTCTTTCATCATAGAATGATGAAAAATGGATTGGGGTTCAAGAATCAAAAGGAATCATACTGAATTCATCATCTACTCGCTATATTACCTCCTCTTCTTGCCAGAATTTTTCATCTAAAGCACCGGTCGCCATCACTTGCAATACTGTCCTTGGCCTTTTTTGCTCTTTGAAAGTTTGCGTTGTGCTCGTATGCCTTTGACTCTTTATCAGCTTGATCAGTGTGCTTGACCCTTTCGACGTTGAAAGCGTGTAATTAGTACGTGCGTCTATTGGCACTGAAGTGTTCTTCACTTGACCTGCGTACAGCTTTAGTCCTGTATGCGGGACACTGGCTTTTTTACTACAGTAGTCCGTGGTACAGTCCACTGAATAGAGTAGAGTACTGTACTGTCCAGTTGTACTGTACAGTACACTGTACAGTGTACAGTACTGTACTGTATCTTTCTACTTTCTACTGTACTGTACAGTACAGCAAGAATCTTTTCAATCTTTAATAACCGAGTTCAGTGATGTACTGTACTGAGCATGACGCGGTCATTTTTCATTTGTGTCTGCTACAGTACAGCTCTATCCTGTACTGTACACTGTACACTGTACAGGAGGAATGAATACTGTACTGTACAGTGTACAGTACAGTACAGTATTTTTCATTTGTGTCTGCTACAGTACAGTACAGCTCTATCCTGTACTGTACACTGTACACTGTACTGGAGGAATGAATACTGCAGCAATGGGTGAAATACATGGCGGGATACTCCCAGAGTGATTTGTACTGTATCGTGATATCTTTGTGTGACAGCACAGCACTGTACTGTTTTAAAACCAAGTTATTCAGCTTTATATTCGTATCATTTTTTTTACATTTTTATTCACTCTCGTGATTTTAGGGCACCTTAAAGTACTCTGATTCGAACTGGTTCACACAGTGTCATTGGTCCGGTTTTTATTTAACAATACAGTACTGTACAGTACTGTACAGTGTACAGTACACAAGTGTGCAAGGTTGAAGCATAGCGTTAAAATGGTGATAAGCATGGACTGAGAGTGCGTAGATCGTGTCATGGCTCTACAATGGCATATTCGTAAAATACTGAAATTGGCAATGGGCATATTGGTAATTATGAAATTAGACAGCGGCAAATCAGTAATTAACTGGAAAAAAAATTACTATAAGTTGAACTCAAAAGCTATCATAAAAATCAAAGTGGATACAGTCAGTACAGTAAAGTACAGTGTATAGTATAGTACTGTACAGTACTGCATGCAAAATCCAAGAGTACTGCACTGAACAGAACTGCGGGCCCTCTTCCGACAGGTATAATGTTCAATTGCTAGTTACAGCCCATAAAGCTAGCAAAAGTAATGTCACTACTGTACTGTACAAGTCATCCTCATTTACAGTAGTATGTACAGTACAGCAGACAGAAATTTCCAACCACCGTTTGGACGTTTGAACTCGTTCATCAGTCGTCAAGTCGTCTCCAAATCCTTCATCGTCGTCAAATAATTGGCTTGTATCCACCTTTCCTGTGCTGTATTAGATCTATTTCCCAGAAGTTATTTCAGACTTTGACGGGTTCATCATCCACGTTTCCTAACGCCATTGGTGTTTTAAATCTTGATTAGCTAAGCGAGCAGTGAGCCAGTCACCACCTAGTGTTGACATCATTTCATTGCAGTCAAGACTATACTGTACACTGTACTCAGGGTACTATACTGTAGTGTAGAAGTCGTACAGTAAACATCTTTGCAAATTTCTGCAACTTACTGGAGAGCTGCTGCCGTAGGATGGCAAAACCTGGCAGTAACATCAAAGACCAGTTGGATCGAGGTTATAGCGAAATATTGCGTATCAGCGAAATTGTCAGCCGAGGCAAAGAGCTGAATGGTAGAGATATTAAAACCATTGGTAGGGTACAATTATATGATGCAATGACTAGTCGAGCTACGATATCTTGTGCGGAGGATGATCCCAACAGCCAGTTAGTAGTCATCACTGAATTTATTGAGCCATTGATGTCGGGCTCTAAAGCAACCTATCAATTCATTGGAGAGCTGGAATGGCAGCCACAGGATAGTGCCTTAGCTTTGAATGCTCGAACTTGTCGTGATGTTAGCAAGCTCGACATAACACGCTACTATCAAGGTTTAGATTCCATGCGAAAATTTTTAAATTCAAACGCCTCCTGATACTTATCAGTGTGTATAATAAAGTACGTA